TCAGCCTTTAAACTCATGATAGTCCAACAGATTTCTATCAGAAACACCTATTTTCTTCCCCTTTGTCCGCTTATATTCTCCTTCTACGTTCACTTCTATAGGCTCACAAAATACTAGCCTAAGAATATTTCATGTCATGTTCTAAGCCCTGCCATGCCTTGAATGACAGATGCAGGATGTCTGAGTGAGTTATTTCATCTCGTCCTGACGAGTGACAAGAGTGACACCCTTTGGTGTGTGATGGCTTCTCCCATCGCCTCTGTGGCATAATAGACCTGTCATCAGCATCGTCCTCCACCCTCCCTCTTCTGCTGTTGTCTGGACAGCAGTTTATCAAACATCTCCATCTTTTCCTTTTCGTTGCAAGCGCGGAGAACGAATGTCAAATGTGGCGTTTTCAATAGCAAAGTGCCAGATTGGATAGAGATAAATGTTTGACCTCCTCGGGCTCTGTTTACTGTTCTCTGCATGAGCCTAGATTGATGTTCCCCCCTGAGCTATCTCGCTGCGCAAAATCTCCATCTTAATAAGTCATTTAGTCTCTCATCGAGTTCTAAGAATGCCTATTTTCTTCAGCGAGGGGGAAAAATGTAATCTTTTTCTAAAGCAAATCAGTCCCCCTTTGTTTCTTCTGCTGGAAAGTTTTCATTGTCAAAGAAAGTACATATTCCTCAGACATATATGCTCGTATTCAGGACATTGAAGTAATGCTCTTCCCGATTACAGTCGGTTTTACAATACACATTACTATTTATCTGCTTTAATGTCCAGAGAGATTGTGGGGAAGCAGAACGGTCTCTCGCTCTCTCTCTCTGTCACACGCACACACACACACACACATGCACGCACACACACACACACACACACACACACACACACACACACACACACACACACACACACACACACACACACACACACACACACACACGTGTGCCCTCTGGCTATTGCAGCTGCACCTCTTCAGTCCAAGTAGCTATAATTTCGTTTTTGCCCCACAATTTAAATTGGCTCTTTTTGGCATGGCCTGTGAATTTATGCTGCCAAAACGTTTGGGGGGGAAAATAGAGCAAGAAATAGACCGCAAGGAAAACTGTAATATGGATAAGTTATATTAGAAAATAATGATTCATTCAAAAATTTGAATTATGTATCTGATGTTTTCCTAAGATTTTCCTCCAGTTTGACATATGTTACGTGTCAGTAAAAGCAGTTTAATGAAACATCAAAGAACGTTTTATCATTATGTGCCAGGGTCATAAATCCTGAAGTAGATTTTCCAAAAAACAAAAGATCTTTCTTTTATTAATCAATTCAAAATGTTTGTATATGTTGGCTATATGTATGTAGTATACATGGACTTTTATGTCAACAAGCTGTTGAAGAAAGACCAGACAATGTTGTTAAGGGAAAGAGAAACCTGAAGATATAAACAGAGGGCAGGCTCAGATTGCACTCACACAGGTATGAGAGGTCTGATTTTTATTTAATTCCATGAGCCTGCTGCCTGAGCAGTGGCAGCAGTCTGGTCTCCAGCTGAGATTCGGGGGTCTTGGAGCATTGAACCCCTGGAGCAGCTAGAGCACCATGAGATGAGATAGAAAACCAATTTTCTCAACCACCCGAACCAGTTGTTATTACATCTGTCAGACGAGGTACTGCCAACTTTATCGTACAGAAGCAGTTGTGCGCATTGTTGGTGGGAGCATCACCAGTAATGAACCTGAGGGCTGAGCGTTAAAAGACATCCAGTCAGACTGAGATGAAAAATGATGCAAAAATCTCTGGATTTAGAGAATGTCAGCGACTCCATTACATTTTTATTACAAGATACTAATTCAAGGTTAACAAGGTCATCTTGCAGTACATTCATTGCATTAATGCAATGCAATGCATTAATTGATTTTTTTGCCACATTTAGGGAGCAGACAGACTATTTAAATCCACTAATAAAGCTAAGGGGCTGTAATCAATATTTTTAAAACAAGGGTTCAAATTACAGCATGATTTAAAAGGGGTTCACTTATGATGTCAAACCAACAAAGAAAAGACACCAGGCTCTGCAGTCCCTCTCACCCTTACAGAGCATTATAGCATTTGTCAGCCCAGTGTTTGGCCAAAAATGTCAACCTCTGCACCAAATGGCCGACAGAGAGGCTTCCATCCTCAGGAGGGGGTTCAGATTATGTCTTGCATGCTTCTTTGATGCATTTACATGTTGTCTTTTTTTATGTGTTCTTTGGGGATAGACATTTAGTCCATTACCAATGCTATAATTATTATTGATATGAATAATTAGTAGCTTTAAAAGAGTTGTGATTTATTAGGGATTCATTTGACAGAATAAGCATTAATAGGCGACCCACTAAAAATATTGATATTTTATTTGAATGAGTGTAAAATCTTTAACATCAAGGAAAGTGCGAACGATATTTTTATTGTCCGTAATGTTTGTAACAATTTGTTAATGAGGTTGAAAATGTACACCATTAATAATTCTGCAATGAGTTTAAATTGTATGTAAAAGTTTGCTGCTTCTTGCGTAGCTTATCGTGGCCGGTCTAGTGGTCTGTTGTTTCAAAGGTGCTTACCAAGAATCCCTAAGATTCATTATGCTGCAGTCTTACATTATTTTCAGATTAAGAAAATATATTTGTTTACAACAAATAAAATGATAAATAACCAGGTTAGGCCAAGCGTCTGATCGGCAACACAAAGTACAGTATCATCTGCATAGAGGCACATTTTACATTAGATTCTTTATATATTTTGGACAGAATGTACCTCAATCATTCATTGTGATGTTGCTACATGCCTCTAACACACACTGTGGAATAGACCCATATATTCCTACTCACTAGATGTGCACAGACATGTGCAAAGAGACCATATGTGTAGTTGCGTGTGTTGGGAGTTGTGTTGAGAGAGACCCATGACGCTTTTTCCCCGTCTTTTCTCCACCCCTCCCTCCCTCTCTCTCTCTCTCTCTGAGCGGAAGGAGTGCTGAGTGTGCGGAGCGTGAGGTGAATTGTTTGGATGTGTTTCCTATCTGTTATCTCGTGTATTTTTCGGCGTGGTTTCTGGTGTGCGTTGTGGGGTGAATGCGTGTTGGTGTGTACGTGTGACTTTTCTTTCTTTTTATGTGTTTTTGTCTGCGTTTGTAGCCGGTCGGCATGTCGGACCTCACGGGGCTGACGCGGAAGCACGGCGTGAAGCTCGCGCCGGGCTTCGCGTGCTCCGTGGAGGACTGCGGTCTGGCCGTGGGGGGGTTGGTTGGGCACGGGAGCGTAAAGTCCGCCGCGTGGATGAACCGCGCGGTGGTCATTTTTGTAGATAGTGTGGAGAAGGCGCGCGAGGTGGTGGCGAGCGGCGTGGTGGTCCGCGGGGCGCACGTGCCCGTTCTTCCGCTCGCGGTGCCGGCCGTCAGGGTGACGGTGGCGAACGTTCCGCCGTTCGTCCCTGACGGAGTGCTGCTGGAGGAGCTGGTCAAACACGGGAAGGTGGTGTCCCCGCTTAAAAAGCTGTCCTCGGGCTGCAAGTCGCCTTTAATGAGGCACGTGGTGTCTCACAGGAGACAACTCCACATGGTCCTCACCAAACCCCAGGCCCTCGACCTGGTGATTAAGGTGAGGATCGAGGGGTTTGACTACGCCATGTTCGCCACATCGGACGATGGGAGGTGTTTCCGTTGCGGCGGAGAGGGACACCTGGCGAGGGGTTGCCCGGAGAGGAACCTCTCGTCCGCTCCGCTGGATGTGGGGGCGAGTGTGAGAGGGGGTGAGGCCGAGCCGGTCGGTCAGGTGGATGAGGGGGTGACTGTAGGGACGGGTGAGAGGGTGAGTGTGGCGATAGGTGAAGCCCAACCGGTCGCTGAGGGGGTGAGTGTGGCAACGGGTGAGGGTCAGCCTGTCGGTCAGGTGGGTGAGGGGGTGACTGTGGCGACAGGTGAGGGGGTGAGTGTGGTGACGAGTGAGGGCCAGCTGGTCGGTCAGGTGGATGAGGGGGTGACTGTGGGATTGGGTGAGAGCCAGCCGGTCGGTCAGGTGGGTGAGGGGGTGACTGTGGGGATGGGTGAGGGGGTGAGTGTGGGATTGGGTGAAGGCCAGCCGGGCGACCAGGTGGATGAGGAGGGAGACTGTGGGATTGGGCGAGAGCCAGCCGGTCGGTCAGGTGGGTGAGGGGGTGACTGTGGGGATGGGTGAGGCGGTGAGTGTGGGATAGTGTTGACAGCCAGCCAGTCGTTCACGTGGGGTGAAGGATCAAAGGGGTATGAATGTCGCAGGTGGATGCGGGGGTTGAATGAGCCCCTTCGGGAAGTTTGTGTGACCCAAGTGATAGAGGACTTGTGGGCCCCTCGGTTGTGGGGGAGCTGTTCGAAGTTGAACCTCCGAACACCGAGGAAATCTTGAAAGAGGGGGGGGTGGACTTTAAGGCCCCCCGCCTGAAGAGGAAGACGAGGGCCAACAGGGGAGGCTCTCGGGCAAAAAGAGGGGGGCGCAGAGGAAAGGTGGGAGGTGTGGAGTCAGGGTCCTCTTCAGGGTGGGCCTCTGAAGACAGCGTCTCCTCAGGGGGGACGGTCACCAGCAGGCACGGGGTGGGGCAGATGAAAGCGTTCCTGCAGGCCACCAAGAACCAGAGAGGAGTGGAGCTGGAGGACTACTTCTCCGACTTGGAGAAGTTTGCGCGCTCCGTTCGACGCGGCTGCACGAAAAAGGGTGGAGCAGACTACACCCAGCAGGAGGTCTTCCGACTAAGGAAGATCAACCTCAAGATCACCAGGGATGGAGGAAATGGGACTGAGTGAGGCGTCTGACCGGCGGAGGAGGATCCTGAGCAAGAAGACGGGCAAATGAGATGAAATGATTATAATTGTTTTTTTATGTAAAATAAAGGTTTTTCAAAAATCAAAAAATCTCTCTCTCTCTCTCTCCCTCTCCCTCTCTCTCTCTTTGTTATTCTCCCCACCCCTCTGTCATTCCATCAGGTCCTCACAACACACAAACCACAGCCTCGAACGCCTCATCTCCTCCACCAGAGCCAGAGAACCAGTGAGAGGGAGAGTAGAAGTGACAGGGGAACAGCAGCAGCATCCCTGACAAGCATCTCCCTCACTCGAGACGGGAGGGAGAAAGAGGGAGGTGGGGAGAGAAAAAGTGGACGGAGTGCAAAGTAAAAAGGAGAGAGGGGGAGAGAAAGAGAGCAAACCAGTGAGGGAAATAAGTTTTCAGTTGGAGGGAGGACAAGCGAGGGAGAGTTTGGAGGACGGAGAGGGGTGTTCTGGAGCTTCATCTTCCCTTTTCTTTTTTCGTCTGTGAACACCGCCTGCCACCTCTCTTCTCCTCCTCCTCCTATTCCTGCTCTTCCTCCTCCTCCTCCTCCTCGCTCCTCTTCTTCTTTTCCCAAATCTCCTCTCCCAGCTCCCGCCGTGGGGTCTCAGCTCTCCATCTCCCTCCCCCCCTCCCTCGCTCCCTACCTCCCCCGGGCGCTGCTGCGAGCCTCCGGGCTGCTGCGCCGCAGGAGGATGTCTCGCAGGGAGTCACCGCCGCCCTCGCCACCCCCGCAGCTGCTGGGAGTGCGAAGCGGAGAGGTGGAGCGCGAGGATCGTCCGGAGCGCGCCGAGCCGCTGTCCGACGCCGAGAGGGAGATCATCCAGGACACGTGGGGGCACGTCTACAAGAACTGCGAGGACGTGGGGGTGACTGTGCTCATAAGGTGAGTGATGATTTTAGTGTCGCTGTGAAATACTCCCAGATTTGTCACGTTGTGTGCGTGTGTGTGTGTGCGAGAGAGAACTTTCGAGGAGTGGATGCATTCTTTGCAGTTTAAGATGCTTGAATTTAAGTGTGTGTGTTTTTTTATCTGTTGCTGTCTTTGGATGTAGATGCTTAATTCTCACAGTGGATCATTAACAGCTGACATTTTGTGACAAAATGATTACATCTTATGTACAACGGGAAGCTGAAATCTGGTGTTGAAGCCAGAGAGTTGTCGGGTTGTGTGGGCATGTTTGTGGCGGGGTTGTCAGGACTACGAGAGCACAGTATACCTTCACACACGGCTCTATTTTCTGCCAATCCTCTCTGAGCCCCACTGAGCGGTGCTAGACTGTGCAACGTTTTTACCACAGTGGCGACAGTCAGAACTGCGCGCTATATAAAAGCAATACAATGAAAATTGTAGCCATGAAAAATCCCTATATTATACTTCATTCCGGTTGGTGTGGCCCCTGTTCATTAATTGTGCACCAAGCCAAGATGATGATTTGCTTTCTCATTATATTTTATAAGGAGGTGTATGCCTCATTAATTTTCATATTTGGTGTGAGCACCTTGTTCTTGTATACTCACAGGGCTCTTATTCAACCATCCTTATTGCCTTCTTAAGTTGTCAAAACTTATCCACAAAAATAAAATCAAACATTTTTCTCCAAGAGCTTGATCTCCAACAGGCAGTAATTCTCTGCAAAGCCTCCGGATGGAACATGGCTAGAAGGTGTTTTCTTGCTTTTTCTCATATTTCTTTTAAACTTCTATATATCAAAGCAGACGTTTTGGATTTATTTGAATGTTTCCAGCTGAAACGCCTCAATGTTGCGCTGAGAAAATCCTTTTTGCTTGTTAAAATGGAAGCTGCAGTCAAGGAGACTGATGTGACTGAGACAAACAGATTTTTGGTTGGGGGGAGACAAGAATCCCAAAGAGGCATAGAGCTCCTTTAGTATATATATATATATATATATATATATATATATATATATATATATAAAATTGTGATATGCAATTGCATATTTTTATCCAAAGCATTTCAAATTAGGATTTTTTGAAGAAATTGTGCCACATTTCACGAAAGGTGCTTAATCTCTTTCTTGTTGAGATTTAGACACTTGTATAGAAAATATGCAGCTACAGCCAGCAGCCGGTTTTCTTAGCTCAGAATAAAAACTGGAAGCAGAAGGGTACACGATCCCGCACCTCTTAAGCTCACTATTTATGTCCTTTCTTTTATCCTTTGAAATACTAATGTTTAAAAGCTGACATGGAGCGGTAACGTCCTGCAGTCTCTTTGGTTGCCTGGCAACTTCCCAGCAAAGACAAGACTCTATGAAGTTATGGTAGCTTTACAGCTGCTAGTAGGTGGATTTTATTCAGGTAATTATTATCAAGGCTAGCTGCTTGACCCTGAGTCCAGTTCTAATGCTAAGCTAAGCTAACCGGCAGCTGGCTGTAGCAGCGTTTTCACAGGCATGAGGGTAGTATCTTCTTATTTAACTCCTGGTAAGGATGCAAATAACTGTATATCCCAATGTGTTCATTTTCCGTTTATATGTTGGTGGTAATAATAAAACAATCAATCATCATCAGAGTCCAGGCCAAGCCTTCAGTTTGCCAAAACCTAAATACATTCAATTTATGACTAAATAAATGAAAATATAAAACAGTAACGCTCCGCTACTGCGTCTCTTATCAGTAAGTGTTTTCTATTTTTACTTGATAAACTCAAATCAAATTTATTGCAGAAACCTTTTCTATTCCGAAGTTTCCAGATTGCTTCACCTCTGTAATCCACATGGTGTGTGAACAATTGGCTGGCAGGTTGTTACCTAACATAATATGAGGCGGAGTCTCCATCAAAGTCTTGCACGGTTTGGATCTTATAGTTGAGATCTGTGCACGATGTGTGATCTGGGATTTGTGACAGTGACAATAGCCCCAGTTGATCTCACCAATGCGTATAAATGCAATTGCATCAGGAGCGTGAGCCCCCCAGGCGTCTGCAGAACCGTGCATGTGGCAGACCATGCATACTTTGACTCAAACGGTGCTGCAATAGTGACAGTGGATTCATGTACATTTTCCCCGAGCAGAAGAGAACAATACACAATGAAACAGAATTGTGAGACGTAAATGTGAGGTGTTTCACGCTGTATGAACACAACAATAAATCAGTTAATCCATCAAGATACACTTACACATATATACATGCAAGGCTATTATCTCCGACGGAGAGAGAGGCGGCACGCGCCGTAAATACGCACCCTGCTCTGCAGGGGGGGTTTCAGGTTCATTGGCCAGGAGTTCAACCAAATGTACCAAAAATGGGTGAATATTTTGACAGTGCAAATGTCCTTGTGTCTCCCAATATCCAGAAACAGAGGAAAGAATATTGGTTACTCAGAGCTTTACAATAGTACCTGATTTTTTTAAGACCGTATGTGTTGGAATCATAGGCTATGGTACAAACAGTAACGTTAATACAGAGTTATCACAAGACATCATCTGGGGACCATAAATATCTGAAACTTATTTGTTGGCAATAACCCCCACTTGTTGTCAAGATATGTCAATTAAATCTAAAAAATGTCAACCAGCTGGTGGCGCAGGAGGGGAGGTCAGGGGATCACCGGGGTGATATCGCACAGAGAACAAGAAAAGAATGTGTACAAAATGTCACAGCAATCTATCCAACAGTTGTTAATATATTTGAGCTAATACTATGTACTAAATAAGTGTACTAAAATCCACAACCAGTTAGGTTTTAATATTTGTGAATAATTTAACCAGCTGTACGCAGTCACAGTTTGCCTTGTGAAAAAGACGCCCTTGAAGATCCGGCAGTGCGACTGCAGGTTGTTCACGGTACTCCAAAGAATTATAAAAACCATTCCAGTCCAATCAAAGAGTAATTAACGAGCCGCACTAATGGTGCTGCGTTGGATTTTTCATTTAAATGCAGAGACAGGTGCAAGAATGTGTTCAGAGCTCTGCGAAGGACTTAATTGGATATTATGTACGTATTTATTTATCATTAAATGATGAAAAGGTTTGGTATTATTATGGTATGCTAAGGGTTAAGCAACAAAAACACATAAAGGAAAGCTTGAGGTTAGAGTTATTAAAAACTAAGAAACCACTTTAAAGTCTGATATGGGACTTTTGGATCAAAAAATGGTCAGGTTGTTGAATTATTGTATTGTACTGTAAAACCATACCGTGGCTACCGACACATTTATCATTCTAACACAAGAAAACAGGAACAACCACTTTTTTCTTCTTGTAAGAAAACATCAAGAGCAGAACTCTGCTTTCTTGAAGCACTGAAGTTATCTCTGTCCGAGCAGAACAATAGCTGTTATTCAGTGTTCTTCCCTGTCGCCGAGCAAAAGAGTGTGACCGTATCGTGACAGCTGGGAGAGCCAAGCTAGGAGAGCTACAGGCAAGCCGAGCCTTTGTAGGTCTAGCATGACATTGGATCTGGGGGATGTGGATGTACTGTACTGTAGCGCGGCTGCCGAGGGCCAAACTCCAACTGGGAAGTAACTGTACTCGCAAATCTAGTCAGCTGGAGCACTGACAAGATTTAAAGTGGGTCAGAGCAGAAGTGTGTGTGTGTGTGTGTGTGTGTGTGTATGTCAATCCATCTGTTTTTTCAGTCAGTGTTTGTCTGCATGTCTGTGGTTGTGTGAAGTTCAATAAGAAATTATATTCTGCATGGCTGTCAGTGAAAACAGACAATACTTAACTGTCACATTTCTCACATTCGCCTTTAGCGAAGCTGGTGGAAACTTTGGTATTGCTTTGGCATACGTCCCGTCTCACAGAGCTGCTGTGAGGTCACGTTCTCTCTGTGATGAAAACTGTCAAGCTGCTGAACCAAAACAAATCCTCCTAACAGGAATCCCAAAAGACAATTTATATTGTCTTTGTTTATCTCTCCTCTTACATCTACCAGGGTGGTATAAGAATTGACTACATCCGGACCTGAAATACATCCTGTTTTACACACTGGGAAGACGTTAGAAATAATAACGACACATCAGCAATAAGTGTCATTCTCTCCCACATCACAATTCTTTCCTGCTCTTTGGATGCCTCTGAGGGGAACTTGGCAAGGACCAAGTCCTCTGCTGGACAGCAGCTCCCATGTCTGTGAAAGGCTGTAGTAGTGAGACACTACGGAGGGCAATAACAGTATTTTTGTTGGTTAGTTCACCAATTCCAGTCCAGGCTGAAATGCTCTGACAATTGTTGGATACAATTTCCATGAAATTGGGGACAGCTGTTGGTGACATTGGTTGTCCTCTCATTATTCATCCAGTACACCCGGTCTATGGCCTGCGAAACTAATGACTAATGCCAATTTGTGTTTGGTTTGTTTGCCAATTAATGGATGTGAGCATGCTAGCAGTATCTAACAGAGTGAACGTGGTAAACTTGTACCTGTGAAACATGTGAGCGTTGTCATTGTAGGGACATTGTAGCATCTACCTCAAAGCGTGGCTGTGCCTTGGTCCAGGTCTACAGAGCTGCTATTATGGCGTAGCAGGGATTTTAGGCACAAAGGAGCATTTAAATGAGTGTGTCTGTACTCTGTATTAGCAGTTGTAAGGTACTGCAAATGGGAGACTGTGAAATACGAGCCAATAAATCCAGTTGGAGTAACAGATTAGTGTGCTTAAAGGCTTTTCAGACACTAAACCATTGCACAGTGGGTCGCAATAGGCGATAGGTGTAAGTATGTGTGTGTTTCTAAATCATGCTCAACAAAGAACTATTTACTAATTAGACTATATGGCATCTGTGTACCAGGCTTCGGGGATATAATTTGCAGACTGAGGATCATGTTTTGGCTTTGGAGAAAGAGAGACTTTCAAGCCTCTGGCTATTTGCTTCTTAACCGTAAATTCTTATCTTTCAAGGATGAGTCCCCACATGCTTTGGTCAGATGTTGGGATGCATGCACGGCTCTCATTATCATAGATTTCCTCTGGCTTTGTTATGGGCTTCTGAATGGATTTGTCTCAGTTTAGCAGAACAGACAACATCATTGCCATTTCAGAATAAATGGTAACAACAATTTAGAGCAATTCTCTTGTTTGTGTCATGTTTTAGTCTCTATGCTTGTCTTACTCTCCAATCGTAATTCAGGTTCGTATATTGAGACACACCTGTTAGATTGAAACGTTTTTTTCAAAAATACAATACTAAAACAGGGTGCCGTGCACAGCAGGATTATTTTCTCTCTACTCACTTCCAGTTTCCGTTGGGGGGGGGAGACAAGAATCCATTTTTCGTGACAAACCCAAAGGGCTAATTTTCTTCTCTTTTTTCCTTTTGTCTGAATTAATCTGAAATGTCTTCCTCTTTAGGTTCTTCATCAACTTTCCATCTGCCAAGCAGTACTTCAGCCAGTTCCAGGAAATGGAGGATCCAGAGGAGATGGAGCGAAGCAGCCAACTTCGACAACACGCCCGCAGGGTGATGAACGCCATCAACACTGTGGTGGAGAATCTGCATGACCCGGAGAAGGTGTCGTCAGTGTTGGCTCTTGTGGGAACGGCTCATGCCATCAAACACAAGGTGGAACCCATGTACTTTAAGGTGACTTCAAGGAATAATACATTGCCCGATACTATTAGGCCGCTGATATTCAGTTATCTTATGATGATGTTTATCATTTTTCCACTCTGTACATTTTCCACATGAGTAGTGTTTCACTGCTCGATTTATTGTTTCGTAGTTTGGGACACTTGATTGGCCAGGCAATAAAATTAATGTCCCCAAAGATAATTGTCTGGTTAAGTGGCACAGTGGAAGTGTTTTCTTGCCGCAGAAGCCTCTTGAATTATCAACACATCCTATTAGCACCCTTTAGAAACCAATCTAAAACACAGGCTATTCTCCTGCCTATTTAAATTGACTAAGGCCCAAATGATTTTGTTTGGCTGCCTTTCATGGTTGAAGGTGTTGAGTCTGTTGCACCTTATCAATGACAAATGTGTGTGACTGGGTGTGGTCTGAAGTGTCCTCTGTTACAGCTGTTACCACAGCAACAGTGAAGAGTACCAATTATATAAATACAATAAATATGAATTGTGTACTTTGTGTAAAGAAATACACACAAATGCTAGCGGTGTTACAGAAGGGTGTGTGCTACGTTTCCGTGACAAGGCTGTTGGTTGGGACGTCTTTATCCGCTGCCACATGAGCACGGTGGCGTGCCGCCAGGGTGTCGCACTCACACACACACACACACACACACACACACACAGGGGAAGAGTAACATCATCCATCAGACAAGGTACCCATTGCTGTCTTAGAATTAGTTGTTTGCTGCAATATTATTGCTTTGAAGGTCATAGTTAAATCTAAAAGTTATTTAATCACCTGAGGAAACATTGAGGAGGGAGAGGATGGAATCTGAGAGTTTAATTTAACCCGTAAAATTCCTTTTTCTGCCTTTGTCACATTGAAGAAGGGAAGCATATGTTCCTTTCCTTTAAGTTTGAATGTCGACCGCAGTTCATCACATGGACACATTGCTCTATTCAAACTACCGTATTTTCCGCACTTTTAAGGCTTTAATTTTCTCAAGAAACAACAGTGCCTTATAATCCGGAGTGCCTTATATATGGATCAATTGGTTAATTGGTTGATCCATACTGGTTGTACACGTCGCTCAAGGCGCTCTGCCAAACATGCCAAAGCTCGTCTACGACGGCGAACAAAGCTGTCGTTCTTGCCGAGCACTTCATGAGTATAAAGAGCGAAAGACGGCGCCCTTTTCATTACAGTAGCTGAACCATCTAAACAGGAAAAATAAGTTATTCTAAAAGGGGCCCTTGGCAGGCGGCGTGGCTGGCGAGCAGCTGAAGATTTAAGGCGTGGATGGCGAGGGGGGGCGGCGGGAGCGGACGCACCTCGCAGCATCGATCGGACCCTGAAAGCACATTCTCCACCTCCCCACATCCACCCCCGTCCACCCGCCCCGACCTCAAACGTTTCACTGCAGTATCTTATGTGCCTTATAATCCGGTGCGCCTTATATATGAAAAATGTTCTAAAATAGGTAATTCACTGAAGGTGCGCCTTGTTGTGCGCAAAACACGGTATTCAAACATCCTTCCACGGGCTTCCGGATGCTTTTGGAATGTGTTTTAAGATTTAATTGATCACTTCTATCAGACTGTGTATTCCCTATACTGTTAACCTCATATGTTTAAGACTGGACCCTTCAGTCATATTATATTTTCTTTTTTGTTAAGGAGATCATGATGGTGGGAAACTTGTGAAATAACACATTGGTTTAGTCTCAACTCTCTAACAGGTGGTAGCGGGGATCCCACCAATGCTCACCTACTACATTTGAATCCAAATAATGTTTTATTTATGCTGTCCTTTACTACCTTCTCACTCCCCACCTGTGTTGTATTTTCCCTGTCACTTCATGTTCTTTTCCCTTTGCATCACCTTTCCACCCACTGCTCTCATGCTTTCCTGCTATAATTTCCAATTCTCGCCTTGCCCACTTTTCTGAGAGCGCGAATTGGATTTAGTTATCTCCACCGCTGCGCTCTCACTTTACATTATTCTCTCTTTCTTCCACCTGCCCTTATGTTGAAAGAACTCTCTTTTACCCCTTGTGTTAATCAAGTATATTTCTCGACCCCTTTCCTCCCAGATCCTGAGCGGTGTGCTGCTGGAGGTGTTGTCTGAAGATTTCCCAGAGTTCTTCCCGACAGAGGTGCAGATGGTGTGGACCAAACTGTTGGGGGCGGTGTACTGGCATGTGACGGGGGCTTACACTGACGTGGGCTGGCTCCAGGTCTCCAGCTCAGCGGTGTGAAGATTTTGGAAGAAGAGGGGGTAAAGGAGTTTCAATTGCAAGCAGCTCTGTGAGGATGGTTTCACGATCATGGATGAGATTAACGTGGTAATCCGTGCTACTCTGTGCTTAATTTTGGTGACATTTTGGGTGCTACGCCTTCATTGTTGTGGTGTTTCAACATCATACTTCCGAGAGATCATTTTGGACACCAAACAATGTAGCCAGATGACATTTCCATTTCTTCTAACAGAGTTTAAGACAGTGTAAATGGTACTTTGGTCTGTGTTTTTATCCATTGAGGCTGTCACTGCTTATAACTATTCAGTTCTTCTGTTTATTTCAGCAAACGGCTTTTACTGCCAAAATGCAACACAAATCATAACCTTCACTGAGCCCCTTTCCCTCAGTTACTGTTGCTAGGCCTGCTAAACTAACCAAACTAGCCGCATGTACATTTTACCAACGAAATGGTGTTAAATTTACCAATCCCAATTTTGTTTGATTTTGAAACAATGACTCCTTGATTTCATACAGAGGTAGAGTTCCCATTTCAAGCCCAACAACTGTAATAAGTGTGTTTATCAACTATCACTAGCTTCAAAAGTAATGTCGGCTAGCTACGTAATTTATTTTATGATGATCAATCAGGCTACTATTCACAGCATATCATGCTAAAAGGCTAAAGCGACATCACAGGTAAAATACAACACATGGAGATGACGGAGGAGCATTGTTTTCGTGGCGTAGCTATATACAATAGTTGTATTATTATGGTACGATATGATAATTAAAATGTGAAGAAAAATACTGTGTTATAGTTTGTTTGACGAAAAAATAAACAGCGCCCTCCCAACTGAATTTCTCTCGCTACAGCTTCCTGCAGATCAAGGTGGAGAAAGTGCGTTGCTACAGATGAGCTAACGCTATGTTGGGCCAACAGGGTTTTAGTGTAAATCTGAGGCTGGCAGACATTTATTTATACAAAAAATGTTGCAGATTATTACTTTAGAGTGTGAGAAGCCTCGTCAGGTGAAACTAAGAATGCACCTCATGATATTTTTTCAGAAAAAAAGTGTTTTGGACAGGAAGTGACTTTTAAGCCCTGAGATGGGGCCGTTAGCTGATGAAGCCCCAGCTATGGGACCATGGAGCTGCTGACTGTTAATAGATTATCTTTGTGTCCTACGACAGTATATCCTCATGTTTAGGGCCTGTGCCCCTTTCTCTTTCTCTCTATTGATGCATTGTGTGCTCTTAATGTCTTGTTTAGCTTTACCGAGCTGTTTGTATATTGTACAGTGGGCAAGTGTGCGTACTCTCGTCTGCCTTCGTTTACAACTTATTGGCACGTCGGTCTGCCGACGTGTAAAAGGAGGACTGTTTTCTTCTTTGCTAAACGTCTAGCAACGACGCTCTACGGTTTTTCTCGCCTATCACTTTCATGACGCAAACGCAACGGAAAAAATATATATATCAGCAGGTGGACAAAATCAGCGAGCGCACATGTTCACATTCACACACGCATGCATGCTATAAGACCTCCTCTCTGCTAATATTTACAGGACTGTCGGTTGGTTTACATCTTCTAAACCCCATCAGGGAGACGCAAGGCATTAGAGGCTCCATTAAAGGCTTTAGAAAGTCACTCTGGAGTCCTACGGAAAACATGACAGCTTAAGAAGTGCAATCAGTCCTTTTCCTTAGATCTCTGATACATCTAACAAAAAGAAATAACGTCCAAATAAATTAAATGCATTGCACACATTGTGCTGGCTTTGCTCCAACTATCATAAACAGGACGCTTTCTTCGTGTCGGACGCGGGGAATTTTGGAAGCACTCACAGTTTCTCTCGAAACTCACATCCTATTCAGACATCCGCCCCTCAAACCTGCTGCATAGTGTCAAACTATCTGCGACGTATAAAACATTGTCCTCTTGTCAGCGGCGTTTCAGCAAGCAGTGTGTTGGGACTGCATGCACTCGGCTGTCTGTCCCCATCTGCGAGTCCCTCTCTGGTCAATTCCCAAACATGCACGGTAAATCTGTTTAGGATGGATATTTGATCCAATCTTTAGTTTGCATCTGCTCCAGTGACGTCCTGTACCTCCTATCTGACCCCCCTTGGCATCGGCATCTGGCATTAATGAGGACGTAATGAGTCTCTCCTCCTCATTTGGTCATTCATTTACCGTGACTTCCCATTGCCTCTGTTAAGAGCCGAGTCATTGAGACCAAAAGCAATTATGACTGGACAGATGGGTTTAAGCTCCACCACACCTTTCACAATAGTTCTAAAAATGTCTTTCGGTCACTTCAAACATTGATACAATGTTTAGAGACCTACTGACCGTATTAATTGCACAGTATGCCTTACCTTGACCAGTCGTTTCCAAACCTTTCCCATCATGCTTCCACTTTGAACACAAAATACTTCACATTTGTGATTGTATTGGACTTAAAAGCCAGTCTACCTTGTTCGGTACCATTGATTTTCATTATAGTTCCACTAAATCCACATCTGGTTTTAGAAGGCAGAGTATCTTGTTATCTTGGTATTAGAGTGAGACAAGTATATAAACCAATGCTGGGGCAACAAGATAATTTGACTTACTTACTCATGATAAAAGGATTAAACAAGACTGTGTGTAAACATTAAAAACAAGTTTAGTAAGAGCTCTTATTAAAACGCTTCCTTTTCAAGCTCAACTGGAGAGTCGTACGCCAACACACGGACGGCTTACTGTGATTCCTGTGTTTGTCTGACAAGAGTCAAACAAACCTCAACGTAAGCTTCCACTTTGACTCAAATAGCTCACGAGGGAGTAAACACACACCGGTCCTATTCTTTGCTTCTCTTCTGACGTCGGCGTCCCTCCGAGGTCAGACCGCCAGCAGCTTGAAGGTTCAGAAGTATTTCGGTTCGCCCGACATTTTGTTTATTGAACACTTTGTGGTGTGAAACACACACACGACCGAGATGAGCTGTTGCTCTTTCTAAGCTAAAGGATTTGTGCTCCTCTTCAAGCAGCCCCCCATGAACACACACACACACGTATCTATATGTGCAGACACATCCCAATTAAGCTCACACGCTTTCTTCACTTTTCACACACACGCACAGTATTGCATTTAATGGGCGAGTTGGGTATGTCCTTGCATGCCAAATGTACTGCAGACGCACTTAATCCAATCTATATTTTCAATCGTTTTGTGCTCAATAAATAATTAAATAGGCTCATTCTCAAATAAGGGCGTCACAGCATATGTGGAACTTTGTGGTTTTTGTTGTGCAATGTTTCTGTCCATCAGTTGAAAAGTTAGGACTTTATATTTTTCTAAATATATATCTATGAGAAGGACTCTATGTATTTGAATACTCTATATGAATATGTCATTGTGTACTGCGTTGCTGGTGTGAGCGGGTGCAGAGGCTTTGTAGTGTTTTGAGCATGTTTGCACAGCCAACCACAGACTTGTACCTCTGCAGACCTGGTGAAAATGATCACGACCGTCAATAAAATATACTGGTAAAGTTCTCTCTGACTGAGCTTCTTTTTTTGAAGGACACACAGATGGACGATCAAAATGAAGCTGGTTATTGTTAATGTTGGAGATCAACCTAATGAGAAACATCACTGGTGAAATGATGAGCACACGAGTTACAAACAACATACCTTCAGGTTGCATCACCTGGAAATAAATATCTTTGTATTATGGAGAGTGACCCGCAGCGGGTAGGATTACGATTAAAGTCAAATCCTTCAACAGCAACAGACAACGGGATAAAATAAGTCACACTTTAAATTAAACCTTTTTGGGATTTATTTGTCTTTAGCCTTTTCGCTGGGCAGTCTACATGTAGTCTACAATATTGAGTACAAAACAGAAATTAAGAATAAGCTAAAATAGTTGAAAACAGAAGAATACAGTGCGAGATATGAATAAAATCATCATTGGCAAATTGGATTGTGGCCCGCAACATACACATATTCTTCCGTATTTAAAATGTAATTGTTTGGTACGATACAGAAACAACATACCTACCATGAAGGAAGTTGAGAAATAAGGGGGTGATAATCAGGTTAAGGACAAGATTATAATTTACACACTGCATTTCGAACAGTTAGTCAACTAACCGCAGTTACTACAGAGATGACACCTTCAAAGCAGCATGTTGTGGGCTGTAATCTAAAGCGTTACTTTCAAGGGTGAATTTAAAAAGGACTGAGAGTGCTGCACATATACGGTGCTCAGAAAATAAATGCTGCTTCTCCTTGCGAGGTCTGGATGGCTCATATGGTGGCAGCATATCAAACGCTTATTTTGGCGCTAGACCATTCTGTGCTTTATGAACCAGTTGTATTTGACTCAGTATAAAATCTGAGCACTGGTGTGACAGGCTCCACTTTACTGTGTTAGTGGCGGCAGAAACTAAGGAGAATGGATTTGTTTTGTTGAATTATGTTGCTCTTTGGGAAGAATCACAATCTTTTACTTTCACTCTTTGCAGTCTATTCCTGCTTTTAAAATGTATTTTCTTTATAAATCTCCTCAGCCAAAAGGTGAACTTGACCCAGATAGCCCAACACAGCTCATATCTCCTGCCGGCTGGCAGTCAGCAGCAGATACTCTGCTTGGCAGTCCCACTGTTTCAGGAAAAGAGATAATTAAATGGAATGAGATGTAAATGTTCCTAATCAATGATTAATGGTTTCCCGTTCGCTGCTCGGCGCTCCAGGCGAGACTCTATCTGAGGCTCCAGCGGGAGGTTCATGCAGGGAGGAACATAATCATTTTCCAATCCATACAGTTATTTATTTTAAAAGTACATCTACAACTCTGTTACATCTGCTTTCTGAATGCGGGCTTGCTTAATACTTTTGCTTTCATCAAAGGAATTCATAAGCACTGAACTTCATTTTCATTTCGGTTGTTTTCACACTGGGTGACTGTGTACTAGTCGAGTTCAACACGTACTTAGCAGATTTACTATAACCTTCAGGATTCTAACTTAAATATTGACTGCTGGCTTGCATAATGGGAATAATGCAGCTAAACACCACAAGATTCTGCAGACTGTACAGTGTGGTCCTCAGGACACTGACTCGTCACCATGGCGACACATTCTCCCAGCACGCTGGCCACATGGACTCATTACCACACCCGAGCAAAGTGAGAACACACAGAGGCTAATAACTTTGAGGAGCACAACAGGAAGCGTTAATCACAAGCTAAAGAATGGCACGAGGAAATATATCAACATTATTTCAATAAACATTTAGAAACAATTATTATTTCTAAATGAGTCTGGCACATTGTTTTTACTTACATTGCTGTTTTGTCTACAGTCTCAGGGAGTAGTTTCCAGTATAAAACAAAGCTCTGATGAACCTACTATACAACATTGCTAGGCTCGGAGAAAACGACAGAGAGACTAGGAAGAGTTAGCGACTAGATAGCTAGGTGGAGAATTTAGCAGGTAATCCGCTCTTTGATGGAAACCAATACAGAGCTAGAAGAGAGTAAATATTGAACTAATGTGCATCGGATTGGGTCAACTTGAATGAATGCTAATGTTGCTCGGAATCTTCTGGATGTGTAAATAGGCAACTGCTTGCTAACATGTGTTCACATTGGTGTTCACATGTGCGTGCTGTTTAAAGCACTTTCACTGTCCCGTAAGTGTTCTCAAACACATGCAGCTTGTAAGACCCTTAAAGGATCGGATTGTTCATGCAGCAACTACCTCCTTAGTGGATGGCCTTTGCTTGGTTGTCATGGAGATGGACCCCATCCTCTCTGGAAGAAGAAGCTCCAGAAATAAAACTTGAAAATAGACTTTGAGTTAAATGACTTTGTCAGACTGCCGTTTCCAATGTTAATAATAACTTAGAAGTTGCATCCTTATAATATGTCTTAAACCTCAGTGCCGTTTCTTTTTAAATGCATACTTTATGTCAATTAAATCAATTTCATGGCATTCTTGGGACTTTGATGCTCAATTAAGGCACAGGTCTGCTTTCAGCTGTACAAACATCGCCGTGCTAACATAAAGCAGGTATAATGCTAACCATTTTCAACACCACAGTACTACTGAGTCCGATGTGAATGCCGTTAGGTCTGCAGGTATTAAGTTACAAAGCAAGGTAACGGACACGATTCAATTTTGAACTAAGGATGGCGCGAAATGAAAAGGGAGCAACATTACTGACCAAAATTAATCCTACAGAGATAAATGCACAACATGCACGCAGCATAAAACTATACAGAATTGAATTGAAGGTCACTTCTTGCACACAACTTCGATATGTTATTTCAATTCAATGCCTGACATTTAGGGACCCAGGACGTTCACTGCTTAAAAAGTTTATAATTCAGCAGTCAAACACACCTAGAGCACGGCTAAGACAGCCAGCACGCACAGTTCAACACAAATAACAGCTCTGTGACATAATCCCCCTCAGTTGTAGGCACTGCTGAGTCCGTGCAGCTCTCTATCAGCACAAAGCTGGAGAGGGAGCCTGAAGTATTTTCCAATTAGGCGGCGAGAGCTCGTCTCGGAGCTGCAGATGAGATGCACAGCCACATCGCAGCAACTTGACATTCCCGGCAGCCACTTGTGTGAACCTCCGTCTGTCGGCCGTCCACGCACCAGAAGTTTCATGACAGAGCGGTGACAGCAGAGTCGCCGATGCCTTTGCTGGGAATATTCGCTGTCTGCATGATACATATATCATGCAGACAGCCATAACCATCCGTGTTGTTCCATGTAGCAGCAGTAGGGCAACCATGGCCCTTTGTTGTATTTTTTTAAGCCATTTAACCGTAACGGATGGTTGTATTTAAATTGGATTTGTGCGTGTGGGATACGTGTGATATGTGTTTTGTGGAGCCACCCTGTGTGCCATAGTCCTCCTCGTTATGTTGCCAGGTTGTTGTTGTTCTCCTTAACAATGGTCATCACTTACTTAAATGTGACTAAAAATGTTGCAGCAGCTCTTCCTGAATTATTTCAACACTCTGGTTTATGACCAAATACAACGAACTAATGAAGCTCTTGTGTAAGTTCAGTCAGAAGACAATACTATAGCACGCATAAGATCGTAGTTTGTTTCCCATTCATCCGTCAATCACTCCTCACACATGCTCACTTATTATGTCCTTCCTGTCATTGTTTGAGGCTTTCAATCATGATGTCGGCTGTTTGGATCAGCTGCTCTCTTCTATCCAATAGCACAACGAAACAATTAGATCATAGAAACATATCAACCACATAATTGCATGAAAGGGTCAGGTGACTTTGAGGTGAATAAAAACATCTGTCAGGACAACAAAGGAGAATATCGTACATGTCAGAAAATGTGCGGCTGTCAAAGATACGAGGCAAGCGCCTTCCATTGGAGATTAGGCCGTAAATATCTGAACACAATAAGTGCACAAACATCACAACAGAGCTTAGGTGTGTGGCAATGCTGTGCCTCAATAATGCGCCATGTCATCTTTTCTAATCTGGGATTGACTAATCCTCCTCTGCTCCTGATCCAGACGGACACATTGTCTCCTCTGCTGCGGTGAGAGGATTCCATATGGAGGGTTTATGTTGAACCTGCGGTCTTTCTGGCTGCAGGGCGGTAGTCTCGGGCACCATGTGCACCACCATCATGGTTCTCTCCACTCTGGCTCTGGTACTGCGCCGACATTTCAACAGCCGAGACAACAGGACGTGAGTAGTAGTTGTTTTTGTAAACGTTTATCTAATCACCGCGGGGTTTGGCTCCTCACTCCAGTTCTGCCACATTATAAGTTAATTTAGCTTTGCATTCTTAAGGTAAGATTTAATAACAGCGCTGTAGACTGGAGACTTGACTCAGACTACTTAGAGGTATTTTTATTTAACTGCTTCTTGTCGCGGAGGAAATTGGTTATTGGAGATGCAGTTAAATAGACCTAATTCTGAATACTCTAAATCATCAATCATCGTTACGTTGTAAGTCTTACACTCGGGGTTCTGCCGTCCAAATTCCCCAACCAGAATCTCAGCCCCCTGAGATGTTTTGTCAAACCAACCAAATTATCTTACTTATTAATTTAACTGTTCTGATCGTTTCGTCATCCCAATTTTTTTTTCAAATTGTGAATGTGAATGAATGAATGAATTTAATCCTTAACATTATTGTGTGTAAGTGTAGATTGTAAAGTCTGACTACGAAGGGTACATTAGTGCCCTTCACACATTGCAGCACACATTTTTAACACAGTCTTTATATAAAACATTTTTTAAAAAGCAACGGACATGCATGGAGGAAAGCTCGTCTCATCCATATCACACGCCCAATTGGCCATTTTGTGATCCATTACAGCTATAATGAGCACCGTCAGGCCACAGCTGCCGGCTCATTCTCTCACTGATTAAGAATAGCATGTCGCCGGGTTGAAATTAATCGCATTCAAATCATCAGTAATCAAGAATTTGAGTATCCTCAGGTGCGATTTAATCCTCGGAAAAATGCCCAACCACTATTTTTAGTCAATTCTAGATCCATCCATCTACTTTAAAGACACCTATCCCTCATCAACGTGATCTCCAAAACCTGTTCGTGAAAATGTATACGAAAATCTTGAACATACAAATTCGTAACAATACATACGAACTGCGGGGGTTAACCACGCCCCTTGAGTGAACAACATGGCGGACCATGTCGGATTCCTGAGTGAACGTCTCTCCGCCATGTTGGATTTTTTGAGGGGGTTAGGGTTAGTATTCTATTCTTACAAGTTAACATTGATTTCTCGTTAAAAATGCAATCATAACACGTTTATTTTACATGGTTAGACTTCACAAAGTGTGTTTACGGGGTGCAGGTCCCCATTCACTTTGAATAGGGTGACGTCATCAGTTGCAGTCCGTATTTATTTCGTATGTATCACTACGAAATTTGTATGTTCAAGATTTTCGTATAAATTTTTACGAACAGGTTTTGGAGATCAGGCTGCCCTCATACAGTGAGGGTGACAGGGGGGGGGGTTCAATCCCAGCTAACATCGGGCAAGAGACGGGGTGCATCCTGGACTCACTCGCCTCCACACACCTGCGGGCAATTTAGAGTCAGCGATTAACCCAATCCCAGAGCACGTCTTTGGAGCAGACACACGGGGAGAACATGCAGACTCCACGCTGGGTGGAGTAGAACCCGGGACCTTCTTGCAGTGCCAACCACCACACCACCGTGCTGGCCTAAATTCTAGATTGGAAACTCCAAATCCTTACTGATAACTGGGAATCTTTATAAGATGCATATCTTGCATTCAATAGTAGGAGTTTTATTAAAAGTAACACTTTTAACCCTTGGTAACTGGAGGATCCTGTTGAAAGCTTTAGCTTTAATACTTTCATCTCTAAATATAGGTGATGATCTCTTCCGGTGCTCAGGCGGTGCCGGGGTCTGCTTAATATTTAAGAATAAATTGCTTTAGACGCCATCAACCTCAGGTCGTCAGATATTGATCTCTCCGCTTAATTGTGTGTAATGAGGTGCGGCGCCTCAGTGGGAGATCAATGTCTAATGCCGGACTACTACATGAGTCATTATCCCCCCCCTCTCCCCCGGGGCAGGGCCCATCCTTGGATCTCCTTGGCGCTTATCACAACATCCAAAACAACATCTTTGGACAAACACGGCAATTATGTGGTGTGAATGCCGCGGGGCCCCGGGGCCTGCATTGATTCCAAGGTGGCGGTGTGCTGGGAAACCAGCTGAACTCTGCGAAATGTTTTTGTCTCTGTGGGTTCGTCAGTGTCACAGTGGCTGTTTTCGTTACTGGAGGGAATCTCCGAGAACTGGATGCTATTCTGAGCCGGCTAGAAACCGGTGCTGATTGCAAATGTCAAGGTTATTATGTTGGGAGACGCAGCAACACTGACGGACTGAAAAAGGTTGGGTTAATAAGCCCCTTATGACGATTTTAAACATGATGAACATGCACTCAAGTCTTGGCTATCAATCAAATTATTGAAGCACAATGGCATGCCGGTTTCTGATAATAAACAGACAGGTGTCTTTAATATGACATCTAAGGAATTGAGTTTGAGATTGTCTTTCTATAAAGTGGTTGAACAAAGTGTGTGTAACAGATTTTATAGTATAGTTTCTCAGGAACAAAGCCGTTCTCATAAAACGCCACAAATCCAAACTGATCATTTACTTAATTACAGAGGCACATCCAGTAATAACCGTCCGTTTATTTTGACATTCAACTAAATAAACCGATGAAATAATTATACCTTATGGAGTTGCTGAAAGGTTGAATCATAAACGCAGCCTTAATTAAGAAACTGCACCGTAAAAAAGACGGATATTTGATGATGAAAGAGTCATTTGAAAAAGGGTTTCCAATGATAGAGAATTGACTATCTTTATCAGGAGTAGAGAATTAGTCCTGTTTTAATTACTCACCTAATTATACCTGTATACAACTAAACACACCTACAGTGTGTATTCTACTCTAGAATGAGCTGAACGCTAAGGGCCGTCCATCCATCTTCAAACCACTTATCCTGCACACAGGGGGGCTGCAGTCAATCCAACCCAACTTTGGGGAGAGAGACGGGGTCCACCCTGGATTGGTCGCCAGCCAATCGCAGGACTCAGAGACACAGAGACAAACAACCATTCACACTCACATCCACACACCTACGGGCAATTTAGAGTCACCAATTAACCTGATCCCCAGAGCATGTTTTTGGACTGTGGGAGGAAGCCGGAGAACCCGGAGAGAACCCACGCAGACACGGGGAGAACATGCAGACTCCACACAGAAAGGCCAGATCCAAGGATCAAAACCGTGATGCAGTTTTACAACCCTTTGCACCCCTAGCGGCAGCTCAGGAAAAACAATTACAGCCACGTGCTTTGGTAAATGTTCAACAGCAGCCGAACAGAAAGAACCTGCTGTTGCACTCCTTGATTGGATGGAAACACATCAACGGGGAATCCAATTTGCTTTGTGTGCGCTCACTGAGCCAGCTGCAGAAATAACATGAAAGGGCAGAATAAAGCACCTCAAAACAGGAACGTTTTAAGTCCGCGTTTCTTTTCAAGTCATGAAAAACCTTTGTTGAAGGGATGGTAAAATACAAATTTGGCTGACACACACACGCACACACACTGCCCCAACACTCCTGTGGTTGTCTGAGACGGCGTGAGGCGTAACCCCACCCTCTCTATAGGGCAGCAGATCGCTTCCAGTAACTTGAAAAGACCCCCACTGCCCCCTCACAAGTGTGCTTCATCAAAGTCCTTCACGATCCTGCTCTATGGATAACACACAGTTCTGACCCTTTTACGACTTCCTTCTCCTCCCAGCTTTCCTGAGGACTCGGGGGGGAATAAGGCACCGAGTGTGCAGAGCAGCAAGGACTGAGAGGGAGTGAGGCTCAGCGTGTTAGCAGGCCCCCACATCAGGAAAAACCACGGTAAACACATTTGTTGTCTTATGTCATCAATCCCCTCCGTGGACCGGTCAGGTGATTGATCCGAGCCTTTGAGAGCAGGATGAACCACTTCATCACCGCTCTGAATTACCGCTAATGAATTGAACTACATGTAATCGCCGCCCTGCCCTTTCACGGGAGGAGAGGTGGTTCATAAATCTTCTCTGGGACAGTTTGTAGGAAACTAAATATGTCACGCTTTTGATGGAGGCGTCTCGCTCCTTGCTTCACGGTGACAGAAAGTTAGACGGTAGGTCTATTGTCATTCTTAATTCCCCATGTTTTAACACATCAAAATGATACAAGTCTATACAGTTGAAAGTCATATTATGCACAATGACGTTTTATTTGCTTAACAAAAAGGAAAAAACAAGTGTTTCTGTGTTTGTGTCCACCACCGTTCAAAGTATCTCTGGCATGCCAGTCGGCCCACCGATAACATCAGCGTGACATCTGGCTCATGTACCACAGGCACCACGACGGGTCTAAAACATGATGGTGTTTTTTCTCTCCACAGAATCCTCAGCCTCCAGCAGGGAGATTGTTCTCAATAGGTACGTGTTCATTATTCTGACCAAGCCTGTTCCCACCACGCCGGTTTCCTCTGTAGAATTCAGCAGCTGGAACATTTGTGCAGTAAAAAGGTAACTCTGCATTTTAAAGATGGGTTTTGTCAGCTTTTAATAATGGGACCACAGTGTGACCACTACATCTACACTGATACCCTAAACCCCGCTGCAGGAACTGAGAGTATCAGTGTCTGGGCTCGTGTGACAGCGGGGCGGGGATGGTAAGCAGCGCAGTGACCCGGCGCTGGAGACGCACTGTGCACAGCAGACATCATGGCTGGGAGGGGAGACGGCCGGGCTACGGATACGCGTTTGCCGGAGCACTGGAGGGATGTGCGAGAATGGAGCGTGGAGAAGAGACAGAGCCACCAAGTAAGAGCCTCTCTCTCTCTCTCTCTCTCTGTCTCGCTGTCGCTCACTGCGTCTCAACTCGTCGTGTTCTTATTCGACTGAACCCAGAGCGGCCTGTCGATACTAAGTCATTCAGACAGTATGTGGTGTTGTCTCTGCTCGGAGCCTCTGGGAGCCGCCCAGAAGATCACTCAACGCTTCTTTACTCATCTCTCGTGTAATCGCTCCATTATTGAACGCGTTTGTATGTTGTTCTGCAGAAAAAAGGTAAATGCTTCCTGAGTCGTTTAAAAAAAAAATCAGCTATAAAGTGTGAGTAGCAGGAAATGCATTGTTAGTGTTTGACGTTTATGATGTAGTGTGTGGGTTGATGGATGAGGTGACCCGCATCTCCTCAAAGCTTTGTGATGGAGATAAGTTTAGAAGTGAGGTCAAAAACTGTACCAATTACTGTGTTAATAAGCTTCTTAATAAAGCCATTAACACAGACAAATTACATTAAAGTCATTATGAAACACCATTAAACCATGCTGTGCTCTGAGTTAATACAACGCAAAGAAGGACAAATCTGCCTCTGGGCACAAACTGGGATTTTTTTGTATATCTGGAAAGCCAAAAATACCAAAGTAAATGTAATAACTATGCACCCGAGAGCCTGACAAACAGGCTACACATGTCTTTCAAATTAACACAAAGCCCTTATTGCCATTACTAGCCATTACTAGAAAGGTCGCAGGTCACAGCCTCATTCACAGATGGTTCAGCATTCTGCTCTACAAAAGCGCCACCTTAAATCTTCCCAGAGATGTAGTCATTCCGCATGAATAAGGCATAAGGAGCAACCCAATAGTGGACGAGTGACTAAGAGGAGGCGGCCCTGCATGCTTCAGTAGTTATTATATTGCTGAAGCAGTAGAACTTGAGATGAATTCATAATAAAATAGTTGGCATGGGGACCACATGGATGTTCTGGGCCTCTCTTAAAAACTTTATATGCAGCACATCTTCTTACCGAATGTTGGAAGAACACCTTTACAGGACCTCATCTCTAGATAATGCCATACAATTGTTTTCCCCTCAACAGAAGTTAAAATGAGTAAATTAGGGAGGTACAGCTAAAAACTCCTTATAACCATTTTTAACTGAAACAAAGCACAATTCCCTCACCAGGCCACTGAGTACGGAGCAAAAAACACGTGGCGGATGCACTCATTAACCGGAACAACCAGATGGATCGTTACACTGAACCACCCAGAGGCTATCCATGGAAGGGTTTGGAAAAGGGCAACTACTTTCCAAAAATACATCTGAAGGAAATCGGAAGGAGAGCGAAGAACATCCGTCGGTGTCGTTCTTTTCTTTGCTTTCAATTAAGAATGACTCTCTGGTTCAGCATGTACGCTCTGCCTCCCTGCAGCATCCTGCAGCATGTCATCAGCCTCCCATGTGCACACACACACACACACACACACACACACACACACACACACACAGGCACATGCATCTGCTGAAACCTCTGACTTCACTCCACCAGCGCCAGTCTGTGCACAGGCAGTTCAGATGTTGTCATTCGGTTTGCTGGAGGATTTGGGCAGCCTTATTCAAAAGGGATATTCTCTCTTTTATTTATGCTGCGTTCTATTTTCCTTTTGTCTGAGACATTTCTGCCTACGGGACACGTAGGCAGAAATCTCACGTGTTACCGTAGTTGTGATAATTCAGGTAGTGTTCCTGGTTTCAGAGAGACACTCTATTCATGTAGGAGCAAAGGGTTCCAGAGGTTCAATAGGAAACCCAAACCATGTATTTGATCAATATGTCTTTAAAACAAAGGCTTAATACCTGCATTTATTCATTTATTCTGTGGAGGTTGGCAATGAGATAGAATACAAAGCAAAGTAATGTGTTTTTGTCTTCTAGGAGGTTAAACATGTTTACAAAAAGAAGTGATGTAGCTCTTTAAAGCTCCTTAAAAATCATTCCAGAAAATGTCACCAACCACCAACCTCGTTAGAAAACCACATTCTTCCGACACTGCCCCTCCCACACTAATCCTGCTAGAAAAGCACAAGACAAAAACAAAAATACAGAAATCTCTGAAGAAACTGAAACTGACTGAAAATGTCTTGATGTGGAACAAGAAAATATGCTCCTTTCATTTGAATCCAAAATGAAAAGAAAATGTGCCTTCAAGTGTGGGTCTTTTGCATTTTCCATTGATCAATGAGAATTTCGCTTTGAGACTAAAGCTAACCAACCTGTGTGGCTTCCTGTAGCTTCCTGAATATTCCATTCACTTAAATGTGAAACTACTCTCAGAGGGTCTGCTGTGATCAAAAGGTGCAATATCCAATCCCGCTTCGCAACATCTCTCCGTAGATGATGAAATTCTCTCTCTCTCTCTCTCTCTCTCTCACAGATGTGGGTTGCAGATGTGGAAGCTGTCCTCAGGTCCATGGAGAGACAGTTGGTGAGTTTTTAAAAGAAGACGGTGTGTATATGCCTCGACTAGACCCATTAGTCCATGAAGACACTTGTTGTGATCATTCTAAATGACAATGGTGTTTTTGAATATGGCCTCCTGCAGCTCCTTGTGTCAAACTAACATACCCGTTTCCCAGAATGCTTCACTGGAGAAATATCCTCGTACAAGCGCAGTCTGCCCAGAGCGTTGTCCTCCATCTCCTTTGAACCGCGGCGGGTGTCTCTGCTGCCGACCAGCTGATCCGGAGAGGCGCCTTAAGATGGTCTGAAATGATTTGGAGGCAAGAGAAACGCTCAGCGATCCCGTTTTCTTTGCAAACCTGAACCCTTCAATCCCTCATGCAATGACCTGTCCTCATAAGCCGTTTTTGCCATTCAGCTGAGGAAAGTCATTTCACACTTGAGTGTATCTTTACTTATCCGTCCCCTGAGCGCTGAAAAGTAGATTTCAACTTGAGATCTTCCCGCGATGACTTCCAGCTTCATGTTCTTAATACTCTGCTAACGACTGACTAATGAATAAACAAGTCTCTCTGCGACACAGGCTTCTGTTGTCTCTATTGGAGGGGTGGGGGGGGGGTCCTTACCCACATTGTATGCAGCACAGAAACAAGCTACCAGGTTTACTCTTTTGAATCATTTGAAATTTTACTCTCTGCACGTAGATTGTAAAAGCAGTGATGCACTAATATGTATTACGAACTATTGAATCCTTCGGACGTACAGCATCTCAGCAGTTAATGCTGTTTTTCATCTTTCTACGAGCGGACCATTTCCTTTGCCAAGAGATGAAACCGTATTTCCTCTCTGATTACATAAATAACTGAATCCTTATTGATAATAAGGTTGTTTTCCTGTTTGTTGTCCCGCCGACCGGTGTGCATTCAATTTAAGCTCCGCTGGGACCGACAGGCCAGAGTTGTTCTGAAAATGGCACCAAAAACCCTCACTGAGACTGAGAGTGCTATGCATCTACTATAAGAGACATGCCCCTGTTGGCCGTTGTGACAACTGTGTACCAAATCCTTCCAGCCGTGGCACGCGATTGGGGGAACTAATGTGCCGAATACGTTGCCTGCGAACATCGCCTCTGCCAAGCGTGCACTCTGAATCCGCCTGTGTAATGGAGGCAGTGTGGCACACGCATATCTGCTGTTAGCAGAGGCAGCACTTCCATATCTCGCCGTGGCCTCCTGCCCCTGATGAGCCCCTCCGACTCAAATCACGAGTGGAAAGCGGGGCTTTTGTGAGCTTGGTTAAGTGGCGCAGCTTGGGTAATGAGTGTGGTCTCCCATGGTCTGGCAGACCATGGGAGTTAATCAAATGACGGGCGAGAGAGCCGTGATTCCTAATGGAGTCAAAAAAGAAAGAGAGAGAGAGAGATGTAGAGTTTGGGACTAATACAGGGACCGCTTTCTTCCCCAATCACCTGGGCAGCTGCAGACTTAATCATATCTCCACAGACTTTGAGATTCAATACAGAAAAAACCTTGAGCAAGGACCGGGAGTTAAAGCTGAAGAGCAGGACTTGTTGTCTGTTGAGAAGCTGATTATGGTTGTGTTGTTGACTGTTGGCAGTAGAAGGACGCAAAGTATTTGGACATCGACCTGTTCTGAAGCAATCTGTCATAAATCACAGTAGCTGTGATATTTCATTTTTCCTCACATGTGCATCATGAGGGATCCTCACAGCTCGTCTATGTGTACAAACAGGTGCACAAAGGGGGAGAAAGACCATTTGTACAAGAGAATAAAATAAATGACTCATTTTGTCCCAGTAGCACCTCTCCATCTTCTGAAAAGCCTGCACATAAAATGTGTTCCTCTGGTGATAAGACCAGCAAACAATCAAGCAGCAGCCTCCCACAGCGAGAGCCGAGGTCTGATGAGATGCCACTCACAGGCAATTAGAACGCCGCCTCAAAAACCCTCGGATGCACAACTCCAACTCTCTCTCCCTCCCTCCCTCTCTAACGGCTCACAGGTTGCGTTTGTTTGTCAGGGGGCTCGACCCCGCGGTTGACACCAGGATGGAGGGAATGAGACGATGCTATTTGTGACCAGAGTAAAGCCTCAATGCAAAGACTAGATGTATTACTTATTCCAAAAGTGTTCAGGGTTCAATGCTTGTCTAACACAAAGCCGCTTTTCGACACTTACATGGATCCCTCTAATCGAGTCAAGGAACTCGGTTGAGTTGTTTTGAAAGACTGTACGTGGGTCCGCCCCCACCGCCATCACGCTAATCCGGCGGCCTCCCCCGCAGCCACGCTCCAACAGGCAGGCCGCGGGAACGGGGGTGACCCGATAAAGTGCGTCCGCTTGTAATGAGGAGTGATTCCCCCGCTGCAGAGGGAGGGCCCGGGCTTCCCCCCGTCTGCTCTTCTTGGCACATCTTCTGTTGGGCGAGTGACTCAGCCCTTTGGATGCCCCGTGCTGCCAGGCGGCAGCTGAGTTGTATTAAAGACGGCCTGGTGAGCCCCTCCAAATCATGGAGAAAAGAAGAAGAACTCCTTGACATGAACTTTTTGCTTGTTTTTGGTATAAGAATATTTTGTCTATGCAATAAACTGTCCGAGTAATAAACATCACGTGTTGGCTTTTGGAAATTATAATACATATTTTTTATGGACAAAGACCAAAAAACAGGTGATTTTAAAGCGATAGGACCCCTGACAACACTATTAAGTTGCTAGGCAACCAGCAAAGCTCTTGGGAAGTTAATGCACATATCACCGCGTAACAAAACAACAATTCGTCTTTGCACTTTGGTTTTGAAGTTTGAAGTTACAACATGTTAAATAGCTTTAATTAAAGCCGTGCGAGTAGGCATATTTTGTAACAAGCCAGCTGTTTCCCATCTTAATGCTAAGCTAAGATAGCCAGACCCAAATTTTACATTTACCATACAAACAAGTGAACTGATCAACGAGGACAACACTTGCTTTCAGCAGCCCTAAACCTACTGTAACATAAACACAAGCATAGCAAAGTGCCAGGAGTGAATGACGTATGGAAAGAGGCTCGTAGCTGACACAAGGCGCACACACCATCACTTTAACAACTCATCAACATCCCGTTTTGATTCCACGCTTGTCGACAGTGTCTCATGTATTCAATAGATGACGGTTGTAGACACTTTATAGCAGTTTCTTAAAATCCCATTTTCAGTTTTCCCAGCAGCCAATCTAGAGCACGGAGAATGATTTTTCAGGAAGTTATTCAAAAAGGATGATCCTCTTCACAGCATCCAGACTTGATTAGTTTTAAATGATCCATTTCACAGTCAGTGGATATATATTTGTCACGGTTATTACTGTTGTTTCAGAGCTCGGAAAGCTTAGCTGCCAGCGATAGACAGGTTTGCATAACTCTTATATAATAATAGCAGCGCCTTGACAGAAGAGAGGGGGGGGGCATCTGAAGAAACAGAGCAGAATTAAGGGGCAAGTGAAGGAGAGCCAGGCGGACAGGCAAACTCTTTCTGCAAGACATCAGTGCTAAGCGACCCAGACGAGGGAATCTGTCACGTTGGATGCCACTGCTAACTAAATGCTGAGGTATACGACATTCCTTCCACCCACTCAGTGTACTGTCAGTGTGTGTGTGTGTGTGTGTGTGTAGGGTGTGGGATGGTGTTAGGTCAGGAGCAGGGCTTAGTGAATGTTATATAAGCAATAATTAGGTTAATGTATTGATGTTATTGATATGCACTGACATCTGTGCTGCGCGTCTCTCACAGCAGATATTGGCTGAGTATCAGTTATCACGGCTTGTGTCAGCGGTCTCGTGTTCAGGAGATGAAACCAGATGGCGAGGGATGCCAGTTTAGCGAAATTAGTGCAAACTATGTGGTATGTGTGCAGAAATGATGCAGTGATAACGTTTGTTTCATCACCCCTTCTGAGAGGAAAACCTCTCTAAAATCTACAGGCACATATTGGGTATGGACAGCACGGTGTCTTAAATCACATAATAATAATAAACACGGCATGTATACAGTGAGGCAGGGAGCCCTCCTCCCCTCACCCCTTCAATGCCAGGCAGCAAGAGAGCTCACAGCTGGAGATGGGTGGAAGTGAGCCTCCACGGTCTCCTTTCAGGCTGCTCTCCCGCTCCTCAGCTGTGCCATTTTCAATCAATAGCTTCTTACGGAAATCAGCATCCACGCGACGGCTTGAAATGAAAGGCCCCCTTTGTGGCGAGGTGTAGTGTGTGTAATGATGTGAAAGAAACGCACAAGTTTTTCACAGGAATTTTCTCCCCTTTGCATAAAATTACATAATATGTTCACGTTAAAAGAGAAGCGTGAATGGATTCTTTTTTTTTGGGGGGGGGGGGGGGGCGGGGGGGCTACATTAACAGCTAAAGTAGGGCTTAATGTAATGACTAACTATCTTCTGCAGCAAGGTGGAAGAAAAGCGGTGCGTTTACTTGCATGTGAATTATCATGTTGTTCCCCCTCTGGCTCCAGGTGTTTACTCGGGCCACTTATAATTCACATCTGCATATATTCTCACCTCCTTCTCCTTCTCCTCCTGCTTCTCCTCCCGCTTCTTCCTCTCTGTGGATCGGTGCCTGCAGGCAGAACCGGAACGCAAGGATGACTTTGATTTGACCAAAGAGAAATCAGACAAACTTCTTAATTATATTTCCTCAAAGCAATATTCTCCTCTGACACATGACTGATGCACTGATGATGAACTACGGTGCCAGTAATGGATTTTATGGCGAGGACAAAATGTGAAGACGGGGCTAGAGGGCCACTTTACTAGGAAGGAAAAAGAATTAAAGCAGGATGTTCATAGTCACACTTAATGTACAATTAAGACTCAATAACGACTTACAGCGAAAACATACTAACGTGTTGTTGAGTAGTGAAAAAGAACACAACAGTTATAAAGTTGTGCTTTAACACATACTTTAGATGAATTGTGTTGTGATCATTTCCACTACTGCTTTACACAAAATCCATGGAATATATTGTCATTAGAAAAGCACAGCACTGCATATTAGTTTTTAGAAAAGCTTTTTAGGTGACTACCGGCTGCCGCTTTCTTAATCCAACATCGCCACCTATGGACGGACCGGGGTAACTGCTCCATTAAGAAGTCGAGCGGAATGAGTGAATCTTCACCTGATGCTGACTACATTAACATTAGTTTATTTTCTGGTGGGCAGAAGGTGTAACAGAATTCACCAGCGCGGTAGGTGAAGGCTAACGGCCTTAACATTATCTGAATAATGGCATCTTGCAGGGAAAAACAACTTTTGGCTACTTCTATTATTGAATGTTATCATTAGAATGACTACAACACAGTAAATAACCACCATGGTGCCACACCAAATGTTTATTGTGGATATCACAGTATATCCCAACTGTTAAGAAATCCAAAATGTAATTCAGTATATACTTACATGTTTGGAGCAGCAGTCCCTCAACGGGAAAAAAGTCCAAATTCCTGCATTCAAAAAGGAAATCCAATCAACAACATAAAATTAGTGGAGCTCATTTTGACCGTATGCAGTAGGGTGCAGGGTAGTTTTGTATATAACATACAATAATCTAATATAGAACAATACCATATGTTTTTCATTTGAGTATGTGAATAAACATCTGTAGCATAAAGTAGAATCAAATGGAAACACTCAAACATGCAAACAGTATGGTTCTTCAGTAAAGGCACAATAAAGGAGTTTTTCCACCTCTGTAATGCACACTATTTATGACTTTATTGAAGAGATTTATTGAAATGCATTTGTTCATTATGTGGAGTTGATATGTGTCTCAATCATTCTTCATTGGTCGTCGCCATCCGACGGCGAAACGGTATCACTTTCTATGAAGCCAATGTCGACGAGGCTTAGAATGTACTCATAGCGCTCTACAATAGGGGATAAAACCACTCATAACGATTCACAATAGCATTTTATGATGACTTATAAGAAGTATCTAATATCTCAAAATATGCTGATCCTTGACTGACATTTATTTTCAAGGATGACAGAGTATGATAATCTTCTATTACATACTTTGTAATTACACATTATTCTAATCAGTCACTGTTTGCTGTAAGAGAAGTGGAAAAAATTCTCAGCAAGAAAAAATAAATTGTAACATACATTTTTTTTTTATCATGACTGATGATTATATTTTTTTACTATGACAACCTGGAGTAACTTAAAATACATTAGGAAGCATTATCAGTAATTAAAAATGAACAAATGCATCAATGGCATTTTCTCCATTTGCAGTCATCTTTTTCTGTGTTACAGAAGTTCACTAATGTGTTAAAGGACACTAACAGAATGAAATACTCAATTGTAATTACTGTTCTTTTGGTCATCGAAACCTTTTTTTGGTTCCAATTATCACTAATTAAAATGCATTTGTGTGCAATCGACAAACCTAATTACATACAGAGTGCTACACTCTCTCCTTCTAATTATCTTAAGACAATTGGTGTGATTTCTGAACCAGATTTTTTTTGTTCCTGGTTTACCAATTTAAAATTTGAACCCCGTCCGATTGAGGGGATACTGAAATGTGTTTGAGGGTTAGCATACACAATAATACAACAGATGATATTTGGATAACTGAACTGTACTTCAACCTAAATCGATAGGCCTTTTCTTCCACATAAAACATTCTGACGCTGGCTCACTGACGTGCTGCCACCACGTATTGGGACCCACGAATAGAGCAGAGCCATTGTTAGTATTATCAGCACAGAACACTGCAACCCCGCACTTACAGACTCTCTTCTCAATCACTTTCTTATTACTACAGTTAGAAAATGCAAAAGTTCTTCTAAAATCCCACTTCCTTCATTGTGCCACTAGGGGGAAGCAGATTGTCTGTTTTCAGCGGCAGAACAACTAAACAGCGAAGTTTAAAGTGAAGTGCCGGCGGGTTTTTGTGAGTCAAGTCAGCATGAGGCACCAAAAACAACTGAGAGAAAACCGTCAGTTGTAACCTGAAAATAAAAGTGTACCGTTGTCCGTTGATAGATTTATGAAAGTATGCTGATTAAATTGATGGCTTAAAAATGTAGAAATATACTACTAGTATAAACAAAAATCGCATTCTCTTGTAATACCAATAAAAAATATTTCCAAGGTTTTTCTGTTCTTGCCCTGTAACTGTAACTCATCTAATGTCCCAAAACATCACAGGGTGATTAGTATTGAATGGAAACTACACACTGGTGATCCAACCATGCAAAGTATGCAAGGCCGTAGATCTACTGAGCATCAACTGGTTTGGGAAAACTTCATTGATATTTTGTTACGATATGACATAACATACGCTGAATTAAAAGATACTACAATCACTCCTCTTGTGTACACTTTTAATTGCAGATCAATAACTATAGGAAAAATAGGACGCCACTTCGGTGTTTTGAGGTAGCAAAACACTGAAGCGGGGAACAAAATATTCGCCTTATTTTGAAAGGTCCCCGGATGTGGTGAGTGACAGTCCGTCTCACTTAACAGTCCGACCAGCAGGCTGTCAGTCGAAAGTCTCCGCTCGCCTCTCACCGCCCGAGCGGGCAGCTATGTGACAGAGCGGCCGCTGTTTTATCCCCGACCTCCCCCCACCCGCGCGTCTCCCCCGTCCGCTCAGGATGGACCAGAGGACAGCGGAACCGGACCGCAACTACAGCATCAGCCCGGTTTCGCTGTACGGGGAATTCACCCTCACGGGTAACCCAAAAGTCCGCTGCGCCGTGAGCTTGACCGAGAGGGACCTGATCGTTCAGAGGCTCACCTCGGCACCTGCCGGCCGGAGCAAGGTGGCGCTCAGCCTGAAGGACTGCGTCGGATGCCGGGCTTACCGGGCGGACGACAACGCGGACCCGGCTGCGTACCTAGCGGTCTACTTCTACCCGCTCACGCGGCGCTGGATGAGTCCCGGGAGGTCGCGGCACAGAGCGGAGCACAGCTTTCGCGTGGCCGCGCTGCAGGACCCGCGCGCCAACCTGGAGGAGGCTGAGAAGTGGGCTCGCGCCGTCCGAGAGCGCGCAGCGCGGCCACAGTCCCCGAGGAGCGACGGTTAGTGCGCGGGGGTACTGATTAGTAGAGGGGCCGCATTCCAATTAGCTGCGACCGGGATTTAAACGTTACATTCTGGTTGGAAACCGGGTGATTTCTGGTGTGATCGAGTCCTATTTCAGCGTCAAAGTGTCACAAAACATACAAAATGTGTTGATGGTTTCTCCCGTTGTAACGCCAGGATGAAAGAGTGTGAGAGTAATATACAGAGTCATATTACACTGCTCGGTTAAATATTTATATATCTTTCCTTGACCCCCTAAACCCTCTTTCCTTGACTCCGTTAGGTCATTTTTTCAGCCGCAGCCCACATGTCACAGGGATCTGCAAAATTAGCTTCCAACCGAGAAATGTGGATGATTTTTCTCAGCAAGCGTCTAAAATGCCGATATACTATTTCTGGGGCACATAGACGATGAACTAAGCTTCTGAACGTGTTTTCAACGTTTCCCTCGGTGACCGTCATTGTTTATAAAAATCCTTGTCAACGGAAAAATGCAGACATATTAATGATAAGAGTGCACGTATGAAATAAGAAAGACATATTAGAGCAATCAGTTCCCTGTTGATCCATCTCTCTCTGTGCATTGTATTGATTGATATCATTAGTTTCTGGTATTAAAACCTTCATAAAAGCACAATATACATGCTGCAAATGTATAGATTGTAGATTGGGAATCTCCTTGCTATTGGATACGAGTCCTCTCATCAGAGGAGGCCCAGTTGCAATTTTCAAGTCAAAATGTTAATGGCACTTCTTTTTTGGTCTCACTTTGTCTTTTATTAGTTTCCACTTAAACTTTTTCTAAGAAATAAAACACAATGTAATTTTTTATTATTTGCGGTGCAAAAGAGTGTTCTTGTCACTTCATCTCGTACTGGGTGTTTAATCTACTTTAATCTACTCGTAGGAATATAACAATGGGACTGGTGTGGCGTTACATTACAGTAACCCCAAACCCCAAAACATTTGAGACACCTGAGAAATCTAAGTGAGTAACATGCATTGGAGATTTCAAAGGATAAATTATCGTATTATTTGTCCACTTCAGCAAGTTTAATTCCTCTATGAAACAAAAACATGAAAAGCATTTTCTACTTTACACATTTCCCTTCACGTAGCCATGATATCACTCGCACTCTGTGACCCAGATAGCATTTCCTCATTTGCAAAAATGTATTTTTAACACACAAAATAGGCCTGGATTCTATTCTGCCTGTCAGAAGAAGTATTTGGCTTTTGTCACGTGAAGAGACCCTTCTTCATTATTTACTTTGAAACACACTGCTGGCCCCCTGCCTGGAGCTGAACCCGAGACGGGGACCTGGACAATCGTCCCACCGTGGGACAGAGAAACAAACACCGATGCCTCACTGGCTGCGCAGGGATGAAATACACCTCGACCTCTGTCCAGTTCATCCACACACTGAAACACCTGCTGTATCTGCAGCAGCGCTTAAACACACATTTCTGTTTGATGTTCCCGCAGACCATCTATATTCCTAAAGTATGCAAAGTGGAGCAGAAATGACTGACTCAGTGTTTCTCCTCACTTTATATTGTGTGAAAATTAAAACCCACACTTTATGACAGGATTGATTTACACTGTGCAAATGGGATAAAGCAAGCCAAGTATTATAAAATGATTGTGTTAGTTGGTTGGTACATATCTAAACCGAAAGAATGGAGCATAAATGTGGGTCAAGTTTTTACCCCCTGCTGGGCTACCTGCAGAAGTGTCACATTCCTGAGCATGTTTGTCATCGGGAGGATTCATTTCAAACCTCCCTCTGGCCTGAAGGGGCCTTCGGTATTTCTGGAATGTGAAGACAGGATTCCCGTCTTTAAATGTAGTGAGTTAACCATCACCCGAGCGGCCTTGTGAACTGTACTGAATCAATGTTCAGGGCTCTGCATCCGAGCCATTAGTCTCTGAGGTCACTGCTGCCTGTCTGACCTCGTCATCAATATTGGTACGAATGTAGTTCCATCCATGATTATTCAAAGGCCAGCGACATTCCTCTGACCGCCACATACCGTTACACCAAAGGCAGGAGGAAGTGGACAAGACGTTGCATGTCAGGGCCGGCGAGCTGCTGGCTCAGACTCATGAATATCCTCCCTGCTCTGTTCGATTAAATCACTCATTGTGGGTTGTCATCTGGCTTGAGCACTTGAGCCCCTGTGCAGTCTGCTGAGTATACATCAGGTGTTGACTGGTAGTGATATGAGATTAGGTTCAAGAAGGAATGCTGAGAACTTTATCATCATAAAGACCATGTGTTTGTTATGTCTAAAAAAGGCTGTTAGTGTACATGCAATACCATGGAAACGGCCGAGATGCAAAGTCGGAAGCACCTTGTTCAAGCGTCTCAGGGGGGCCGCCGGTGCTCCTTTAAGCAGCAAAATCCAGGCCTCTGTCAGTCAGTCAATTCCGTACCAATACATTGCCTCTGGTCGTGGCACAGTTGAAGCCGGAACGATTGTTTGTGTGCTCTGTTACGCACAATTTCATACGTGCAAGCAAAACAGAGATGGTTTAGGCTGAAGAATGTAATCATGTGATTCCGTTCGAATGTAAAAAGGGGGCCGGCCTAACCCTAAAAGATAAATGTTACTTCCCGTTGTAAATGCGAGCAATGCAGCCATATATAATGCAGATATATAAAATAATCAACGGAGGTCAACAAACACAAATTCTCACATCTAGTGTGATTACGTAGTTTTATGTGTTTATTTTCAAGTCCAACAGAAGGCAATGGACTGCCGATTGTTCAACATTCACCTAGCCGCCAGCTTCTTAAATGTGATCATTTGATGTGTGTGTGTGTGGTCAGACAGTAGTAGTAGCAAAGCTCCTCCCCCTGCAAACTCCTCCTCATTGGATAAATGCTGCGATAGAGCTTGACGTGCTAACGAGGCCTCTGATTCGGCGCTCACAGCATCTTTGAGTCCGTTGACCACCAGCGGGTCTGAATGATGGAGGACGCCGGTGGAACTCGACCCAATCCAGCGTTGCTCCCGTTCGCCGTCGTAGAACTTTTCTCAAACTACAAACTACCATTATGCCACCACGCGTAAGCAGACTCGCTGCCGGCCCAGTCTGCTATTCTCAGAAACGATGACGAGCCGACAACAACCACTAATTGACCGTTCAGCCTACAGAGCAGCTGGTTTACCTCAGAGAAAGTCTGCCTCTGCCTGGCAAAAGAATATGTGCTTGTTGTTTTTTTAATGGTTAGAAGTCAATTTCCTCCATCTGCTGGCACGTTTTATATGCATTCAGGGGGGGGTTGTCTGTGGTAATGCCATGTTAAGCTCTCGTGTCGTGTTTTTATTAAAAACTACGACGTGAGTAATAGTTGCAGGAAGTGAAGACACACTTGAATGTACAGTAAAGCCAATTGATGTGATGCAGTTAAAAGGAAAACAAAACATTACATATGTGGTAAACAAGAGACTTTTGGGAAGTTTATTTTCAACCCAGCGGGGGTGTTACGTCCTCTCTCTGCTGATCTGGGTCTCCGTTTAAGGTCATCTTTGTCTCTTAATCGTACCGATGCAGAGAAAAAACTGTAGAAAGACGAGGTTAGCGGGCGGTGCGGGATCGTTTTAATTAAAACCTCAACGTCACAAACTCTGTGCCTTTCCTAATATAGAGCTACAGCAAGCCAACCGCCTCCTCCTTCCACACCCTTTGTGGTTCTGGCTGCTTCCACTCTTTGATTTAGAGACAGCGTCATGGACGAGAGTCCTCACCTCACTGCACCTAAATGCTGCTGCAGTGAGGCCACTTATGGGAAAACACAGCAAGTATGTACATACAGTTACAATACATAAAAAATATTATACCTGGATGTCTAATCTATATGTAGTTGTTTAAAATGTGCAATATTCTCCCCAAAAATGAAGTGACAAAGCACAAAGTAAAATAAAGTGTAGATACTCAAAGAATTAAAGTGCCTCAAAAATGTCATTTACAAACAAAAAAAGTATACAAAAAGCACATATGAAAATATCAACTGAATCAAATATCCTGCTGCCCAGATTCAGCTGCTCAGCTAAAAGATGACGCGGATCTCCCAAGTTGTGCGTTGTCCGCTTTAGCCTTTGTTTGGCGGCTGAAATGTTATTTTTTGCCTCAGATCCCTACAGTACTCTGAAAAACACACCTCTACCGACTACACCTGGACCAGCTATCACTTCTTCAGCACTTACTACAGCACTTTGTACTTTGGATAAAAGCGTCAGCAAAATGAACAATGTAAACGTGCTTGAGAAAGCGCTCCGCTGGCCTGGGACAAACGCTGACATTTAGTGAGATTGGACATATCTGTCATATTACAGGGTGCAGGGAGGCACTGAAGTACTGACGCAGGTTAACACGTGTTAATCCATTAATCCTTTCATGTGGAAACTGGATTCCCTCCTAATGGGTGTTTGTAAAAAGCTTAAAGGAGGAGGAGTGGGTTGGTCTGTAATGAGAAATTTACTTTCAATAGCAATTCCTCACATATTATCTACTACACACAAAAAAGCTGTTGGTGGACATTTATACCCACATGAAGCAGGAGGCGACAGGAAAATCAGACGCACATGTTATTACGATACGAGCGATTCTTTTCCTACAAAATGAAGAGCACTAACAAAGCAGAACGTGTCCCGATGTCTCCTCTGCCTCTTTAATTCCACTAGATTTGGACGGAGTGGGACCAGTACCATCGAGTGTGATGAAAGACACTCTTTGTAAATCAAGACCGCTCCTTTATTCCCTGATTGGGAACGGTTAATGTTTGGTCACGCTTCTCTGCTCTGGGAGAGGGACTGACTGACGCATGCACAAGTCGTCATCACAACTAGCCAGCGTGAGTCGCCAGGCAACGATGACGGTGTAACACTTGGCGAGGACGCAACATAATAACACAATAGTACATAAATACAAACTAGAGTTCTTATATTATATATATATATATAAAACGCTGTAATATCAAATAGCTTTTGCAGCTCTAGTCAACTTTATATGGCAAAAAATAGGGCACCCCCCTCCAGGCTTAAACTGACACTGTGCCTGATGTACTGGATGAGTTTTCAGATGAAGACAGTCGTCTATTCTCAGACTCTATATGCACCCTTATAGACATTATCGGGGAAAATGTGTTTTTTCCGGCTCCTGGGTTTTCCCCTCTCATTCAGGCTGTCATTTCCTATGGCGAATACCAGTAGTGATTATTCCGTTAAGATCTGGGACAGTTCCCATGCTCTCAGTCTGAAAAGAGCAGAGGAGACGTCCGCAATCACGGATGACACGATTGTAGTGGAGATGAAGAGCAGTTATTTCTCGCTGTTTTCTCTTTATCACTTCATCCAGGACGAGGTGATCCACTTTCTTTTTTTCAACAATTTGGTGGACGTCGTCATGTCCATCGAATCGCTTTGTCATGATTTGTCATTCAGTTAACAAATGGATGACGTGAGTGTCCAGAAGCAACTCCCGAGTTTGGACGAAATGAACGCGCCTATCAGCAGCAGCAGCGTCACTTGCCACAATGACACCCCCTCCCGCACACACGCAAAACAAACACACTATCTACATAAACCGTAACAAACACCTCACGCACATCTGCAGCATGCCCAGCATGACAATAGATTTGGGAAAGGCGGGCTGTGAAACGTGTTTCTGTTGAGTTGAGTCGACCTTATTAGACAAATTTGGGCTTTAATCCCAAGCTGATGACGCAGAGGAAACAGAGATGGATAGATAGTGTCCTCTTGAATGTTTGCAGAAGGGGAGGGGTGGCAAACAGGAAGTGGTGTGGGGGTTAAATTTAGCCAACAACAACATTTTGCCAACGAGCCCCGAGTGGGTGTCGGGCCCCGCGGACGGCAAGGTCAGGGCCCTCGGTGCCAGCTGGTGCATGAGGGCCGTGCTGTGGAGGTCAGCGCGAGGTTGAGATGCCTTTTATAGACAGACTAAGTTTCTGTTCCCTTATCGACGATTGGGAAGCGGTTGTTTGCGTTGTGTTAAAAAGAAGAAAAAGGGTAGACACAGCGTTCACTTGGCGACCTTCCTCGTTGGGAGACTGACTAGTTTACCTCAAGTGAACGTTAAGGTGTGGTAACCTGTGAGCTCATTTATGACCGGTTTCACTACGTTCTAGTGGGATCTCTGCGAACGCACTGAAAGAGCAGCATCCATTGAAACCAAACCTGTCAATCAGGTTTGGAACCAGCTCTCGTTCATCAACTGTCAGACTGGTTTGGGTGGTTCGCCTCGCTCCTTTTCTTCCCTTTTTTTTTAAACTCCAACAGACTACTAAGGGGGGTAATATTCCTCACTGTCAGTCTGCTTCACTGGCGTAGTTTGTATTTGTGTGTGTGTGTGTGTGTGTGTGTGTGTGTGTGTGTGTGTGTGTGTGTGTGTGTGTGTTTCTGCAACAGAGAGGACGGATGTCCCTACCTCTAAAGTTCCCCATGTGGCTGATGGCTCCTGGTCCCACCACTCCTTTTATGCGACTCCTCTCGGCTGAGACGTTAAAGAAACATATTGAGAACGAGAGATGAAGTTTACGTAGTTTGCATCAGATTAGAATAGCAAAAAAATATTTTCTGACGGGAATCCATGTTTAACATCAACACTTGAATCAACCCTGATTTCCATCAGACCAATATTTTGTTTAGTGCTCCTCATCTTGTCTCAGATATGGAATCACAGAATGTCAGCCACTGTCTTTTCCTTGCAGTATTTAAATAGTCCTAATAATCCTCCTTCGCTTCCTAAATTAACATGCTGCACCGAGATTGTATTCTTAAAAAAAATGAGCATGTATCCAGTCATGTATAGTTCATTTAAACTACCAGACGAGGAGACACATGAGCAGAACACGCAGACAGTATATGCTCTATTTCAGTGGTTGTCAACCTTTTTTTAGTGATGTACCCACTAGGAAAAATGTCTTTCAGCCAAGTAGCCCTAAGCAGTGCAAAGCATTTTTGGTTGAAAAAAAGATGTAATACACAGCGCTTTGCTTTCGGCGTCTAATTTCTTAAACTGTTAACACTGAAACAACACTTTGGGTGGGTCGCCCCACGTGGACGTGTTTCCTACTGAGTGGTGCTACGTTTCAACCACGACTGCTTTGTTTGAGCTGGTGACGGGTGATGATCACTCATTTCTTAACTGCTAGTTGTGCGCCTTTTGTATCTAAATATATTAATCTATTTATAATATGAGCACACTTAAAACTACAACTAGGAATAAATACATTAGATTATTAGATATAGAGGCTGCACTTAAAAGAGTCCAATCCATTCACTGTGCTCTCATTCCAAATCTTAAAAAAAAAAAGTGACCCCGTCCTCTCTGTCGTCCTCAGGGGGGGCGTTGAGCGTGTTGTCCCGTCCGAGCCGGATGATGCTGCTAGTGAACCCTCAGAGCGGCAAAGGACAGGCGCTCACTCTCTACAACAACCACATCCAGCCAATGCTGAACGAGGCGGGAGTCACACACACTCTGGTCATCACCGGTGAGTAGGAGGCACAAGTGCACGTGTACCACACAGCTAATATGTTTTATGTACATGGAAGAATAAAAAAATATTGTAAAAAAATATTGTAAAAAGAATTACTCTTCTGCTAAATTTCTCTTTTGCAGTTTTTGATTGATTGGTGTACATCATTCATAAACCTTTAACGTAAATAATATTACTTTACACACCCATAAATCTTTAATCTCATAATTTCCTTGCCTTTGCATCGTCGTTTCAGAAATTGTTGAATTTTGTCTGACCAACAGAAAATACAGCCCCGGCACCAGTAAGCTCCACTAAATCTCCAAACACTTGCACAATCATCCACAGAGCTCAGCAAAGACCACACAACAACAACAACACAACACCATCACCTCCCTGCACGTCGCTCCCTCTTTCCCCTCTGGTTTAAATCCTCTGCGTGTTTTCATCATTACGCCGATCAAGTGCCTCTGACCCATATGCATGCAGATGTGTTATGTAACAAATATGTGTCCACACAGGGACACACACATATGGATAAAAACACGCACATGATAAAAAACACACACATTCACACAAAATCCACGCTGCCATGATTTACAATCTCGATGCATTCGTAATCTTGTCACCATAATCTACACTGGTTGGTAATGATAGGATGGTGCAGTATTTAGTGCAGTATGTGTCTTTTATTTAGAGATTCATCCTTCGTCTGGGTTTGTTCACAACCCTGCGCAATGTCAGATAATAGGCCCAAAAAAGTAAATAAAACTGCTTTCATCACAGCGTGGCGTCCACGGATATAAAAAAGAGGGCAGACAGACGGGGGCGCAGGAGAAATCATCTCACTGGTTCTGCGCTGTGCAGAACACAACAAAAGATGTACTTTTTTGACAACATAATCCCAAAGTATTCATAATGGATGTAATCCACAAACATACATCTACATGAAAAAGCATGGCTACTGAAAGGGAATTTTGGATACCACAGTGACACAGAGAAAATCTCTTTGACAGATAAGACTTCTAAAATAAAGCAGTAAATCTAATCTCTCCGAATGATGCCTCAGCGGAAGAATATTAAGATGTTTGTCTTCTGCGTGCAGTAATTCCACAACGCTTCTAATAGCGTTCCATAGTATGAGAAGCAATACTGCAGTTTCCCTGGACGCGGATGATACCATATTTCACCTAGAAGCTGTAATGTTTTTAATGCACAGTACAATGTTACCTCCTCCATCAGTGCAGTCCAGCACTTCCGTCGTGGGGAGTTTGGAGGGGGGGTTGTCAGGTCACACCTTGGGTGGGGCCAAAATGAATGAACTTTTGACCAAAAAAAAGGGAAAGACAAATATAAACAATTAATTAAGAAAACATTAAACTCATTCTGTCATCAAGTATCAAAACAATAAATACATTTTAAACAATATGCAAAGCAACAAATCGCCACACACAACCTCAAGTCCTCTCAGGTCACTGACAGACCAAAACCGCACAAAGGGGCTGTGTAGTAGAGGCCGCCCACGTCTAAAGGAGCTGCATTTCACACTCACCGCTCATGTGCAGTCCAGCAGAAAAACTCCGAGGTCCCGAAGAGGAACCCAGAGTCCCGCGAGGTAAAATCCTCTGCGCCATTATTCCGGCTAACGTTAGCTTAGCCGTTAGCAGAATACGCCAACTTAAAGCTCAGTAGCTGCCGCTATTATTCCGGCTAACATTCGCCGTTACTCACAGAAATTCAAGCTTGTGAAAACACTCACTTACTATTCCGGATAATTAACTTAGATTTAATGAAGAAAGTTTGCATTGGTGCATTTGCCTGCTGCTACTAGCTCGTTTCCACCATCTACTGTCAGGTTAGCAATGTTTGCTGTGTTGTTGTTAACTCTCCCGTCGTCTTGTCGCCTCTTGGTGTTTTTTCTTTCTCCCGCCTTCTTTCTGACCTTTGACCAATCACCGCAGGTGTTAATGACCGATACCTGTAGTGACCAACTCCAAAACTGAAACTGGGGCTCTATCGGTGTTTTTTTATTTAGTTTACTTCACTGTTTAAATAATAAACAGCACGTCTATGTGTTCTTGTGTATCATTGCCTGCGGCTGGACGTCTCGTGTGTGGCGATGGCAACAGAAGTAGACGGACTCATTATGGGATCCTTGGCTGTGGAGCAGCTGTGGGCACTGCCAGTGGTGGAGGACAGTTGAAGGATGAGTGCGCTGCTGTGGGAGAGAGACAGACAGAGAGAGAGAGAGAGAGAGAGAGAGAGAGGCAGTGTGTTTGTTATAGTGAGCCTCTGCACGTGTCTACGTGGTAGCAAAGAACGCACGCTGCTTCCTCTCAGGCGGTCTCCCCCGCTGCTCGGCCCTCCTCAGTATTAATTAAAGAACAGCAACATTCTTGTCTCCCTCTCGTGCTCAGATTCATCTGCTCAATCTGAATTACAAATATTTACCGGAGGAGACGGATATCTCCTGGAACAAGCGTTCTGTGCTGCTCCTTTTATTCATCTCTATTTATCTTTCTTATGGCAGCTATACACATGCTCTTTTAAAGCCCATGCCGGGATGTGAAAACTATCATCGAATGAACAAGGAGGACGGCAATCTTGGAAAAATATCCTACAAAATATGGAAATCTTTCTGATAGGAAATGCAGGGTGCAATGTAATATGTGCTTTTCTCATGTCGTAAACCGAGTGTTGACATCTCTGCTGGTTTGACGTATCGGTCTGTTCTCATGTGTAACTTTAGTGAATCACTGATAATTATATACTGAAAGTCTCTCCACCATGACTTTGTAAACTCGTTTGATGTGGTTGTCGATACTTCATATAATTGCTGCTACGCGTAAATACACTTTCTAAAGTTGAATTATATTGTGTTTTTTTCGCTCAGTCTGGGAACCCCCCCACTGGCATCTCCCGTGTTTGAACTCTTGTAGCCGACCATGGCTCAGGCGGGGCTCAGGAAGTGTCTTTCACCGCCTGCAGCCTTCAGTAAAAGTCTGATGAGGTGTGTTTCTATTACTGTCCACCTCGCATGGCGGGAAAAATATATAACCTTGGTCACGTGTTTTAGGACAGTGGAGAGAAGGCAGAACTGCTGAGCTGTTAGTATGTGGATGTTTGCATCTAATAAGATTTACGAAGGAGCTGTTTCGTTTAACTCAATGTAAACTTTTGGAAACATGACTGCTCACATGTACACATGTGACTTGCTGTTAACCAGCAATTTTAACTGCAAATGTACACCCAGTATAAGCATTTGATGGCATTTGATGATCACCAGCATGATGTACATTCTAAGAGATACTTCAGCTGCAAGACTCAACTAGAGGTAGGGATGGTGACACACTCTTATTAAGATCCCGACAGGGGACCAATGCGGCCAAAAAGATGTTGGATAAAAATGTAGCATCTAAGGTGCAGCCTAGTGTGTTTAAGCTAAGTGTGTGCGTGCACTTTGGATGTACAGACGTGTCTGCTTCTCCCGTGTTGCTGTACTCCCTCAGGCACCTCCAGGCAGCCTTTCCACCTGCCTCAGTGTTTACACTGATTTGTGCTGAAACAACACCCACGTTGAAAAGGCAATGCTTTTTTTAACTGTCACCACCCGTTGTTATTTAGGGCTGCTGATGGGATGTGTGTGTCAGCAGGGAGGACTGTGGATTCATCCGGAGTTGCACAAGTTTAGTGGGATGGCAGAAGGTCAGCATGAGGACAGAGCTTCCACATTACCACTTTGGTAAAGATATTATTTACTGCAAGTTTAAACACTGCTCACTTTAGAATTGTTATTTTCACCGCCAGGAAATGATGCGATCGCACACGAGTGTGCATGCGCTGGTCACTCTGCTGCAGAAAACAGCTTAATATTCAAACTAAAGACACACCTCTTCAGACTCTACCTTGACTAAAAAACACAAAACAAATTGTAACACCCAAATTGTACTTATAATGGCGCTTATCTATAGCAAATTGTAAATTGGCTTTTTTGATGAAATTGCTCTTTCTTGTTTGTTGTTCTTCTGGGTTTGTATCCTTATGGTTGAAATGCACTTATTGTAAGTCTCTTTGGATAAAAGCGTCAGTTGAATGACATGTAATGTAATGTAAAAGGGGCCAGCTATGGCTGCATGCTCAAAGACTCTTGTGGATGCAGTGACTCACACTTTATCAAAACATCTCTTAATTGCCTATTTTATATCACAGTGCCTCCCTACACTTAAATGGCCCCCGGTCGGTAGGGGCCGGTCATAATGACAAAGCTGAGTTGAGCCCCAGCTGCTACTCTGCCCCTGGACACACAGCCCCCGCCGAGTGTACGACTATGGGAAAAACCGCTCAGCTGCTGCTCAGCGGCCACACACAGTTATTCTGGGCCTTTTTAATATTGTCCAAAAATTGACTTGGAGCCTGAATAAATTCTTTATGTTGTGGTTCAACATATGGGTCAGGGTTATTTAGCTGAGTCCCTTAAGTTGTGAGAAAAAAAAGATTATAAAACAATCAACAGTTGCTTTAACTTATTAAATCAGCGGCCAATTAATAATCTTTTGATCAACTAATCAGCATCCTTCATTTGTGTAGATGCCAGCATCAATGTTTTCCACACATCGTAGCCTCCTTGAGTGAGAACTTTGTGTAAAACCAGTGTTCACAGTTTTGGTCCCGAGCGGTTGTCATTTTTGACTGACTGAAGTATGTGAACAAAGATGCATGGAGATTCTCGAATATTTCTACACGTTGGATAGAAGTATCACTGTGCCAACACTGACGTGCAGTTTTTCTCTCTCCTGATCCTTGTATCTGACAGCGTTTCCTCACAGTGCCGGTCCGGCCTGCGACCAGAGGCCAGCAGTGATCTGCATGACTGTAATCGGTTAGTCACAATCCCCCGCCACCGCCCGCAGAGAGCAACCGCCCTGCACTCCTCTCCCCTTCTTACCTCAGCAGAAAGACCGCAAAGTATCATCGAACGCGCCGTGTGACTAATCTGCATCTGTCCTCACGGCGTCGTTTTGCCATCACCGGTCTGTCCGATGAGGGGAGCAGCATTCTGAAACGGCTCTCGCCTCTCCTCCCCGACCACGCCGCTGCAGCGTCACCGCTCTGCAACTTTGGGCCCTTCAATCCCTTTTTAGTTTGCGGCCTCTGCATTGACACGGAAATGTGATGCGACTGGACCGATAAGGAGCAATTGATTCCTTCATTTTAGGGGAGTTTAGGAAAAGCGAAGGAAAGAAGAGAAGCCGAGAAATCCGATCCCTCCAGAGGATTCTCTTTGTGTGTGTGTGTGTGTGTGTGTGTGTGTGTGTGTGTGTGTGTGTGTGTGTGTGTGTGTGTGTGTGTGTGTGTGTGTGTGTGTGTGTGTGTGTGTGTGTGTGTGTGTGTGTGTGTGTGTGTGTGTGTGTGGGATTAGTTTGCTGGCCTTCTGTTGGGCAAAGAAATGAGCACAATGGCGCATTAAAGGGATGGAAGAGATACCAAAGAGCGCAAGTTATTGTCAGCTCCCGGAAAAAAGTATCAATGAATTCTGTAGAACCTTTCAAGTAATATATATAAATATGAAGTAATACAATATTAACTAGACTTGTATTACTCTAGACCTCTGTGTCTCCACGGCGATTATTGTAGCCGCATCAAACGATAACAAACTGTGCAGATCGTTATTCCAGCACCGTTACCATTGGACCAAAATAAAAGTCACACACACAAAATGAAAAACAACTTTGCCGTCATTACAGCTCAGAGGAGAGGAACTTCCACCTAGTTGACTTTGCACAGATATGGCACTTTCTATTCGGGGCCTGGTCATATTTTCCACTTGCAGCGGCTCTACAGATAATAATTAAATCCTTTTTCTCTCATTCTCATAGAGGCTGTGGGGACAGCTTCGAAATAATATTTAAAAAAGAGTAATTTACAACTACCACAAACAGCACCCAGATGTGCAGCTCGAGTATGCATGCGTAAGAATGAAGGCGGTTTGTGAAAGCGACAGAAAATGAAGACGCATGATGAGAGGGAGTTGAGAGACACTGTTGCTGAGCGTCGGCAGGTGGAGGAGAATGTTGTGACTGAAGTTGTGACTGTCGGCTGCGCTTCACTGACTTTGTGTTCACACATCAGCGCACTCCTTCTGGCCTTTCACCTGCAGACGGAGGACAGGGAGACAGAGACGGAGACGGAGACGGACAGATACATCCCTCCAAAGACATGAAAACAGGCGGCGAAATTTAAATACCGGATTCAACTGAACCTGATACATGTACAGTTAAACAGGTCTGTAGTGGTTGGAAACAGCAGTTTAGCAGAAGTCAGGCAAACTGTATAATCTCATCACATCGCAACACAAGTAAATATTACTACATTCTCTTTTTTACCATATTTGTTTGTATTTGCATGCTAACAGCCAACAGCTGGAATACTGTTCACTGAGTGGAAAACTCTCTTGGATATACAAGCAATTAATATGGATGAATTAAATAAGGGTGAATTAGTTAAAGTCTACGTAATAAGTACTAAATCGCCCAAAGATTCCAGGAAACTTACCGATCTGTAAAGTGATGCATTTTTGTAATGAATCCCAGATCATTTATACTTTAGAGGAAATGATCTGACACAATCCAACACTTTTAATAACCTTTAGTGTGTCATGGTCTGGTTTCACAGTCACTCTGCACACTGATAACCATCCACTTTAAGAGAAAATCACACCCAGGCCCCACTTCACCACGTCATTGAGGCCCAGGTTAATCTGACCGAGTGCTCCTGGGTAATTTAGTTGTTCTCATTTAATTGCTATGTGTAATAGGCGCTTCATTTAAGACCGTATATCAGCTTTCACTCCCACGGTGATACTTGATTTGGATGAGGACTTGAGTTCCTAATCTTTCATCTTCATTTGTGCCTTATTCATTCCCTGTAAATATGTGTGAAGTCTTTAATACGATGCAGCTGTTGACACAACTGCAATTTCCTTGCGATCGCACATTGGAAATAACGTTCTTGATTAATTAGTTAATGTTGTTATTTAAATAAGACGTACGTTTTATTTTTCATCATGCAACTAGAGCTGCGGATGTCTCACTCACCAGAGCCGACTTGACCTTTGCCCCACTTTACATTGATGTATGTGTGTGCGTTATTTGTGTGTGTGTTAATGTTTGCAGAGCGGCAGAACCATGCAAGAGAGCTGGTGAAGGAGGCCGACATGTCGCAGTGGGACGCTTTAGTCATCATGTCTGGAGATGGACTTCTCTTTGAGGTAAAGAGAGCCACGCGTTCAATATATTCATGTCCTCTGGCGCTTTACGTCAAAGCAGCACGCAACAAGTCAACTTTTATCTTGTCATCATTATAAACTTTGTGTTGTGTATCGAGACGATAAGGATCAATCAAAAATTAAACTTGCTTCCAGTCCTTGCATTAACATTTTTGTCAAATAACAATAATAACTCAATAAAAATCTTTTTATTACTACTATCAGGTGGCTTTACACTGTGCAATTGTTTTTCGGGTATAAAAGCGCCATTTTAATATACACCACAATAGATATATAATATAATTTTAAGTTTTTACAGTGTTGCTTACGTGTGTCTGTAGTGTACATGAAGTGAAAATGTTAAATTGCTTAAAAGCTGGAGACCAAAACCCAAATCTGTTCCAGACATTGATCACTGTGGGCATTTTGAAATTGTGATTGGAATTTTTCAAGTTTTCTAGACTAAACTGGCTTTTTAAAAATCTAGGTCAACACTACCTCTATGCTGAAGTACTTTATAACTGAGCTTCAGAACTGAAGCTACTACTTCAAAGGTTTAACACCCGCAGCGGTTCATGAACTTTACATAAATAAACACTTTAACATTCAGAAAAGCACTGAGGTTTGATACACAGCCCTTTGTGCTGGAGAACACTGACTGCTGGTGTCCATTCTGTCCCGTCCCATTCTGTCCCGTCCGGCTGATCAAAGCCACGTCTTCTTGTTTGTCAGGTGATTAATGGTCTGCTGGAGAGAGCAGACTGGGAGGAGGCCATCCGGACCCCGATGGGAATTCTACCTGGTGGATCGGGCAACGGATTGGCTGCGTCCGTACATCACTATTCTGGGTGAGTCACAAGAGGAATCCCGAACAGTACTGGATCCAACTCCACAGAAGCCAGTCTGACCAGTGAGGTAGCCCAGTCTAACCACTGGGCCGGTTCACTTCACTGGAGCATATGTATATGTAGCGTGCACGGACTGCCAACTGTATTCAGACAGAATAACAGGTAGTTGTGCTCGAGTGTAAAACGCTCTAGACACAACGATTACTGCGTGATGTGACGATGAGCTGTAGTGTTTTTATCCTTTGTTTAACCGAGATGTTCGGGCCGGACATCTGGGGCTTTCGTTCAGTGTAAAAGGCACTCCTCTCTTCTATCCATTATTAATGATTTGCTCATTTAAGGTGATTTGTTTGGAGTGTATCCATCCAGAAGGAAGGGAAAGGAGAGGCTGAAGCACAGAAAAGAACGGCGGCTATTTAAAGTCCGATGTGGATCAACTGAAATCACTCATTCACTATTACTCAGTATTAGTTGTTCAATCTGTAGTGAGCAAAGACGACGTATCAAACATCTCATATTGAATCAGCTCCAGGGTTTGCATGCTCTGGGCTAAATGCTATCATGCTAACGCTCGCTATTCAGCACTAAACACAAAGTAGACAAGGCTGCAGTAATGTAGTTACTTTGATCAAATCAATGATCAAATTGTTGTGGTATTAAATGTTTAATATCTTTTCTCTCTAATAGCTCCACGGTTTGTGGTGCCTGGACTGTATCGTGGAATATTATCTTACTTCTCTGTTCTGTTATAGTCCCTGTTTGCTTTCTACTCTGAAGTCACCTGGAATTACAAAAACCTCACAGAAGGCATTTCTTTTTTAAGCTGCTCCTACTCTTAAGGTCACATTTGGCTTTATCTTGCCCTTTTACTTTTTTATTTATTTTCTATCTTTTTATATCTCGGGGCATTTGTTAGATTTTGTTTTTTTTTCTTGGTAGCAACATTTATATCATCCTCTGTGCTGCTTGTTTTTCGGGGCAATGGGTGCCAGGGGATACCTGATTAAATAATGGATGAATTCTAATTAAAGCAAACCTGTTTGCTGATGGTTCTGTCTTCATCAAAGAGCCACGTTCATACATTCATTCATCACTTCAACTGCATCTGACAATCGGCTTCCCATCAAACAATAGTCTTCCAGCTCCAGCGGCAGCGACAATGAGAGGAAGGGACCAGAGTCTGCATTGTTTTCTCTCCTCTCGCACATCCAGAAGGTCTCTCTCTCCCCCTCGCTGGCTGCAGCAGGCCGTCCTGCAGCGGCTCTGGCCACAGTGCGTTTGGTATTATTCCCGGCTGAATGTAGGGTTCGCTCGGGCTACGCGGATCAAGTGAGTGGCAGCTAGAACGTGTTTGTCGTTACGCAACGCTGTCAACAGGTTCGCTGAGTGAGAGTTTAATGTCTACACGGACATAGCGAGCACGAGCTGGAGCATCATCGGAACACTGACAGATGTGGTGCCTTTATGGGAGGGAGTCTCCCTCCTCTGGTGGCTCACAGATGCTGCATAAACAGCTGGAAATGTAGGAATGTGGGTTTTAACAAACATATTACTGCTTTATACGGAGTTGGTTTAGTCCACTGGTTCTCACCTTCAAAGGGTCAAAAAATAAATATTTAAGGATTCAGTGATTTATGTTGATCTAAGTTATCTGTAGATAAAATAGGAAATCACTCTGTGGAGGAAATCATAGCCATTTGGAAAATATGGGTTTAACAGTGTGCTGTATGTTACGAGCTGACGACACTTGATGTCTCTTGTCGTGTCGAGCCACCGGAAATGTAGATGAGACTGTTTGGATAAAGTTGGACTGGTACATAAATTCAGGATGATGAATATGGAGATATCTGCAGGGCCACAGCCAGTGAACTCCACTGAGACGTCCAGTCATCACTGTAATTGGCTGCGGGTGGTAGCAGCAGGCGCGCGCGTGTGTGTGTGTGTGTGTGTGTCTTAGGGCTGTTATCATGACCTTCCACCTCTGTCTCCGTTCTCCCAGATGGGGTTGTCTTTGTTGTCTGACTGGTCTGTCATACCCATGAGCTGATTCGGTCCCGCCTCCAACATTTGTCTGGTTTACCAAACCTCCCCCACCCTCACCCCCACCCCCACCCCACCACGGTCATCCGCCCTCTTCATCAACCCTCACAATCACAATAAAGTCACAGTTACCTCACTATTGAATAACACTCCTTGTGCTGCTCACTCCCCCAGACACACACAAGCCTCGGCCCATTTCCCAACCCACAAATAAGCAACCGTCCAGCTAGGTTACAGGGCTACAATTATCCGTCAATCAATCATTTAAGGAATTTGCTGGTATTCTCTTGTCATTGTGAAATAAATTGTTCATCGGCTGTTGATTGGGAAAAATCATTTATTTAGACACTTGACCTTTTGGCTGCATACAGTTAAGATAATCATCTAACAGTATTTTCTTACATATTAATTAACTGAAATACCAATCGACAATGAAAATGAGTGTTAGTTGAAACCCTCGACTGGTCGTTTCTGCGCAGGAAGGGGAATGAACTTCACAGCGTTTTGTTAGACCTGCTGCTGCCTTAAAGGTCCAGCAGCTGTAAGCACAACGTGTCACACAGCGCATGTGGTCGTAAATATTGAGCAAAGTGAAGGGAGTTCTCTGGTGGCTGTTTTTTTAGAAAGGACGTAATTAACTGAACGACACGACGAGATTGTATTCTGAAATGTTGTTTTATTTTGTTTTAGTAAATCTTAAGACCGTATATCAGCTTTCACTCCCACGGTGGTACTTGATTTGGATGAGGACTTGAGTTCCTAATCTTTCATCTTCATTTGTGCCTTATTCATTCCCTGTAAATATGTGTGAAGTCTTTAATACGATGCAGCTGTTGACACAACTGCAATTTCCTTGCGATCGCACATTGGAAATAACGTTCTTGATTAATTAGATAACCTGGTACTTTTTTGGTGCCTAACGGCTTGTGTATTATAGTAACTGTCATCTCCCCCCTCGGCCCCCCCAGAGCCTCGCTGGTGTCCACCGAGGAGCTGCTGGTCAGCTGCGGGTTCCTGCTGTGCCAAGGGCTCGTGGCCCACATGGACCTGGTCTCCATCCATCTCTGCTCCGGCCTTCGCCTCTTCTCCTTCCTGTCGATGGCCTGGGGCTTCGTGGCCGACGTGGACATCGAAAGCGAGAAGTACCGACACGTCGGAGCCGCCCGGTTCACCGTGGGCACGCTGGTGAGGTTGGCTTCTCTCCGCGTCTACCGGGGCCGGCTGGCCTACCTGCCCGCCCCCGAGGACGACCACAGCGAGGTCGAGGGGTCGCGCAACGACGTGACGCTGCGTTGCAACGGCCAGGCCTCCTCCCTGGATCCGTCCAGAGACTCGCCCCGCCCGAAGACCTTCCACAACTCCTGCCACTCCAACAACTCCTGCAAGGCGAGGGGGAGGAGGGAGAGCGCGCCTTGTCGAAGCGCCTCCGGAGCCCTCGCCGGCCCGCCGGACTCACTGCTGCCGCCTCTGGACCAGCCGCTGCCCGGCGACTGGGTGGTGGTGCAGGAGGAAGACTTTGTCCTCATGCTGGCCATGTACCAGTCCCACCTGGCGGAGGACCTGCTGGCGGCGCCGGACGCCACCCCGGACGACGGGGTCATCCACCTTTTCTACGTCAGGGCGGGAATATCCCGCGCCGCGCTGCTGAAGCTGTTCCTGGCCATGGAGAAGGGGGCACACGTGGGTGCCAACTGTCGGCACATGGTGCACGCCAAGGTGCGGGCGCTCAGGCTGGAGCCGCTCTCCCCCAAAGGGGTAATAACAGTGGATGGAGAAGTGGTGGAGTACGGGCCGGTGCAGGCGGAGGTGCACAGGGGCCTGGGGAGGTTGATCACCGGATGAACAAACGTCCCCAGCAGCTTCCGGCGCCGCCGCGAGAGGCACAGCGATCCCGGGGGAGGGTTTCAAATGAGAGCCGGCCTGCTGCGCTCATCCGCACACGGACCGGCCGGGTCTCAGAGAAGCGCTGTTAATGGAGACCCAAGGTGTCGGGTATTAAATCTAGTAAAGCATTCCTAAATGAATAGTCCTATTCATCAGACAAACATGAAATTGTGTTTCAATACCTTCAATTGTTCTTTCTCATTGCATCTTTTCAAGCTACTTTCTAACCGCCGTTAAAAAAAAGGAAATTATGATATGAAAGAAAAAGCTACAGGAATAAAGAAATTAAAAAACAGGGATTCACAATAACACCCTGAGGTTTTATGCCTCTTTTTAATTTAATATCAAACACTTTGGGACTCCTTAGCCCCGGTGTAGCTTTCTACATGCAAACATCACACGTTTCATCCTCTCATGACAAAGTGTTAAGAAGTAAATCCGCCCTCATCGTCTCTATCTGCTGACCTACAGACATGAATTATTGCAGGGTGGGATTTATGGCTACTCGGCAGTACTGTGGATAGTGTGCGTGTGTGTGTGTGTGTGTGTGTGATACATGTGTAAATGTGAGGTGTGGATGTGATTGTCCGTTTTAACAGAGGTCATAGTTCATTGAACACAGAACACAAAGAGCCTAAAACTCTCAATTAAAGAAACACAGCATAAATTTAACTAGTTTTGTTTGTTATGGGCAAAGACAACAACAACATTTCTTCAATACAAAGAAGTTCATGTGATCAGCTTTCACAGTCCGGTCTGAGGATTATCCAAAGTAACCAGGACATGATGTCACCAAACAGATGTTGCTTCTGGGTTGTTTTTTTTAACATGGAATCCTGCCCAAATAAAACCCAAACTCTCTGCATGACTACATGCCACCAGAGGTAAAAGACAAAATACTTACTGGTGGTTCTTTATACGTAATAGTGCTGAAATGACTTTAACTACAAATCAGCATAAACACAGGCTTTGGGGGTTGGTTGGTGAAGACAGCACATATTGGTGAGAGGAGGAGGAGGAGGAGATGGGGGGAGGGGAGAGATGGAGAGGGGGAGGGCGGGTATTGACTTTTTAAATGCTGCATGCGTTCCGGACAAGGCGCCCTTATTCTCGCTGCAAGGAGTCATTTGAGAGCATTAGCAGACTCCTAAGAAAGAGAGCACGTGGCTCACTTCATTTCACCCCGACGGGGCACGCAGATGTGAGTTTTTGGGGACAGACGTGTTCTTGTGTGAAGTGGACGTAGGTTATAACGTTGCATCCCAGCCCGTGTCTCCCAACCCTTTTACCCTGTGACCTCTTTGTATGAAGACAGTGTGTCGACCTGACTGATGTTACGTTTAGCTGCCAAGACTTTGTTTTAAATTAATCGAAAATATTTTGTGGCCTCAAGATGTAAAACTAACACTTTATCTGAAAAAATCACAATAATCATTTATTTTGGTTGTTGGAACCACAGATCTAATATATGAATATCTGTAATGTTGTTGATCCTTTCCACTGTCTGACGTGCCTTGGCTGTGCTGCCTCCTGGTGGTTTGAACACGTGGTGCATTCACTGGTTTCTCCCTCTTGTCTTCTCAACATTTTAATGAACTGATGTATTTAAAGGACGAGACACATAAGCATATTTGTGGCACAGCGGTGTTTTGACTTGAGAAACTGTTACGGCTGTTGCCGCCTCTTCGATTACTACTGGTGAGATGTTGACACATTCTGCTTCTGACGGCCTTCATTCTGCCTCAAGTGTGATTTCAAATCTAAATTTGCTGAAGCGTCAGATGACAAAGGACCTGATGTTACCTGACTATTTATTTGCGGTTTACAACTTTACCTGCTGCCTCGCAACCGTTGTCTTGTGTTTAAATGTGTATGGTGAAGGGAAGAGAGTAATTTCCTTTTTTTTCCTGTCACACATTAAATGATTTATTCTTTATTCAGAGATCTATTTTTCCATTAGACAAATGTCTGTACTTTTTCTATACTCAAATGAAACATTTGGTTGAGGTGTTTTTGATTGGGGAAATATTAAAATAAATGATAAACAACGTGTCTGACTTTCGGTTTGTGAAAGAATCTTTTTTTCAATGAGAAAGTTATTCATGCAATTACCTTCTACTGCATGAACTGAGATTAATGAACTCATGCACGATCCTGCAACAAAAACAACTCACTTGAAGTTGTTGCTTTAAAACCGCACTTGAACATCTGTACAATTTACATATGTATATCTACAACGCTCTGTAAATTGAACCCCATTAATTACTTCGCATTTATATCATTACAAAACAAAAACCCAAACCAGTAACGTGTTAATCACCTTTACTTATCAGGATTTGTTTTGGTGTTTTGCATGCAAGAAAAGAAAACCTGTTGAGAAAAGGCTGATCTGCGGTGGCTACATAGTGGATCCAAATAAATAAGCCACAATGTCTCTATGATACCGCTTGCAAAGTTTAATACATCACTATACAGCTGTCTTAATGCAACAAATTAAACCATTAGAGAAGGAAATCAAAAGTACAATACTCAGCATTTTGTGTCCCCAAGCATCCATGTGCCTTATCAGAACCCAGGCTTGTGTTAAATATATAACGTGTACTTGTATATTTTAATATTAGGTATGAGGTCTGCACAGAGGGAATCAGGCTACAAATCATAACTTTATTAGTTTTCCTTTTTTACGTATATCAATAACAGGCCACTGTGGAAACGTAGACATCATACAGTCAAGTCTTGTGTGGCCCAGTCAAAAGGCTTAAAGCAACAGCTTACATGCTTTGGCAGGAAAAAAACAAAAACCCTTCTTGCAGTAACAATGGTTTCAATTTTAATAATTACACGCAAAGAAAATTGTACATCGTGTGCTTGGTATCCTGCCAGATTTTCGTTACGAGATCTACGTGGAGACCGCTTCTCCTTTTCTGCGACCATCAAGAGATTGACGTCTCGACAACTCTGTCTTCAGCGGCGTGAAGGCACAGCGCTCCACCAGTCGTGAAGGTACATATTTTACAAACAGCAGCGAGAGCAGCGGGCGGGAAGGGGAGGTGTGGAAGACAAAGCAAAACAAAATACCCTCATTCATGACCTTTTATTGGCTCCTGGCTCTGATCTCCTCCCGTCACTCAGCTTCACATTGGCACAAGGTGCTCACTCACTCAGCAACACTCCTCAGCATCAAGGTCCTTTGTTCAAGTAAAATACCAGACAGCTTGTTCGATTCACAGGTTATAGCAAGCATTAGAATCATCATCATCATCACGAGAAACGTAATATTTGGAAAGAAAAAAACCCGCTAAAACAAGATTTCAATGAAGGCTGCTCTGAGTTCCCAAGGAAGCACGAGTTTCACTTTCTTTTGCTCAATTGCAGCGCAATCTGTGACAAAGCATGAGTTTCATGGGAACATGGTGAGTAAAACCTTTATTTCGGTCATTCAGGATGAATAAAGACGAAGCAGATTACAGAGATGCGGGATTTTCTCTACTTGGTGGGTCCGGCAGACGTCTTTGTAAGCGAAAGAAACCCGGAATAACAAAATAAATACTCAAGCTAATAATTTATAGTATCAACAAACCTTCGGTATCACAGCTTGTTGCGTGATACCGTGCAACGTGATACATACTACCACTTCCCCCCTCTTTCTCCCACGCAACTTGGCGAGGAAAATAAATCTGAATACACTCGTTAAGAGCTGATCAGAGATCTGCACTATTGAGGAGAAAAAACTTAACATGTGAAGCGCGACCCGAGACACAATGATCCGAGATTAAGAACAAGTCAAGTAAGGCAACACGTTGACATGAGATGATGGAATGAGATGAGGGAGGGGGGGGGGGGGGTCTTCTATTCGTCCTTTAAATTCTGACGTTCACACGCGATACGAGGCTCTACTGGCACAGGGAAGCGGAGCATTGTGGGTAAAGCTTTGCACTGAAACCTACACTTCAGTGAACGAAAACACCAAAAGCACAAGTTCCATTTTGTGGATCGAACGACTTTGCGAACTGTTAGAGGGAGTGAAGGAACTTGAGCGTGAAGCCACCTGGCGGTCCGACCTCCTATGTAAACGTTTTCACTCGGTGCTGGCTGCGTGGTTCAGAGCGAGTGACTGGCAAAGGAAAAATACTAGCAAGTGCAGCGTGGCGGATGAAGTGGTGAAGCTGTTGTGTTTTGGCAGTTTTACTGACATTCAGTACTTGAATATAATTTGTTTTGTGTTTGACAGAGAACATTTTGGCAGAAAGCGAACGACCAGCAAATTCCATGTTAAGAAGAATCCTCCTGGTCGATGTATTTATACGGCGCCGCTTCTCCCAGACCAGATTGTCCATTCGTTTTGTTGTAGTGCACGACGGTTAGCGGTCACATCAGTAGTGCTACAGGCAGCCGCAGCTGCGAGAGCTGGGCGTCGCAGTTTGTTCAGCCGTCTTTGACCTCGGATCAAGGCGGATCAAGTCGGCAGGTTGCTTCATCCAGCAGATCAACCCGCCAGTCTGGTGGGTGCTGCTGGAGGCTGGGTGGATGAGGGGTCACGGCACTCATTTTTCTTCTCATTCAGTCCTTTTTTTTTCCCCATCCACACCATCTCCCCCAAAATCAAAGCCCTGCCGAGGCAGAGCGAGCGAGCCCGCGATGGTCTCCGGTAAAAATGTCCGTGCGGTTTCCTGCGTCCGTGCACAGATGGGGGCTTCCCCTGTGACCACGTAGCTCCCGTACGTTTGTGCAAATGGGGGAGCGCAAGTGAGGTCCACCCACCCCCACCCACTCTATCCATCCCACTCATCTGCAGAGACACTGAAGGAGAACAAAGGCATTATCAAGTTGCATTCAAACCCTGAAGCTGCTAACTCTCCTGCGATCGGGTTTGATCCAGAGGGATTATGGGTAGAAAAAAAAAAAAGAAGCAAAGCGATGTCAGTTTAGGGAAGCAGGAGCAGTACAGACTTAGAAATGGAGGACAAAAATGTGGACAGTTATGGCGGGGGGGGTTAGTGCAGCTCTGGATAGGGACTACGGCCCCTCCCCCTTTCTCCCTCCCACCCAGACGAGAACTAATGAATCCTCCTCTACAGCTTGAGACGGATGAAAAAGGTAAAAGGAGGAGCAAAGAGAGCAGGAGGAGAGTGCAGTGGGGTGTTGGGGGGGGGGGGGAACGGCGAGGAGGCACTTACTTGTCCTCTGCGTGATCGGGGATTGGGGCGGCAGCCAGCGCGGCTCGGTACTGCAGCAGCACGCCGCGGACGCTCTTCACAAACCCCTTCGACAGCGGGAACAGCGGAAAGGCGATGTCTGGGTAGCCCCCGCTCTCCGGGAGGAAACTCCGGTAGCTCTTTCTCCGTTTCTTTGGTCGCACCACCGGCTGGGCCCCCGCGGGGCCCGCCCCTCCTCGCTTACCACGATGGACCCGATTCCGGCAGACCGCCGCGCGCCACAGACCCGCCCGCTGCGCCGGCGCCGCCCCCTCTGTTCTCGCCACCCATGAGGCGCTCCCCGTGGGTGCTGTCGCAGTCAGAGTTTCTGGCTCAGCTCGGGCTGAGAGACCGCCGTGGTGGAGGGACTCAGCCCTGAGTCCTCCAGCTCCTCCTCCATAATACTGCTAACTCCCGCTCCTGTGACCCCCTCCTCCCCGGGCTTACCGGGGCTGCTGTGAGCCACCGCCACGAGCCCCTGCTCGTCCAGAGGCGCCGCGGCTGAGGCCCGGTCCCTCAAGGGATGAGCCCGGGCGGACGCGTGCGCCGCCTGACAGCGCTCGGCGCCCTCGTTCAGCTCCAGCCACGCGTCCAGGCGGTGGACGAGCCGCCAGCCGCTGGAGGCAAAGTGCTCCTGGATCTCCTGCTTGAAGACCTCCACGGGGTTCTGGAGGAGCAGCGTCATGGACTGGACCATCTTGATCAGGGCCATCTCGTTATAGCAGCGGCTGTTCTCGTAGCCTTCCTGTAGGCCGCGGTCGCTGTCGAAGCCCGCCTCGTTGTAGTACGGCTCGTTGACGAGGATGAGGCCTGCAGAGAGAACCACAAGTGTGTGTGTGTGTGTGTGTGTGTGTGTGTGTGTGTGTGTGTGTGTGTGTGTGTGTGTGTGTGAGAGAGACGGACAAACAGAAGCTGCAGTTATGTCATTGCGCAGTGAATGACTTTTAACCCCAAAAACGACATGGCAAACATGCACTAGACACGTTTTACACTACAAGTGAATCCTCTGGACTTGGTTGGTCCGGCAAGACTGCACATAAGTCTGATGGAAGTGGCGCCGTGTCTCAGTGTGCGAGGGAGATGAACAGATGGTTAGAGTGAGGCGCCGCACTATGAGCGCTCCCGAGCTAATGAACAAATGAATAAAACATTTGTGCTGCAGTGAAGAGAAGGGGGATGGAAGAGAGAGTGTGTGTGTGTGCGCGCACGCTAACCTTGAATGGAGATGAGGACTTGCAGCAGACTGGACTTGCTGGTCCATCTCTCTGTGCCCTGTGGACGACGTCACGAGACATTTTCATTATTGATTCCTACTGGATTTCAAATGTTATTTTAGCCTACGAGATATTCAAGCTCTTCTGTGGTTCAGCTACACCGCACATGAACCCACCTTGCCGATCCAGGTGCCCAGCAGGCTGACGCAGACCTTGCCGTTGTCGTAGAGGTTGGGATTGAGGCGGCCGCTGCACTGCGACAGGTAGCGGAACAGGGGCGGCACGGACGGGTAGATGTTGGGCAGCTGGATGTCAAACAGGAAGAGGCCGTCCTCGTAGGGCGTACGAGTCGGCCCTTTGATCTGAGCTGAGAAAAGGTCCTGTGTCGAAAGAAAGCGAAAAGTAGTGCGCGCGTTTTATGGCGCAGTCAGCGGGATCCGGACTGACAGCAGAGGTCACTCACTCAACAGCTCTCTGCAGACATCATTACAGACACATCATGGGGCTACTTTTTCACCATACAGAAACGGATTTTCTTTTTTTAACAGCGGGATTAAAAGGAAACTCACCATGCGATCTTCAAATGTTTTGACCATGATGCCGTCCGGCAGGGAGGTTGCGAGCAGAGCCATTTCTTTCCTCACTGTGCTGAAGAACTTCTTTGCCTCCGCTGGCTGGAACTCCATTTTCTTAAAAGAGTGTGTGTCTAAAAGGAAAATTGAGTGGGAAGACGGATGATTAAACAGAAAGGAGAGTAGATGAACAAATGATGCTTAGCCTGTGTGAGCAGAGGACTCAAAGAGCCAAAGGAAGGGCTGTGGAAACATTTTAGAAAACAATCCGGGTTTTTCCTCACCTGGAGCCCACTCCAGCACAGAGAACACCTCTCCCTTCGCGCTGGTGAAGGTGACGCCGGGCTTCCCCCCACTCTGTTGGCAAAGTACTGGTGTGTCGCTAAGAAACTCACTGGGCCACTCCTGCCCACCAACCGGTGTCTGCGGCGCCTGCGGGTGCTTCTCCTCCCCAGCTCGCTCTCCCTGAACACCAACAGACCAGCGAGTAAGACGTGCGTTTACTGCTCATTGCTCTCTCTCTCTGCCTCGTTCAACACCCACCTCTGTCCCTGCTCCTGCACTGCCCCCTGCCTCCACCACAGCCTCCATCTTTTCCTCCTCCACGATGGCCACGTTGTCCAGCGTCTTCCTCAAGTTCTCCTGAAGCTTCTTGATGTCGTCCAGGAAGCGTTTCTCCTTTGTCGGTTTCTCTGGGGCGGCGGGCGTCACCGAGCTCGCCACGTTTGTCGCAGAGGCGGGTTCGATGGAGGTCGGGGAGGTCGGAGAACCGCCGGTCCACAGCTGCTCCACGGTCATGTTCTTCAGGCTCTCCAGGATCTTCAGTGCCTCTTTCAACTCCTTGAAGCCCCGCGAGGCACCGTCTTTACTGGGCTTCTCCGCACCATTGACTGCTCCTGGAGTGGTTGTAGAGAACAATAATTAAAGTATAATGTCGAACTGGACACAGGACAAGCGTCTGAATAAATCAAGTGAGGTTTGCATACCCGTCCGAGTTATCAAATATATTGTTTGAGCCCCTTTTTGACAGCAGTAACCATTTAAAAGAACTCTTTACATTTTTGTCCAAATAAGCCGCATTTGTCATTTTAGTCCCATAGTTGATTTTAGTTAAAGATTCTTCCAGCCGATAGTGTTGTGCTTGTCCACAGCGGTCCAACGACCTGGAGACAGAGCAGGGCTGCTGGCGGGCACAGCAGTAAACACACCAACTGCTGCATTGTATTTACTGATGGAGGGATGGAATGAATGAAATGCAGGCAAGGAAGATTATACTGTGCATAGTCTCTGGCGTAAATCTGTTGTGTGTTTGACGGTTATTTATTTGTCTGTATATCGGAAAAAGGTTATTTTCCCCCCCCACACTGCTACTTCTACCATTTGCCCTCTATAATCTGACTTTTTCATCTTTATAATCGGATCTTTATCAAACAAAGCAAAGCGGTTTGGTTCCTAGTTCCTTTGTTCCTGCAGACAAAAAGGGGCTTTAACTTATTTTAGTCCTATAGAGGATGGTTGACCCTATTCCCCTCAAAAGAAACAATGTCAGAATAAAAGCGCCACACCTCCTCCAGAAGCAGGGCTAGCCGCAGCCAGAGAGGCTTCTCCGTCCTCTGCAGGGCCTCCTTTAGTGGGGCTGGTGACCCCAGCTTTGCTGCCCTCTTGGGATGGGATGATAAACGGCGTGGAGCCCGTGGGGGTTGAGGTCAGGGTCGCCGTCTCATCCGCATTGTGCACGTGGCTGTCGTCCTCTGTGGTGAGGCCGTTGTCCGTCTCCCAGCTGTCGCTCTCGTCCTCCCACTCCTCAGTGGACAGGACGCTGCTCGTCTCCTCCACCGAGTCGTAGTCGGTCTCCTCGATCTCCGACTCCACGTTGTAGAGGTGCTGCAGTGTGCAATTGTTGGGAGACCATCAGTCTCCCTCCTGATGCCACGAATGTCCTTCAGCGTCACGCGGGAAAACGCACTTACCTGTGGCAGGACGATGGTCATGGAGTTATCCGCCCACACCACCTCCACTTTGCTGCTCACATCCACCCTGCACACCTGGCCGACCGACGTCTGAGGGAAAGATGGATGAGGTACAACTATCAACAACAGCCAGCAACCCAAGACTAAAAAAGGCTCTAAGTAGAGAATGGGTGTTGCAGAGATTGTAGTATAATTGGAACTAAAAAGAACCAACACCTCACTAATAGACCCTGACAGCGTTTATTACTTGCTTTGCCATACATGCCTCCTTCAGGAATGTTCTTTTTTTGTTCAAACCGTTTTGAAGTGTTTCTATCATTTTGTCCACCTCATCCATGTCAATGAGGGGAAACACAGTGAGACGTTTCAGATTGTTCTCACCTCGTTTTCACAGTCATTGTGTCCGTTCTCAGAGTTCCATATTTTGATGACTATGTCTGTGGTGCGGAAGTGGAAGTCGGGGTGATCTGCGATGTCGTACACGCTGACATCCTCCTCCAGACCGAAAACCTGGATCAAAAGCAAAAAATACATGATAAGGAATCTTGGCCTGAAGAGTCACGTACAGCAGAGATGTACAACAAGAGCCCATCTGCTGACAGAGTGTGAAGGAGTGTATTCAGGTTCCTTTGGTTAACACATGCTGCCTTCCATACATACTACCACTTCCCCCCTCTTTCTCCCACACAAATAAGGCTTTTCACACTCTTTAAAATAAAAATACAGCCGTCCTGTTTTGTGAGACTGACCTCAACGTCGTCACTGGCAGAGTTGAGTTTGATCCACTTGACGACACAAGTTCTTCCTTTGTGGTCTCCGGACTGGATTACACCGTACACTCCCGGGTCCTGGAGGGCTTGGGCTGAGACAAAAAGAGAGCGAGTGCACAAGGACGCAGTTGAGCGAGCAATGCAAAGAACTCAACAACACCTAAAATAAAAACGTTCGGTTTCATCGGAAAACGTTGTTAAACAAACGGATGTTCCTCACGGCGTTTGTCCACTACGAAGTCCCCGGGACAAAACTCATGGCTATCAAGGTGCTGGATGGGGATGAGGTCGTTTGATCGGATGCCCTTCTCCACCCGCCCGTCCTTCCACATGACATCCGCTGTGGTCTTTGTCGACACGACTTCCACTGCGACTCTGCACAGCAAAACAAAAAGAGCTAAGTGTTGACATTTAAAAACTCTACTTCCTTCACATGAAGGATCCTTTAGATTAATCGTTGTTTCCTACATCTGGAAAGTATCCACAACACTTCTTCCACATTTTGTTATTTTACAGCCTTATTCTAAAATGGATGAAATTAATTCTTTTCCTGAAAAAAACCCCGGTTCAATTGTTTGTTAAAAAAAGGGAAAAAGAGGACACAGGATCAAAGGTCCCTTTTGTGAAAGTGGTGCTGAGTCACTGAATCGACAGAAACCAGTAGGACAGACGCAGTGGCCGTAGGAAAGGAAGAGCGTATGAACGAATAAAAACCAAACATAACGAATGAATCAAAGTTAAAAAGCAGAGCGACCACAGTGCTGATAGGAACGCTGGAGGGTCGCTCGCTGCAGTTTACCCACCGGTCTCCAGGCTTGAACTCGCGGGAAAACTTGGTCCTCTTCTTCTTGTGCTTCCTCTTCAGATTGCGGATGGAAAGCGGGATGCTCTTCTTGCGGTTGGTTCCCAAACCGCCGCTCTGAGAGGAGGCCGTGGAGCTGGCCGATGACGTCAGCGAGCTGCCACCACGAGAACAGCCACAGGTCAAACATCTCCGTTAAAAACAGACACACAGACTTACACGGAACAGTTTTCCCTTAGTTATTAGTCAGAAAAGGTCTGTAAGCCTTGCACTTCAAGGAAGATCGGTGGTCATTTTCAGGTTAAACAAGTGGCGAAGACTCAAATAAACTGACTAAACTTATTTCCATCACCTTTTCACTAATGATCTGTGTCAGGAAAATCACGCAATCCATCCTGCGGGTGTTTGCATCTGTGAGCTAGTGAGCGTGCACCTCTGTGTTTACATGTAGGAGGAGCACGATATTTTTGTGTGAATCCGTTAAATGTTAAACGGACCTGGTATCGTCAGTGTCGTCTGCAGCCTCGTCGTCAGCGTCCGGCTCCCCGTGTTCAGCAGAGGCCTCGCTGGGGTTCTGGACGGGGCCGTTGTTGTTGGGATGAGACGAGTCCGTCTGCTCAGGTCTGTTGTCTCCTGGCGAGAGGTAAAAGTAATATTAGGATTTTAATTTAAAGGGCATGTCAATTCAAAACACAAGATTAAATGGGTGTATAATTATATATTTTTAAATCATTCAGAATCAAAACCACATTTGATTTCTTCCTCAATCCCTGCAGCAAATCAATGAGAACATCGGAACAGCCTTTTATTTCGCTAGTTGCAGTTTATTACGGAGAATAAGTCTGCAGCACTTCAACGCGATTTCCATTTAATGGGTTTCCCTCTGTGCCGAGCACTGCCTCCGCTTTGCATGTGGACACTCGGTCCTACTTTAGGGAGAATGTGAGACACTTTTCTGACTATGATTGATCGTCTGTGTGAGTGAGCGAAAGTATAAGGTTCCCACAGACATTATACATATATAAAACCCTAATTCATCTGCTCTCCCTTCTGTCTTACTGCCTACAGCAAATGATGACGGGCTGCATACTAATGTTTTTCACTAATGACTGAGGGTGATGGCCACCGCGGCAGCATTTACACATAAAGACATTAGTTGGAAAAGAGCTTTACAAGATTCATTGTCAAACTAAACCACCAATGCTGCCTTCTTGAGTAGAGAAGTCAAAGTTCAAATGTAAGCAGAATATCAGCCGATATCTGAAAGAGCTTTTCACCGCGTGATCTTGCAAAGACTATTTCCCAGCCGAGGCATCAGTCATGATCCATCTGTGCAGCATATGCCTATTTTTAGGTTACTGAAATCCATCAACATCAGAGTCTTGCCGAGTTCATAATACAGGCATTACTGACGACAGAGAGCAGTGTGTGTGTGGTTTGTGTGTGTGTGCGCATGTTCCTCTGCATATTGTGCTTTCTCTGCAGTGTTGCTTGGAACCTTGTACGTCGGTGCTCTCCGTCTTTTTCCCCATATCCTTCTTGAACATCCTTTTCAACTGCATAAGACACACAAAAATAAGCTGTGTGAGAGTTTTAAAATATTACTACAAACTATCAAATCTTTACTCTGAAATGGAGGTATTATTAAACTCATTTCATTCCCACCTTTCTGGCCACAGGGTCTTCAGGCAGGACGGGGGCACCCTCGGGCCCCTCGCAAGTGATGCGCGTGGCATCGCCCTTGGCAGGGAAAATATACAGGGCCCTCTCCCCCAGCTGCCTCTGGGTGTGGTCGTAGTATCCTAGACGCTTCACCCTAAAGCCAGCCGCAGCAGCAACAAGATGGGAGTTTCAGCTTGCAGCCGTTCTGCAAACTCTTATGACGGAGACGTGAATATTCAAGCTGACCTGCAGAGGTTTTCCTGTGTGATGGTGGAGGCTGGAGGATACACGCTGTCTGAACCTTTGGGAGAGAAGCTCTTTGTGATCCATGTCACCTTCAGTTCGACCACTTTCACCTGGGGAGAGGATGCAATGGAGACCTTGTAAGATGCACGATTCCATGTAAAACTAACTAATCCATTCACACAGGTGGCCACGAGAGAGGAGAAACAGGAGGACCGTTGTCTTTGTCTCACCTCCTCTACCACCACCCTGAATTTGCACTTCCTGCTGAGGACGGGTTTGACCCCCGACAGCCACTGGACGTTAGTAAAGACCTTGGCCGGACCGATCAGGACCTGGCCTGGGTAGAAACCGTACGCCTCGTCAAAGAACAGACCCTGAAGAACCAACACAAGTTAGGCACATTCAGCTTAAATGCAGTTACTGCGCAGGCTTTCGGGCAGAAGTGTCATTTAAACAGAGCAGCCGCTCCGCTCAGGGTGGATGAGCAGTCGGGTGATGGAGAAGAGCCTGTGGCTACGTACCGAATCGCTGACGTGTGGACAAACGTCGTAAAGCTTGGCGCCGTCCTCCACACTCATGGAGCACCTGGAGGCAGAGAGACCACCGGTTGACGGTCACTGAATTTGGCGCAACACTCACACTCACACTCTCTTTACCTGGCACCGTTGGAGAGCTTGAGGATGATGTGATTAGTCAGGTCGTACACTTTCCCCAGCCAGAAGTCGTAGGCGATGTAGTCGCCGTACATAAAAGACTAGAGAGAAACACAATGATTATCTCCTGGTTCACAGTCATGACGATGCTCAGTAATTAGGTGCAGGACCAAGTAGTTTTTGACATAAATGTACAAGTCTTACCCAGATGTGCTGCAGGTCTTTGCTGTTGACTGGGTACAGAACACAGTTGGTTCCCACCAGTTTCACCGCACACTCAATGTCAATGTTGGTCACAATACCACACTGGTTGTCCTGTAATGCACAGATTTGATAAATTAGGGGCCACAAGCGCCACTGCAATGATGCCACAACACTCGGGTGCTTTGCTTTAACCTGCTATGATATTCCACTCGTGTCTGTTGCAGCAAATGGAACAGAGATCAGTGACATGACTGACAAAGAGAGAGACCTGATGGAAAGACGGCTAAAAGGAGACAGAGTGAAGAAGAGAGCAAAGAACAAAAATAAAAATAAAAGATCTTTACTTACGTTAGAATTATTTCTTCGCACAATGTCTCTAATGACGATGGATCGATCTTCAAGTTTCAGCTGCAAAAGAAAAGACGAGCAGGTTTATAAAACGGTGGCTCAAACAGGAGGTTTAACAACACAATCTGCGACTGAAAGTGGATCATCGCTTTCTCGTGAGAACAGCTTTCCACATCAACAACCCCGTGACGAAGTCTAGAGCACTTGGAATCGAACCTCGAGGACATTACGGATGGGAACCCGTCACAGCCTCGTCTCGACCATGAAGACGGCAGAGCTGCAACGCCCCCGGAGAGCAGATCCAACTATTGAGCCAACAAGACGGAGAGAGACCGGATTCCACCGGGCCGGCCGGCGTGACGACACTGAAGGAGTCGCCATCAATTACGAATACAAACATTTAAAATAACAGTGGGGCTTGTACTACGGCGTGGATTAACGACCGCCGAACCAAACAGCTTGACGGACAGATGGCGGCGCAGCGTTGATGGAGAACCAAAAGCCCGGAGGGACGCGTGTTAGAAAACAGGAGTCGCCGGGCTAAAGTTGAGCTCGGCTCCCAGAGTCGCGAAACCGTGTTCCTGTTAAGACACGTTTTGCTTCGTCACGCGCGTTGTCAGGCATCCACGCCAAAAATAGCCCCAAGCAACACGGCGTTGGTGGGTCTCGGCCCGGCGGGGATACGGGAAGTTTCAGTAACAGATTAATTAAGGCTCAAAAAAACAGCAACAACAACAGTAATTTACCCCCGTCAATCAAATCTGGTCCACACCAACAGAGCCTAGTCAATACACGACCCTGAACTTCAACCTTATATTTAAAAACACATTTAGTAACAAGTTCAGCCTTTAAGATCAACGGCGTTTCGTCTTTTTTTGGGGCAGTGTTTGTGCCTCGTTTGTCACACCACAGCGTTGCTTCTCCCACAAAGAGTCGGGCACAAAATGGAGCCGGGGGCCAAAGCCGCCCTACGGCCATTAGACAAAAAGTTGCAGGGTATAAATCCGATTTCATGGAACGGCTTTATGGAGCACTACAGCAACGACAACCAAACAGTTGCACCACTTTGATCCATTTACTATTCAGGGCAAGAAGCTGCTGCTCTCTATTCCTCACAGCGTCTCTGCAGCGCCTTTCATCATCTACGCTGTGGATTCACAAGCGTGGAGGGGAAAAAAGTATGAAAAAAATAAGAAGGGTCACTAAGAGCTACACTGACAATGTGCAGCTATAACATTATATTTGAGAAATAATCAATATTGTGTATATACGCATCATGTCCACTAAATGTGCCAACAGACATGTAGGCTGCAGACAGGAAGAGGACGTGTCGGCCTGATGGCGGCTTTGTGGAATGACGTATTTTTTAAGCACAACAAAACAACATTATTAGAACAAACTGAAAGAATTAAAGTTCTAAGACGAATACACGCTGCGGTAGGGACCTGTCAATAAACATGTAGCCCCGCCCTAAGGCATTCGCTGCTTGATCGTCTATTTGACTCAAGTTACTAACTTGACATAATGCTTTATTGAAGAAGATTTAAAACTCAAGAGTGAAGCCATGAATGTTTATTAAAGGGAATAAATCAAGAGACTTATTTTCAACATCCCACCCCTGTAGGCCATTACAAATGTAAATTTAAGGCACTTCCTTATTGGCTTCGCTTTTAAGACCCCAGAGATGCAAACTGGAAATAACAATAGTTTTGAAAACCGGTTAACTTTTAAAGACCAACTGGACGGACAAAAAAAAACACCTGCAGAAACTGAAACTTCTTCCACTGAAATCGTTCCAAAAGCAAATTGTGGATTCCACTTAATGTCACGGACTGAACTGAGAATCAAACTGACAAAACACAGAATCAGCCAATGGTAACGTGCGTCTACGTCACACATGTGATCTGAATGCAAAAAAAAGGTAACTCGTAGCATTTGAATTGTGGTCCGTGTCGAGTAACACTGGGCAGTTCGGGCTTGATTAGAACTAACGTGAGGAAATCAAACTCCTGCGACTAACGTTCATGCAGCTTGCCGATGCTTCTAATGTGTTGATTTATTTTCTCTGATTAAAAATGGATTCTAAGCATTAGACTATTAGTAGCACTGCAAAGTGAATTGACGGTCATGAATAAGTTATAATGGCTTTTGATCTACAAATCAGGAAGAACTCCTTCACCGGCATGCGTGTTTATACGTGGCATTAAACACGGATCAATGAAACAGGGACTATACACAAAATGTATATTGTACTGTACATACTATCAAATCAAAACATGAAACCCGTCAATATTTTCTATGTCGTCTTTCTATATGCGTTAAGATTTCCAAACATCCTGAAGACAGTGTGCAAGTGCGCGCACACACGGAGTGAATTTCCACGCGGTTCACTCGAGGGAGACGACTGTCCTCGTCTGCTGCCCTAACGAGCGACATCAGCAGTGAGAGGTTGCATGTACACCAGTGTCCTACTTCAGTCTCAACATCCAAAACGTTGATTAAATAACTGACGCAACTCCAGCTGAGCAGCGGCCGACATGCTAGACGACGATCAGAAAGCACCTACATTCTGCGCTAGTTGAGTTTCCATGTAGTTGGTTTTATTTCTATGCTCACGTGCACGGACGTATAACTCCTGTTCCGCAATTCAATTCCTAGCAATAAACCTGCTTTATGGAACGTGTGCTAGGAAACATATACAGTTCAACTCAACGTCATGGTATTATGCAGTACTTGTGCCAACAAGTACTGCAGAAAACGAGCCGGCGAGGTAACTACTAACCTGCCTCCTGTTGCTATGGCTCATGCAGCGAGGCGGGAAGAAGTCTGGGGACCCGGACTCAGACAAAAAGGATACGGCGCTCGGTTGGCACAGCCAGATAACACGGCGGTCAGGGTTCTGATATAGAAGACAACCTTGGGCGCCTCTCTATCCCGTCGACGAGAAGAAGGAACCGGATTGATTACAGGGATCGAGGGAGACCCTGTTTGCTTTGCCTCCCCGGCCTAATTACCACGAGCCATTATTCAGGTCCCGCACGAGGTGGAGAGGGAGGGGAGAGACAGACAGACCCTGCAGAGGACTGCAGCTCGAGGGGGGGGGGGGGGTGGCACGCCTGTTCTCCGCTTTGACGGACAGTTCTCTGCACCAGGCTGTCTCGTCTTTCGAGTTAATCTCGAGCCATCTGATCCACAAATCACAAACGCACTGTTGTAGTAGTAGCAGCAGGTGCACATGGTGCATTTTTCTCCACAAAACACACTGGAATTCCACCCAGATCCTGTCAAGTATTGATCTGCAAAAATCGAAAAGGTGCAGTCATGGTCACGCGGCGCCAAATCCCTCCCGCCATCGGGAAATCCTGGTTCTGCTACGTCATTAGAGCTTGGAGGCATTGATTGTAATTCACTGAGGCAAACAGACTCTTACAGAGCCACATCCTTTAATAGCTTTATGTTACGTGTACCATAACGGCACCAGAAAATACTTTTTAAAAAAGGTGGGGAAGCACTAAGGGAAGAACGAAGTGTACATTAGGAGGAAAGTGAGCGTGGCTCACAAAGCGGCAGAGAATGCAGGATGGAAACAGCAGGAGATGAAGGGAGGGAAGGAGAATACTCGAAGGTCGATCATGGAGATGAGGAAACAGATGGTCCGATGGGGAAGAAGAGGGCCGAGGAGAGGAGGTCAGATGGGGAAGACGAGGGCCGAGGAGAGGAGGTCAGATGGGGAAGACGAGGGCCGAGGAGAGGAGGTCCGATGGGAAAGACGAGGGCCGAGGAGAGGAGGTCCGATGGGAAAGACGAGGGCCGAGGAGAGGAGGTCCGATGGGGAAGACGAGGGCCGAGGAGAGGAGGTCCGATGGGGAAGACGAGGGCCGAGGAGAGGAGGTCCGATGGGGAAGACGAGGGCCGAGGAGAGGAGGTCCGATGGGGAAGACGAGGGCCGAGGAGAGGAGGTCAGATGGGGAAGACGAGGGCCGAGGAGAGGAGGTCAGATGGGGAAGAAGAGGGCTGAGGAGCGGTGTGCCGGGTGTGTGGTGGGGGAATGAAGGCGAGCAGTGGGCGAGGCACAGGGGAGGCAACGGCCCCGCCCAACAAGTGGGGGATTGGGAAGAATCGCACGTAGTGAGCGAAAGAAAAGAAAAGAGACAGGAATAGAAAGAAGCTAATCGAATACAGCAGGGGGGGGGGGGGGGGGGGGCATGAGAGAAAGAGGAAGGAAGGGTCAATACTGCAGAGAAAGGGGGAGTATGAGAAGATGAGGGAGGAGGACTGGGTGAAATTAGAGATGGAGGAAAGAGGGCTGGACGCGGCTAAGCAAGTTACTTCACAGTCTCTTTGTGCGTTTGTGTGTGCGTGATGGGTCTATGCAGCGAAAGAGGGGATCAAATGAGATCCATTACCAGGAGCTGGACGACAATCCAGTCAGCAGCACATTACGTCAACATTCTCCAACACTGGTCTGCTGGGACGCTGAGGGAGGAGAGGAAGGAGGCGAGTGCGTGTTACAGCATGGGAGGGGAGGGAGGAGATGAGGAGGCTCAAAAAGAGAACGCTCCGTTTACGATCATCAGACGTCCCTGTAAATACAAGCTGCTGACGTCATCCCACGCGGCCCCCCCCTAAGTGGTAACCACTGGTGGGGCCACTGAAAATGACTTTGCAGGCTTGGATTCGTTACAGTGTCCAGTGATGGTGGAGAAAATATGCACGACTGCGTCTCTGTTCCTCCCTGGCGCCTGCTCTAAGCCATAACTACCACAGTGCTGCTGGGTGGCCCTTGGCAGCGGCCCCCCCAGAATCCACCAATGTCTGCCAGCCTTCCACAAGCACCTGCAGACGGCTCCCGAGCAAAACCACGCTGGAGGACGCGAGCGAGGCGACCTCGGACAAATCATGTCGGATCAGACGACCCGCCCCAGTACGAGAGTTAATCAGCACTTCGCAAATACGTTTCCTAAGTGCTGGAAGATGCTGGATGGGAGTGAAAACTATATCTGCCCTTGAGCAGAGGATTGATGGTATTGTATATTCACAGGTCTGCACAGGTGGGGGGGGGGGCAGCTCGAGGTCAGTGGGTGAAGCTCCTACAGCTCCTTGTATTTCTAAAAGATTTTTTTTTCAGCATTTCAAAAATCAGCAAAAATCTGCATTTCACTGTTAGAAGAGCAATAAGGTTAATACGAATACGAAAGGTTTCACCAGCGTAACAAGTGCCAACGTGATTGATGGGTGACTTGATAGGATTACAGGAAAGAGGTGTGTACTTTGAAATGCATACAACCCTTCCACTACAGCTGTCACAATACCAGCCAAGCTAAAGCAACGTCTTCTAGTTCTGCACACACGCAGTTAATATACGACTCGCTGAGCAGGCGGTGTTGTCGAATTCAAATGAAATCAGCCCAATGAAAAGAGAAGTATATATTTTTAAACCCTCTTTCAAATCTAAAATAAATATCATGCACACGAATAAACTCAACTGTCCATGATTTCCGGTCATTTGTATCTCAATGTCTAAAAAATAAATGTTTCCAACAGTTATATTGGGGGTGATTCTGCGTTACACTGTCGTCCTTGGATGGAATCGGGCGGTGCTGCAGTAACGGGGCGCAGTGCGTTTGGTAACGCAGACTGATGACTGACAATAACTGTCCTTCACCAACACTCCAGGTTCAAAAATGTACTATGGATAAAACGAATAACAATGACAAAAGCAAACAGCGAGCCCCCCCTCCCCCTCCCTCCACTGGAAATGAGCATCAAAATCACCAGTGAGGGAAAAGAAAAAAATCTAAATTGAAAAACGGTTGCCACGGTAACCGCCGCCCTGCAATGCTGAAGAATATCAAAAATTCTGATGAAAACTGATGCTACCGTCACAGAAGCATTCAGGTCACAAACTCCTCCAGCTGGTGAACTTCGTGGCAGCCTACAAGTTATCTGCACTCATTAGAGGATTTGCACGGGTTAAGAGCAGAATCAAGTGCATAACACAGTGTCTTCAATCTCGGCCTTATGCGGAAATTGGTGTGTGTGAAGTCAACGACGGCTACAGGTCTTCAAGTGCACTAATCTGAATTACTGAATGAAACAGACGGGTTTGTGCATTGGTTACTAGCACCTACATATTGAAACACAGAGGCTCAGATCTACTGAGTATCTGTGCACGCTTGTAGCACGAGGTGAAGGCAAATCGTCAGCGAATCACTTTGGTGCATCGACCAATAACGCAAACAAGCGCACTGTGGGAAAAGAAAACCCTCGTTCAGGCGTTCAGGCCTTTCCGGCGGTCACAGCAAGTCCGCCGTGCTCCCGACAGACACAGATCCAAGCCCCATCACCTCCTCTGGAGACGGTTATTAAAAATTCACAGGGTACAAAAAAAACATGTAATGTGTTAAGAGTGAAGTAGTGAGGCGCAGATCCAATTGGAACTCCGGCATAAGGCACTTTATAAGAGTCGATGGCAGAGTGCTGAGGAAGTGACCCCGACGGGTCTGCCCCTTTAGATTCAACTACTTTATCTGATCATGAAGTAGTTCCGTTACAATGCTGTGGAGATGTTTTTTTCCTTCATGTGGGCGAGTCGGAGCCGTCGGTGGGCAGAGCGTTTATTTTACACACACATCGGAGAGAGTGAATCCGCTACGCACCGATTCCTCCCGAGAGAAAAACTATTTTAACATAATCTTGAAGATCTTAACATACTCCGGGCGCTGCGATCATAAATGATTGATTATAGAGTCCCGCTATGAACAGGGAGGGGAACTGGGGGGGGCATGTGGTGGATGCGGATAATCTAACGAGTAATCTACGACAGGCCTAAGCATAAACGACAGCGGGACAGGGAGGAATCCATGCCTGCACAGAACACCCCCCCCCTGGGGCTCCTAATGACGCAGCATCCACGGGCTGGGAGTGGTGTCAACATTGTTTACCGGAGCCTTTGTTGTTGTGACAAGCGGTTGAATGGCACTCGGACCAGAACTTTACTCATTTGGCACAAAAGACAAAGGGACGCAGGGGTGGGTCCTGGAATGAGTTTCTTCTGGTCTCGTCCATCAGCCCTCGTACGAGCCGGCATCCAGATCAGTCCTCTTTTAAACCCTGCGACTCTTTTTTTTTTTTTTTTCACGAGGCCCCCGCGAGAAATGTAGAGAAGCCCCAGTGAAGAGAGAAGATGGCAGATTTCTCAACATCACCTGAGTAACTATTCGGTTGAAGAATGTGGCGGTGGGGGTTGGGGGGGGCCAACAGATACAGCAACACGGGGCGTGGTCAAAATGAAACGACCATGGACAACAGATGAACACCCGACTGGGTCTATAGGTGGACCAAGGCCGGAAGATGGTGCCTTTTTACCAGCGATCTACCTAAAAACCTTTTACAGTCTTGATGATCGATGCCGGTCATGTTCATTTGTTTATTAAACTAATAGCTTCATAATATAGTAAAACAACGAATTGGGTCTTTTTACAACATGTCCATATTAAACATGTGGAGGGGTTCTTCTGGGTCTTACTCAGTTACCTTAATAACTAGCAGCGTGTGCACGACTAACACACACATTTACCACCACAGTCACCTGCATTTGTAAAGAATACATACAACAACAACAAAAAAATCACTGGTTCCAGCTCATACATTTGACTAGAATAACCTGCTACTAAAGTAAAATAAACATTTTGTGTGAGTGTCCCTCGGGGGACAGCGGGCGTCTTGCAGATGACAGACCGAGACATCATGGACATATGGACATTTGACGACGTATGTTCTCAACGAGCCCGCTGAACACCAGCTGAGTGACATGCGGCTACGCGCTAAACGGCTAGCTAGCTATGCGCTCCAGAGCTAAGCTAGCTAGCGAGCCGGGCTGCTACCGGCAGGTGGATTAAGTGAACCTCGGCCCGGAACAGGCGAAGAAGTCCACTCGGGTCGGTGAGTTAGGACCAGTGCCGCCCTCGTGTCAAGCTGGGGGGGAGGGGGGTGTGTGTCAGTGTAAACATCTCGCACGTTAGCTAGCCGGTGACGTGAGGGGGTACCTTTGTCTCCTTGATGTCCTGCTTTCCTCCTTCAGGGTACCACTGGACGCGCACAAACCCCCGACTGACGGGCCGACTGGGGGTGTCCGCGGCGCTCTCGGTGTCCGAACCGCACTGGACTCGCCCTCCTCCACCTCCGCCGCCGCTACCTCCTCCTCCACCGCCGCCGCCATCGTCGAGGTCCGAGTCCGAGTTAAAATCCTCCTCGCCGTGGATCATCCGCACGAGGCCAAACCGGACTGAGCCGCGGTACCGGCCGGAGACCAGGTCGTGGGAGAAGAGCAGCCGCTGCGAGCCGTCCGCTGTGGGAGACAGAGCCGTGGACGGAGGCTCCGAGCCCGGGCTCGCCAGGAGAGAGAGGCCCGGGGTCGGGGATGCCGCCGCATCCGATGCTACGGGCTCCGCCATCGCTGCTGTTGTCAGGGAGTGATGCTACGGGGCGAGGATGACGGTGGAATGAGAAAGATGTAACCTGGAAGCAGCGAAGTGCACGTGTTTACGTCGCTACGGAGAGCTGCGTAACTTGCGCAGTGCGCGCGCGTCATCACGCTGCAGCCGAGCGGCGGTCGGTGGAAGGTTCCTTTGCCTTAACCGCAGGTTGCGTGGTCGGTGGAAGTTTGGGTGGTCGGTGGTAGTTTGCGGTGGTCGGATCCTTTTTCAGAACGGCATAAGCCGATCTCAGTTGGGTATTTAGCGACATGCAAATACTTTTCGTGACCATTTTTCGTCCTCCTCTTTCCTCCAGAGTAAAAATAACTCGAGAGAATGTATCCTAGTTATGGAGATGACTAGATTTAGTTACAGCATTCAGACTTCCAGCAGAGTGATTGAACATGAGAGGTCACTCATCCTACCTGGCTAATTCACTGCTGATACTAAATTATTAATACTAATTAAATTAAATGCATTAAAAAAGAGAACCTCATAACTTTATACCACTGGATTGTTTGTCATATAGCAGAACATGAATACTTTAACAGTGTTTGTGTAAAATTACCATATATATATATATATATATATATATATATATATATATATATATGGTATAACTTTATACCACTGGATTGTTTGTCATATAGCAGAACATGAATACTTTAACAGTGTTTGTGTAAAATTACCATATATATATATATATATATGGTAATTTTACACAAACACTGTTATATATAAGTATGCACAGGCATTTGAGATTAAACATATTTTCATTTTTCCTTTAAACAACAATGAACAGCTGTATTTTATTTGATGTCACAGAGCAGGGCAACCCCACACATGATCCAGTGATCTGGGGAATGGGACTTCATGGTTGGCAACACCACTGCTGTGATGTAATTCAGGTCTGTTTCTTGTAGATGGGGCAGACACAGAGCTTTGGATCCACGGGGGCAGTGGAGTTGATGGCAAACATGTGGATGACTTGCAAGGCTGTGAATAGCACTTTGGCTGAGGACTCAATGAGATGGGTGTTCTTCTTGTCCCATCCGGCGCCCTCCAGGTACAGACCATAAACATAAACTCCCTCCTGTTGAGGGGAGACAAAGTCCATGAGGGAATAATGCACATTTCCTTGAAGCACAAATATCAATTGTTCACTTTTTTCATAACCAAAAATAGCGGATAGAAATTGACGTACTTATTGCAATGTCCCTCCAAGTATATTTTAGATGCAGATGCAGATGCAAGCTGTATTTTAAATCTGCTAGTATTATTGATTTTCTCCATGCTGTTTGACTCACTGTAGGTGATGCTGTGATCTCTTCCTGTGCATGCTTTAGCACTTTGTTGGTCAGCGTGACTGTGTCCAGAGCCCAGCCTTTGTTTGCCCTTGTTACTTCTTGCCTCATAGCCGTTAAGAACCCACAAACATCCCCCATCGAAGACATTAGCACAAAACTGATGTCAATTTAACCGCAACAGATGGTGTAAATGGCTGGAATAGCTGTATTAATACAACTAATGTATGAGTATGTGAATTTGAGTGTTTATATAATTTACTGGTGTGACATAATAATGTCTTTCTGTTAAAAAGTAAAGTTACTCACCTTGTGGGTTGAAAAAGCCTGTCGTCCAAAAAGTTTTAGGTCTGCCTATAAACAATCAGCTATTGAACTGTTTGTTTCTCTCCAGAAGTTCTGTGAACCAAAAGCCCAGTGTGGATGACTCCCAGGAGATTTTTCTCCACAGTTTTGGCACACGGGCATCAAAAATGTTGTCCAGGGCATCACGGAGGTTCTATCAGCAGATTCACAACACAATTGATAATAATTTAAGAATCAGGATTAAAAATGACTTTTGCACTTTACTTCAAATTAACATGTTTCAGTGTTATATACATTTTGTGAAAATATCCTTCGGCTGGATATTTGTGATTGTGTCTAGCACCCCAGCAGATGTGTTTGTCTAATACCTGGTCCACAGTGAACACAAAGCAATGCTAGCAAACAGGCTACACTTTATATCTACATATAGGAAGAACAGTATCTTTGTCATTAATAGTTTGAGGAGGTTTTCTTACGTGATATCAGCATTAGAATGCAGCCCCAGCGCCTCAGGTGAATCTATAGTAGGCAAGCTCTGAATACATTCCATGTACTCATCCACTGTCTCGCGCACGGGTTGTACCCCGTGTAGAAGCAAAAGGACGGGTCAGACATCATTTTACTGAACCACTCCTGCAATGAAAAACACACTGTCATGTGTTGTAATAAATCAATAATAAATAAACGTGTTGATCAAGGAGAATGAACAAAAAAAGTGTGATTACACGGGCAAAACATTTGAGCAGGCGTTTGTCATAGTCATCGGTCACCCTTCCTCCATACTGCACTTCGGCTAGCATGTTTCGCACAGTGACCCAGGTGACCCATCCTGTGGGAAAGCACAAAATGACAAGTGAGGGAAGATGATAAAGGCATCTTTAGAGTCAGAGTGCTGTCACCTCATTCTCACCTTCCTGGGGCCACAATCATCCAAGTGTCTCTCAACAAATTCGACACTTGCAGTAAAATCAGCAGAGTTAAATTCATATGGTATATTCCAACCCAATGATCCAAATTTATAATAATAACACAGGTTTAAGCATCATGTAAAGTGAATGAGCATCAATTAATATTCATTTTTATTTTTAAAATAACTCTATATAAAGTAAAGTTTTAGTCATGTTTAAAAGTACCTGCATTTATTTTTCATAATGCGTTATAAGCAAAAAATAAGTAACATTTAAACTTAAGAAAAAAAATGTTTAATGAAAAGCTACAGCAACTACAGGACTATGTCAGGATTCCCTTTAGATTTGACTTCACTCTGAAGAGCTACACATGACTTCATACCTGCACACCGGTGTGGAGAAAGGCCACACTGTACAGGATAGGCTTCCACATGGGCAGGTTACTGACTTCCAACTGATTCTGGGATATTCCGGCGAATGTTCGTTTCAAGCCAGCACGCACTCCCTGAGGTGGATCGTTGGTAAACTTTATAGAGGACTAGAGGTAAAGAGGTAAGAAAAACCTGCTCTGAGAATGTACATGTATAGTGCACACAGGATTTCAAAAGGTATCTCAGGAACTTTCTTGTAGTTGGAAATGTGTAGAAGGAAATAGCCACCCTAACTGAGATGCAGTTTGTAAGGATGCTCCGTCCCGTTGATATGGATGGGGATGTGTGTGCCAGTTTTCTTCCGGAAGTCCACAATTAGCTCTTTGGTCTTCTTGGTGTTGAGGGCCAGGTTGTTGTCGGCGCACCATACCGCCAGGTGCTGGACCTCCGACTCATCGTTGTCACTGATGAGGCCAATCACCGTTGTGTCGTCTGCAAACTTGACAATGGTATTAGAACTGTGTACAGGTGTGCAGTCATAGGTGAAGAGGGAGGAGAGGAGAGGACTTAGCACACAGCCCTGTGGCACGCCGGTGTTCAGCATGAGGGTTGAGGAGGTGTGGTTCTCTACCCTAACAGACTTGGGTCTGTTGGATAGGAAGTCCAGTATCCAGTTACAGAGGGAAGTGTTGATACCCAGGTGACTGAGTTTCGGGATGAGTTTGGAGGGGATGACAATTTTGAAAGCTGAACTGAAGTCTATGAACAGCATCCTCACACAGCTGTTGTTATTGTCCAGGTGAGAAAGGCATCCTCCGTACTCCTGTTCTTGCGGTATGCAAATTGGAAGGGGTCCAGTGTGGGTGGTAAGCAGGTTTTGAGGTGAGCCAGTACCAGACTCTCAACCAGCACTTCATGATGGTTGGAGTGAGTGCAACTGGGCGGAAGTCATTTAGGCTCACTGCGGTGGAGTGCTTTGGCACTGGCACGATAGAGGTGGTTTTAAAGCACGTGGGGACAGTAGCTTGGGCTAGTGACAGGTTGAATATGTCAGTCAGGACCTCAGCTAGCTGCCCAGCACAGGCCCTGAGGGCCAGCAGCCTTACGTGCATTAATCCTGCTCAGTGCAGCACACACGTCGGTGGAGGAGAGTGTGAGGGGCTGGTGGTCTGAAGTGAGCACAGCCTTGATGGCGGCCTCCTGGTTATCCCTGTCGAAGCGTGCATAAAAGCTGTTAAGCTTGTCAGGGAAGGAGGCATCATTGTTTTGGGGGGTGGTGTTGGTGGGTTTGTAGTCTGTTATGGCCTGGATGCCTTGCCACATGTGACGGGGGTCGGAGTTGATCTTAAAGTGCTCCTCAATCCTTAGCTTGTGGCAGTGCTTGACCTGCTTGATGCCCCTCTTCAAGTCAGCCCTGGATGCACTTTAGGCTTGAGCATCACCTGATCTGAAAGCGGTGTCTCGTGCCTTCAGCAGTAGGCGGACCTCTTTGTTAATCCATGGCTTCTGGTTGGGGAAGGTGGTGATTCGTTTAAGTGTAGTGACACTGTCGATGTTGGTGTTGATGAAGTCCAGGAGTCATCATATTAAGGAGTCATCAAAAAGATGCATTCATTTTTCCCAGCAGTGATGATCGTCTTACCTTTAATAAGTATTTGAAAATGATCATGCTCTATTTTTTTATTTTGCAAGTCGATCTTGAGAGCCAGCAAGAGTGTGAAGATGAACTTGTGATTTTCATATAGACCTCTCACTGTGTATCTGAACACCTCATAGGTCAGATATTCAATAATGTTTGCAATCCACTTTTGAGTTTTAGACGACTTCTCTGACCTGAAAAAGAATTCTCGTCAGAGTAACAATGGCAAATAGGAGTGTGCCACAAGTTGTCTCTTTATGACACAATAACAAGAGTGAAAGGGGCAGTTATTTACTACATCAGCACCCTTTAGAGTGCATTACAGCACCTATAGCCTGGCCGCTTTCTACCCTTTTCAAATTTACATCTTTTTTTCTCTTGGTCGCTAGAATAACACACAGTTGGGTTTAGCGCTGGATTGATTTGCCACATGTGAAAGTTCCATGGAACCCCGGTTTGGACATATTTCTTTAAAAACTGTATTTTGTGCCAGTGACAGGTCAAAGATTTTGAGGAACTGACCGAGGGACGTTTGGTACATGACATTGACCATGCTCATCTCTGTGATGAGGAAGTAAAGGGTGCTGCCTCGGGAGGCAACAGGGCGATATTCTGCTTGAGCTATGTTGATCTTGACCTCTGCTTCTGCTGCCGCACTGAGCTTAACACCAACTTCTGCTGCAGTGTGCTTAGTTGTACTCAGGATGCTGATCATTGAGTCATCATCAACCAAGGAACCTTTATTCACGCGTACAAAAACAATTTTATTTGTAGAAATACATAATTACATTACCACTATGGCTTTACAGCAACTGGCTCTGACCTACACCAGTAACTGTTGTGGCACTGTACCTTTTGTGCTGCTGAGTTTGTCCAGCAAGTTGCCTTCCAACTCCTTCCTTTTTCTCTTGTTGGCAGTTACATCCTCAATTAGTTTTAATCTTTCTGCCTCTAGTTCCTGTCAAAATGTGTAATCATATTTATAGTGTATTAATAAAATAACAAATTATCAATCTACACCAAAACTTTTAGTAATACATTAATATATTCATACAGTTAGCCTTAACAAAAAGCCTCTGCCGTATCATTGCCTACTCTAAATACACTGTTTGCTGTTATATTATTATATAGACTATTACCCTCTAATAAATAAAGTACAACATAGAAAAAATGGATACTGACATATTTCTCTCTGAGGATGATGCGACCAAGTAGCTCAACCTAGTTTGCAGCTTCTCGTAACTGGCACAGAGAATGTCCTTCACATGTGTATAAAAACTCAGCGTTTTTACTGCTCGGAGACGCCATTACACCGAACGCTGAAATACGTGCTTGTGTGTCTGACCTCCTGCTTGCAAGCAATAGGAGAATTGCTCATGTAATATTTTTCTCTTCTAAATAAATGTTAACTTTTTAACTTTTAAACTTGACTTTAATGGATTAACGTGTTGCGATCCTTCTCATCAACCAACTCGGGGGGATTGGAGATCCCGACAATTGTCAGGGGTGACATATATTATTAAAATTAGGTCTGTTTTTTTTTCAGGTGAGATTAGCTATTTATTGATCGTAAGAATTTAAATGAGGTCATTTTTTTGTTGTTCTTGGCATACTTGTGGGGGATGTGCTCCAGCTCACTGGCTTCTTGTTTTATTGTTCAACCAGAGCTTCCGTGACATGTTATTGAAGGACATCTGGGAAAAGGAGCTCAGGAATCATAAAATCCCATTTACAGAAAATCTCAGCCTCATTTCTGACCTAGTGGACCCTCCCACTGTAAGAGCAACATACATTTGCTTTCATTTTACATCATTTCTACCCTGCAGAAAGAGTTCAACATGTGATGAAACAAACTCCTGTTTCGGTTTAAGATAAGCGAGTACCTTCAAGGACTTCCAGTATGGCGGCAAATCACTGTCAAAATTCGAGAGCGCAAATCAGGTTGATGCACGCGCGTAAATCAAACATCCGTGAGCAAAAGTCCGTCTTGCGCGAGCAAAAGTTTGTCGAAAGCGACGCAAGCCTAGAAAAATGTCTCGACACACGCAAGGACGCAAGGAGGTGTGAGAAGCAACGCAAGGGACACGCAAGGGGGTCTTGCGTCTGCGTCGCTCTGAAACCGCAGAAGGATAAATCAAGCTTTAGCCGAGATGCTAGCCGTTAGCACCAGCGACTTGGCGGTGAAATACAACGTTGAGTTGGTTAACAGTTGTTAACAGTGGGTTAACACTAACTTGTCAGGGTTTTTTGGACTGAATTACCCTGAAGGACCATGTGGGGTCCTCAGTGATCCAGTTTTATGTATGGCACCTGTCATGAGTCTGTGTGGTCTTGATTGTTCTCATTGCGTTCACCTGTGCCTCGTTCTCTAGCCTTTAAAAAGCCAACTGTGTTTCTTTGTGTTTGCCGAGTCTTGGAACTTACCACCTGGAGCTGAGCTGCGTGAGACACTTGATAACGTTTCTCTGTTAATACCTTTTGTTTTTTAAGATCTTCTGTTGCCTGTTCTTTGGGACACCCTTAGTTTCCTGTTAAATGCTCTGACTTTGTTTTTAGTTGTCTTGGAATATTTTGAGTTCTGTCAACGATATGGAACCTTCTACTTTTTGCAAGTAAAGAAACCTTTTTTTGACTCAACATACGACTTGTCCGTGTCTGTCTCTGCACCTGAGTCACCACCACTTGCAGCACAGTGGTAGGCAATCTGCCTGCTACACCGAGACCCAGGTTCGGATCTCGACGATCGTGATACTAACTTGTGAAAACATTGCCTGGTCTAAGCTAAATAACATTAGTCTAGCTTTAGCTAGAGCTACCGTTAAGTTATATCTGTAACGGCAACCGTAATAACGTTAAATTAACAGTAGCGCGGAGTGAGTTAGTTCAACTTTTAAGTTAAGGTTACCTCTTTCTAACTTGTCTAAAAAAGTTTAACAATGTTGTCTGATTAAAGTCTTTTGGCTTTGAGGAGAGCGCATTAATTGTATGTGTTAAAATATTATAATGTGTAAACCTGTGCTGTTATTTATTAATTATTCACTTCAATAAACGCCATATACCATTGCAATAGAATACAGGTGGATAATAAACGTGTCCACCAGGGTGTAATGTTTCCTTCACTGCCAATCAGAGCTAGAGTCAGTAAATACTAGTGCAATCATTTGACCCAGGAATAAATGCTGATTTTGACCTTTCCCACTGATGGAAAAGCTAGATAAGGGGGGGTTGTCCAGTGGGAAAGGTGCTTTATAGGATACTAATGGTATCCCAATTGAAAAACTCACAGAAGAATCTAAAATAGATTCTTACTGTCATTGGATTCAGATCCAGCCTCTCAGCCAGGATGTCAATCATGTACTTGTGTGCAGGGGTGAGGAGCATCTTTCGCTCTTCTCTTGCCTGCTGGTATTTGGACTGAGAAAGACATGGGTTGTAAACAACAGCAATTATCTTACACAAGTAAGACTGCATAACAAAACGTCATACTTTTAATGGGTGCATTGACATGTGTTCTGAAAGCCAATGATCTAATAAAGGTGTTAACTTACCTGACCACCATGCTTGTTTATCTTTTTAAAGAGCTCAGGCAACACCTCCTTTGCTGTTGAAAAAAAATCAGTCACTCTGCTTATTCTCTCTGGTTCAATTTTTTTTTTTTACTTTTTTAAAAACTAATGAGTTGACCCAAACCGCCACGTGAGATTGTTTCCTACATCCATTTAGCCTATGATAACACCAAATACGTATTAAATAAGTGTAATCTTCCCCTAAAGCAGCAGACCCTTGAATGTTAGTGCATCTAACTTACACATTTACAACGGCAATAAAAGCTATTTAATCAATCATCCCAGAAAGGACCTCTGACTACTCTTGAACAGAAAATGAAATAGTTTAGACAGAGAGCACCCGCGGACTGACTACTACCCCCCCGATTATGTGAATGTGATTTTTTAACAGAAAGGTAAAATTGGGAATCCCACAATTTGATTTTAAAATCTCAGTGACAGACGATATAACTCATTTTACTTTGTTTCTTTAAACATGGCGCAGACCCCAACAAGGAGATATTGATTCGGGATAAAACATCTATCGCAAGAACATTTGAAACATCACATCTGAAGATATAAAAGTGCGCATAAAGCTCGGCTCGCATCCAGCTCTGTGTTCATCTGGAGATGGAGATTACTTTCAGCCTTGTGACCCCTACAAGGAGTTCACCTGCTCTTAGACCTCTCATTACTACAAAACACTGAGGCCTCTCTGGTTTTCTCTAGAGTTTTCTTAAATCTTTGTTGGAAAGTTGCGTGGAACCGATTCGTGAGTGACGTGGCTTTTGCTTCTTGAAATTCTTGTCATTTCCCACCGAAAAAGGTGATAAACAACCCCTTCGATACGCCCCGTAATCCGCTTACAGATTCTGTAAAAAAAAATAAAGCGTGCACAAAATCGTGAGCTCGACTTAAAGGGACAATGGAAAGTCTGCTTCCGAGAAGTCACATGAAGAGTGGTAAGTCGATTCCTTAAGATGGCCTGTTAGGCAACACTCAAGCCTCACTCAATCCTCTCAGCTTGAACACAACACATTCAATTCAACTGTATTCATTTGGTGCAGCTCAAAGTCACCGATCTGCACAAGGGAAACCCAAATAAACCTCGACGAGGCCTGAGGGGGAGCGACACAGGGGGAACCCCTCTTGCAGGACGTCCAGTAGTGGACGGAAGTGACGGAATAGCACAATAACACAACGGGGTTGCTAAGTAGTAAGCAGGATAACATGAAATAACTACTACTGAAATAATAACAGCAGATATGGTCAATTACACCGACATGAATGGTTAAACAATCGAAATGGCTCGTGGCTCTAAATTCATACGTGCACCGTCTGCCACTCTGCGACACAGGTGTGACTGTTCCACCTGATGCTTGTAATTGTACCACGTTGTGAGAACACATGATCGGTAAGTACCAAATCAGCAGCGGGGGGGTGTCGGTGGCATGATTAGGGTAATTAGCCCTCCTGACCTTAACTAAACTTGTTTATCGTTCAATTTGCTCACGGGGAATCGATCATCCAGCTGGCTTTGGGATTATAAACTGTGCACGCGGCTACAAATACCTCCGGCGCGTCGCGCTCCGCTCAGTGTTCCCGCGCAGTCCCGTTACGCACGGATCAGGTTCGACCTGCGCTGAGAAAGGAGCGAGACGGTCCCCTCTGGCCTTACCCCGGACCCCCCCCTTTCAGCCCGGCTCCAGAGGGAGGCTCGTTGGGGGAAACAACAACACCCGAGCATGTCGGCGGTGAGCGCGGTGCCCTTCATGCGGCCGCTCCATATTCGCTCCCCGGGGCCGCGGGGCCGCCGACACACGCTGCCGGCCAGCGAGTTCCGCTCCCTCAGCCCGGAGGATGCCATCAGCGTGTTCGAGATCGAGAGGGAAGGTGCGCTGACTTGTCATGTTTCACGGCCGTTATCGTCATTTGAGGACACCGCGGTAACGCACAACGGAACGTTTTCCTTCGTTTAAAAGCGTAATTTCGGAAACAGCTGCAGCCTCGGTTCACATTCTTACTTGCATAAACTTTCAGTAATGAATGATAACTCCATAATCAACACATATAACATACAAAAACCTATATACGTTTATCTTTTCAATATTTTCAATATATTATGTGGCACTACAAAAGGTAAATTGAACTCTTATGCGTAACCAGGTTAACGCACTGATCCAGTGTCTCCCGTTCACATTCCAATAATAGTCTGAATAGTTGGAAGTGTCAAGTGCACCTCCTACGCATCCAGGTGTCATTGTGTCTAATGTCCTCCTCCTCCTCCTCCTCACAGCCTTCATCTCAGTGTCCGGTGAGTGTCCTCTCCATCTGGACGAGGTGCGTCACTTCCTCACCCTGTGCCCTGAGCTGTCCCTTGGCTGGTTCGAGGAGGGACGTCTGGTGGCTTTCGTCATCGGCTCTCTGTGGGACCAAGAGAGGCTTACCACGGTAAGACACGGCACAGGACACATGGACAGTAATTTAGCCCAGGCGGCCTGGCAAGAGAAATGCAACAGGTTCAAGTCAGATTAACAGAAGGGACTGGTAAAGATTTCCATAAAGTGTGATTTTGGGGAAATTCAGTGGGATAATATACGTTCCACAGATCCTCCCTCACGTGTCTCACGTGTGGGGTAGAACCAGCTTCAGCATTGTCACGGCCTCCGAATACCACCTGGAGCAAGATAAAGGGCCTTTCAATTCATTTTATTTTGTATAGCCCAAAATTGCAAATTATAAATTTGCCTCAGAGGGCTTTACAGTCTGTACACATACGACATCCTCTGTCCCGACACACACACATCAAGAACATGTTAAGAACATGTAATGCGTTTCACAATTCTACTAACCGGATAATGGTTGACAGATTAAAAAGTTGAATTTGTCGCTAGTTCATTATGCACTTAAGTGCAGGGCATCTGTCTCTGCAATAAATAATACTTCTAAACAAATGGAATTAGGGGATAAAATACGGTGGATTTATACAAACGTAATGTCACAGTTGGAGGGCCGATGTGCAAGGCAGTGCAAAGGATCGGCCGAAGGCAGTCAAATCGATGAACCAAAGGTCAGGGGTCACAGTGAATATACAATTACAGTTTTCAACGGTTCCTGAGATTCCTTCCAGAGATCTGTGTGATCGCTTCTTTTTTAATTTAATGTCATAAATGTGATTCTGGAGGCTGAAGCAGCTATCGGAGCTTAAAGGGAGAGCTTTGCTGAACAGCGGAGTCACTGTAGGATGACAAAGAACACAGCAGAGAATAATCAGTAAGGGCCAGCAGACTTGATCACAATTCCTCACTTAATCAGCAGAAGTGAAAAACAATCTGACCCCCGAACAGCAGAGAGACAGTTGGACATTTTTTTAAATCCCTTTGGTGGTTAGTCCAATAAGAATGGAGCAGCATTTACCTGAACCCCCCCCCCCCTCCCCATTTCCCCAGGATGCCCTCACTCTCCATAAGCCTCAGGGCACCACCGTCCACATCCACGTCCTGGCCGTCCACCGGACCTTCCGCCAGCAGGGCAAAGGCTCCATCCTGATGTGGCGCTACCTGCAGTACCTCCGCTGCCTGCCCTATGTGCGCCGTGCCGTGCTCATGTGCGAAGACTTCCTGGTTCCCTTCTACCGGAAGTCGGGTTTTAAGGTGCAGGGCCCCAGCAAGATCACAGTGGGGCCCCTCGCCTTCATCGAGATGCTGTACCCGGTCAGGGGCCACGCCTTCATGCGACGCAACAGCGGCTGTTGAGGACGGGAGGAATGTCTTTCTGAGCCGCGGCCCTCTTCTTTTGGGGACGTCTAAGCAGCTTTGTGTGAAGCCCCCGAGCGGCGCGGTGTTTTTGCGAGCGGCATTGTGGGCGAGAACGGTTCTTCAGGCGGCGAGGAGGTCGCCCGGATCGCGAGAGTCTGAGGACAGCCGAGAGCTGTTCCTGACAGCTGGATAGAAAAGTGCTCAGAGACTACAAATGTCCGAATTATTGGACCAAAGTAGCGAAAGGATGAACTTATCTCAGATTTACATTGAAAGGATACCCATTTCTTTGAAAGAAATGAATTATTGTATTCATCAGAACACAGAAGCCTTGTTTCTTTTTTCCCCTTTAAAAAATATATTTCTTACTTAACCAATCTGGCTTTTCTATAACGCCAATTCATTAGTCAAATAATCAGTATCGGCCCAGTATGCAGTGTGTACTGTGAAGTTCTGTATAAACAGCATGCCTTGGAGGATAATGTCACACTTTGTATAGCTACAACGATACGACTATAAAGTTAGACGTCAAAGTGAACAGCTGGCCTTCGAGGACTGTGGGATAAGGATAGAAAGTGAAGGAAATCAGCAATCCCACACCAGACCACACGTCAATGTGTTAACTTTAATTAATCAGTGATTGTTGTGTGTACATAGAAATTCCACAATGTATATTTAGCTTGTCAGCATGTTTCCTAAATACATGTTCTTGAAAAAAGATCTGCTAGATAGTTTCCTCCCGCCTTTCCCCTCGTAGGAAATCACCACCTCTGCCTCCCAAAGTCTCAAATCGAGACAATTATGTTCTGCATTTGTTTGTTCTTCAAATGATGCAAATTCTATTTTCAAGCATTACATGTGCTATCTGAGGTCTTTCCGTTGTTTTAACAGGTGCACCACAGGGTGTATTTAGTGGCTGTTTTGGAGATTTCTATCAAATCAAATATCTGTGTTTCTGCTTATTGTTAAATCTAATTTAGATCCATTCAAATTACAATATGCAGTTAGTACAGAAAATGTAGAAAATTGATACAACTCTCTCACATATTATTAATGCAAGTAGATTTCAACATATAAATTGAATCAACACAGAATAATATCGTGACCAGAAATGTATTTGAAACCTTTTATTCCAATAAATAGAAAAAAGGGAAATGATTTGGTCCCCATGCGAACTCCGCAGTGACACTGGAGCATGGACAATCCTGACTGGAGAAGTGACTTCAGATCAAACCCTTGCATGTTAGAAGGCACAGTATAAAGGTTTCCTTAAAAGAGCTCACACTTACTATACCCTAGACGCTGGGATCCTTGATTTGTAGCAGTGGTGTACAGAAAACAGGAGTGATTGGCAAGGACAACATGCATATATGCAAGCAGCACATGTGGCTGCTTTCTATGGTACTCATCAGCTTACTGAGAGTCGGTCACGACCTTTATGAAAAAATAAAATGAGGCATCTTTGTCTGTTTAAGGCAGCTCGGCTTACTAAACCACTGCCATTTCACTTATTTCAATTATTAAGTATTTCAGCTGTACAGGTTCACGACTGTTTAAAACAGACGGAAGCAGTGGGACTGAATGGCAGCGTGTGTGGTGTTGAACTCAAGTGTGTACAAACAATGTGAATGAGTGGAAGGAGGCATCGGACGTATCTCAGATCACTGGGCCACCGAAAACGCAATGACCCACCACAGCATCAGTCCTCCTTTTGATCTCAGCTGTTTGTCCTGTACACGGTTAAAGGGAAAACCAACTGCTGGCCCGAAGCGATTCATTGGGCCTCTTTAGATTTATGGGGCTTTGAGCAGAAGGAACATGTAAGTCTCTTGCTATGTAGATCATTTTCTTCAGGTCCAACCTGCTTTTTGCAGTTTCGCCGTCCTGAGTATCTCCGGCCCATTAGCAAATGGAAATGCTGGCGGGTGCCACACTTGACCGACGATTAAAAAGTATGAGTATTGTTTTATCGAGGTTAGGCTGAACAGAAGAGACTGATTCAGCTTCATTCACGTGGACTTTGATCAGGTCCTTTGATAAGCAAATAATACAAAAGCATTCTTAAAAGGCCACTGAGTTGACCTGGAACCAGCTGACCTGATCACTGGCTGGAAGACAGCAGCTCAGCATCACGCTCATCAGCAGCCTGGAGATTAGTGCACCACGTCGTTGATGTCGTGGTCTATGTCGTACCGTTCACAGAACTTGCTTGTGAAGGGCAGGCAGGTGAGATGCTCCAGCCAGTGCCAGTTAATTGGGTAGAAGTAAAACCAAACAATGAGCGAGGAGAACAGCCCGATGTAGGCCAACATCGAGACAGCGATGAGGATGCGCTTCCGGTACTTGTCGAAGTTCCCGAAGGTGACGTAAGGTAGGAAGGCGAAAGAGAGCAGCATGCCGCTGAGGAAGCCGAAGATGTGGGCGATGTTGTCGATCCACGGCAGGAGGCCGCACAGGAAGAGGAAGAGGACGATGCCCAACAGCTTGAGGAAGGCTTTCCATGGCTTCTGCAGCATCTGCCAACCTTGAAACAGCTCGACAAACAGGCAAGCGAGGAGGCCGAACTGAGAGCCGGCCGGACCGACCTAGAGGAAGAGGAGGAGACAAGTTACCACTGAATTACTCCAGAATTTAAGAGAAGGGAGCCTCCGTGCCGACGAAAACACTACTCGCATAGAGTTGTAGAAGAAGTGCCGCACAAGGCCCGGGCCAGGCATCACAGTGACGTCGGGGCAGAGTTCGGAGGCTCGGCCTGATCAAAGGCAGATGGCTAATCTGATAAGACGTCAAACTCGCACTAACAGAGAATGTGCATGGTACCGCGCCATGTGCACATGACACGCCCACATCCATTCTTCTTGTGTGTGAAAATGTTTTAGTTTTCTGCACAGGCTCAGCCACTTGAGTTGAAAAGATGTTTTCCTGGAAGAACGGGTTTAGCCAAATTAGATTTGAATTAGGTTTATTAACAAGTTACCTGCTCAAAGCTACTTCTTTTACCGATGCAGAACAATAAAAAGCACATGCAGGTAACTTTTATTTGGTGTGCACGACCTAAAACCCAGTGCTCTTAACACTGTTCTCTTCATAGGAAAGACTCAGCAACAGTAAAGCAGTCTCACAAAGTGTTTATCCACTTACACTAAGCTCAGTTTCTCCAGCCGCTTGCACAGTTAACAGGACGAGGTGATTCCTGTGCTCCCCGTCAGAGACCTGGCTAGATGAGGGCAGTCCGCTCCGATAATCTCTAGTATGAACTCCCCTCCGGTAAGTGAGCCAGGGTAAACTAAGCTAAGCCAGTCAGTGGGAATAGCAGGCAAAACAGCTATAGTTACAACGGAAATGGGTTTTTACCTAAAGCATCAAAAATTGATGCAGCAGCATGTAATGTAAAGACTGTCTCAGTTCCCATTCGGACCAGATTTAGCAGCTATTACATCTAAAAAAAGAGGTGGCCAGAAGGAGGAGGTAGAGCACAATGCACGAAGACGCAAAGTGCAAAGTAAGGTAGACTTTGGGTCTTTAATGCATTCAGGGAACGTGAAATGCTTTTGAAGATAAGGTAGAGAGGTCCATATCTCACACCAAGGATTTTGCACATCGACCATTGACAACATGACGTGTGTTATCTGCTCGTGTCACGTGTGAGGTCTTTCTTGTATTAGAAACAAAACGTCTTGGCTTGAAGAACTCTTGGTAGAAAAAAGGTAGTCCCACCAAGTGTACTGTACATGTGTGCACTTTGTGTGCGCGTATCTATGTCTTTGCATGCATGTGTTCCTTACCTCAGCTCTGTAGGGGAGGAACAGGGCAGAGGCGAGGTTTCCCGTGATACCACTGAGGACATAGATGATGGAGATCCGCACCCAACCAGCCAGCTTCTCCAGGTCTCTCATGATGGTCATCTGGAATACGACCGACACCAGACAGTGCAACAACCTACACCACCACCACCAGTAAAAAGAATTAACCATTTGCAGTGTCTGTAGGTATTTCAACCAGTGGATGGCATTTCTTAATCCTTAAGCCACGTTGGATTTTTTTGTCTTAAAAAGCAGAGCGAAGGGATTTGTACTCGTGCCGAGTATTAGCACTGAGGATCAGTATTCATGGGAGTGAGCAGCTCACGAGCACTGGGGCCTCATTTAGAAATATTTCAATATGATTCAATCCCAAAGGATTCTGACAATGAAACCGGGCTTAGCTATCATCCATAGCACACGACTGAAACGTCTGATTGACTCAGCGTAATAGGTTTAAGGCTTTGCCAAAGCCATATTAACCGTTCTCTCAATGCTATTTAGTGGTTATAAAGCATTACTTATTCAGTGGCTACATTTGTGCTTAAATTGACTCTGCTGAAACACAGAAAACAAGCACACAAAAAAGGAACAAATGTTTGTCTAAGGGGGGTTTGTGATTCGTACCCAGCATGGAGGAAGAGAGACAGCCACAGACGGTAGAACTGATCTGGAACATCGGGGTTAAGGAACGGCAACAAGCCGCACACCTCGTCCAGACAGTGGACCTGTGCAAGAGTAGTGCGTGTTTTCAAGAAAGGTCCAAACACAGACATACAAACACGCAAAACCTCACACAATACCTGTGAGCAGAGTGTGGCCTCCTCGTGGAAGTAGCCATGCATGAAAGAGCAATACTCTCTGGTTGTGATCTCACATCTACAGGAGGGACAAGCAAAATCAAATTCAAACTCTTTGAAGAGTAGATCAGTAGATATCTGCATGCCTTGAAGTCAGTACACAGAACACATGTCTCACCTGCCCTTGGTTCCTATGCAGCACGGCCGTCCCTTGATGTTACAGTCCATGTGTCTGTAACCTGTGTGGTTCCACCTCTTGGGAAAGGTACACACCTGGAGATACATGGAGGCCGCTTCATGACCAGAGAAACGTCCCTCGTGGTAACATTTAATGAAGAACACTGGTGTAGAAAATACAAAAGAAGAAGTAGGAGTGTCTCCTTACCGGCCAGTGGGTAATGTCATCCGACCATATATGAGGCTCTGCAGAGGCAGGTTCTTCACACACTCTAGTCACATGCAACACACAAGGACAAAATCATTTTTGTAATACAAAATGATAATGACGATCTGAAGGTCTTGTGGCACAATGATCCCATTCACATTCTCACCTGGGATCCTGGTGACAGACGGAACCGGAGGACCTGTTTGTGTCCACATGCTCATTCGTCCATTTAATAAAGGTCGCCAGCGTCTCCTGCATTCAGAGTTATTTTTGCAATCACTTTTATAGAATAACAAAGGAATAGAATAATACACAATTTAGTAATCAGTGTACATCTTGAACACAAGTCAACATCTTAAATCTGAAGAATGTTAATCTGCACAGAAAGGTATCTTTGCATTCATCACAGTTAAAACTTGTTTCACTTGAAAATGTAATTGTAACGCAGAGAAAACTCTTATTATATGCTTACAGATTATAGCCTTACTGTCAAGTGTGGTTGTAGGGGTGAGTGTTTGTAGCTAGAGATGTGTTTAATTTAAGCAGATTAAACACTTTTTGAGTTTTATAATTTTGGGTGAATATTTATTGTAATGTTGTTGTTTGACTTTTTTCTCAAACTGAAGCAAGTTTTTTTGTGACAAACTAAGAAAGAAGTTGCAGGATAAATTGCTTACGGAGCAGTCGAAGCTGAGGGTCTGCACGCATCCCGAGTTGTCATTCTGAACGCAGCAGCCGGACTCTCTCTCCAGATCTTTGGCCCTCTGGATCAGACTGACTATTTGTGTGTCCTGACGAATGCACGGGGAGAACTTGGCCCCCAGGTGGATTAGGTCATCCTGAAAAGTGGAGGAAATACTTAGGCAAAGATACAGAAACCTGGCCCCACATGCATAGTGAAGTAAGAAGAGAAGAAAAAAAACTCCAAATATATCCCTCATATGCATTAGCAGGTTGTGTGATTATAACTAAAACCACATTTTTGTGGAAGTTACAGAGTGTTACTGAAGTTAGCGCTTGATGAGAGGAACAGTGTGTGACAGGAAATTAAGTAAGTAATAAAGTTGCATACTAACAAGGGTGTAACCCAAATACAACAAAGAATGCAAACAGTGTCCAATGTCACACAATGATACGCCAGCTAGTGAAATTGTAGAAAAGAGTAAACATGTATTTATTTCCCAATCTGTCTCTGTTTATTTTAGGATCTGCGTGCGTCCTTTTAGGGAGCAGTACGCTTGAGTTGTATAAGCCAAAAAAAACATCTACTGCAAGTGTCCGTCGAGGTGAGAAACATGCAGTAGAGTAACGCAACAGGGGACTCACAGAGCTGGGACCAATCCAGAAGTTCTCCTGTTGGATATGCTTGACACTCTCATAAATACCTTTATTCTTCAGCACCTACAGAGGGCGACAGAGGGACGGGGTTTTCAACGGATCGGCTCAGTGTACAGCGAGAGATGATCAAAAGAATCTGAATAACTTGCATATATATAACTGGCATATATATCTGCATACATCTCTTGTGGATGAATTCGAATTGACTGAATAAATAACGCTTTTGTCATTCGATTGCTCATACTTTAGGCCGGGTATTGATTGAGCAGATTAGTGAATTCAGATTCAGATTCCTGCACAAAAAACAATAACATGACATTTTGGCACAACTGATAGCTGAATGTTTTTGTCCTCTTTGTAGTAAAAAGCAACCAATCATGTAAAAAATTCAATGGGGTTGCGTTTTCAGCTTACTCACCAGTTCAGTCGTAGAATGTTGTGCAAACCCCACAGGGGCAAAACCGTATGTGCAACAGGCCAGCAAAGTGATTACTACATGGACAAACGTGATCCAGTAGGAAAAGTAGGGCCTAAAATACACAGCAGAGAGCCACTGTAAATCAGTTGAAGATCATAACTAACTAAACAACATATACTGTGATGCAAAACATACAGATGATTAATGTCACCCTTTGTTTTTAAAACCAACCCAGGCCAGAAGCATCGTCTTATAGCTGACCTGTGGCTGTGGAAGTCATCCAGCTGCTTCTGGACGTTGCTGCTGAGGCTGCGTCTGTAGTGCCGGTTTAGCCACTTCCCCACGACGCCCATGCCGTACTGCCGCTTGCGTTTGTCGAATGCAAAGTGCTTGACTTGGGAGGCGATGCGACCACCCCGGCGGGGATGGCTTTTCTCGGGCCCTGCTGTTGGTGTCCTGGGCGTTCGACAGACGTCCTTACTGGGATCAGGAGAAAAACAAAAGAAATGGAAAGAGGTTGAGAGGAGACAGAAAGGAGGAGGTAAGATGGAGAAGAAGAATTAAGGTGTACAAATTTGCCAACTGGATGGAACTGTGATGAAGAAATCCTTTTCAGCGATGGAATGTGTGTAGAAAAATAATGATCATAGAATAGTCCTGCTTTGTAGACAGTTTAGTGACTTTCTAAATTTGTTTGGTTATGTATTTACTCACAGGCTTGGAAACTTCTGGTCAGGCTGCTCGCTGGGAGCAAAAGCTGCAGACATGGGAGGCGATTCAAATACGTCATCAGCCATTGAGTACAACTCATCATGGGCATCAACCTACGCGGGGGAAGTCATCGAGGTCACAGAGGGGGAAGAGGGAACATATGACAAATAAAGTCTGTTTAGACATTAGGTTCCTGTTGCAGCAGACGACATTATGTGTATCTAAATACAGATCAGCTGAGATAATGTATGATAGATATATTGATAGATATATTTATAAAGAGAGTACATTTGGGGGAATTGATAAAAGTTGCGTAGAAGGTTTAAATTGTTCACAGAATGCTTGACCAATACATACTTATCAGATATGACTGTATGGAAGGGGGAGGGGGGTGAATAAAAGGAAGATGGTGGTAGCTGAAGAAAGGAGCCCGATGAGAGACTTGCAGTAAAAATGGAAGTGTGACTGCTGACAGAGGCAGGTTCCAATAGGAAGTAAGAAAAAAAAAAGCCTAAGAAAGTTGCAGCAAAGATTTGAAATTGCTGCAAAAGCACTGACAGGATGGTAGAGAGAGGGAAGCAGACCTTGCTGAAGAAGAGCGACTTGGAAGTGTCCGCAGAGTCCACGGTGTCCTCGTCCATCCAGCTGGGCTGGGCGAAGCTCCTCTTGGGGAAACTGCGACCAGTCTGGGATCCTGCCAAGCCGCTATGGCCCTGAACAACCAAAGCAGAGCATGACACGCCAAAATTAGACCTTCATGATGGTTCTAAGATCAGCTCTGCTCTACTCTCTATAAGATTACAATTCTTAAAACATTTCAGTAAAGTTGTGGCTGCACAATGAGCGAAACAACAGTCTCCTTCCTTTCTACAATCCATCCTAACACACACAGTTTTTCTGGAATCAGACCCACCCGCAGCAGGTTGGATGCAGCTCGGATGCTCATGCGGGCGACAGACTCCCTCTTACGCTTGGGGAAGCGGGAGTATCCGGAGCGTTGGCTGGTGAAGGAGCTGAGCGAGTTGAAACCTGGTGTGAAGGGCCCCCCTTCAGCCGTGTGTGGCGTCCTGGGGGAGCGAGCGTCCATCTCATCAGGGCAACGGAAGGCCCGCCCCCGTGCCAGGGGATCTACGATCTACCGAAAACACATGAGGAGTTTGTGACATAAATATTTTCCCCATGACATTAAAATACGCTACAACAAAAAGAATGTGTAAACGTTTGCGTTTGACACAGTAAAATACTCTATGGTGACGGATGAGTAGAGCCGTCTGAACTGAGGGGAGTGACATGTAACCTGCAACTGGATTCATTCCTTCTATCCTCAACTCCTTCCCTTACAGAGAAGCACGACGCTGTCACCATACAGGTCGGACGATTATCGGCAGTTATTACCCGTTTGCTTGTTGTTGAGCGGAGAGGGGCGAAGACAACATGACTGCTGCTGAGCCTGCTGTGTCTCATCCTGTTTTTTCCCTGTATTTGGTACTTATTTCCATAGGAGGATACTTTTATTTGTGTATTCAATTCAGGATATTCATATGTTTCTAAACAAATTAATTAGCACAAAACTTTTGTCAGGATGTGACTTAGCGGCCCACAGGGATCACACTCTCTCGATAGACTACCTTGGGCATCTTTTGTGCTGCTGGTGAGTCCGGGCCCTGGTCCAGGCTGCAGGACGCTTCGGACTCTCTATACTGGGCCTTCAGCTTGCCGTAGCGCTGGCTGCAATGGCGGAGGCTCTTCCTCTGCCATACTTGCTGCTTGGTCTCACAGTCCTCCCCAACCCCGAACCACTGGGCTGTGTTCCTAACGGTGCAGAAGGACGTCATTATCACTGATAGCATCTGAACCTCTGAATTTTTGGGATATGTTGCTGATGAACACCGACTAGATAGTTGTATGTTGTCTGCTGATCAGAGGGATTCTGACCTGAATGCTAACAAAGTGTGGATACCAGAGCACTTTCATGACTCATTAGGGGGATTGACCAGTAGAGAACAACAGCTTTGGTGTTTTTTTCTTCTACGTGGCCTCATGACCCGGCTGACTATTCATGAATCCACGTGGACAAATACAATAACAACGACTCAGGCAACACTTGCTTGCGGATGCTTTGCGAGAGCGACGCTTGTCTTCCAAACTTTGCCCTCCTGTCTCGGAATGAGAAGCCTCCATCTCCTGCTCCTTCTTTGGTTCCAAAGAGGTTCTCGGTCACAGAATCGGAAGCTTGACCGCTGGCGCTTTTCTTTAAGGACGGACGTAGTGGCTGACCGGAGGAGAGAAAAACTGTTACAGCACAGTAACTCAGTAATTGTTGCTATTGTATGATACGATATATAGTGCCTACACACACTGGAAAATAGACATATTATTAGAATTTATATAATCTTGGTTGTAGGAATATCACAATGACCTGAATAAAAGCTAGATGAAAGTGCGCAGCTTTTTACAGAACAATTAGCAGAATAAAACACAATTCATTATTGTCATTCCGCAGGGAGAACCTCACATTGAAGTGTACAAGTAGTGGGTACAGTTTGAACTACATCAAACACAATTGCAAAGCTTTTCCAAATTTGGTATTACTCAAATGTGTCTTGGCAGGGGAAATAGCCAGATTTAGAGTGTGTGGCCTCTTTCTTTTTTCTGTCTTGTAAAAGCAAAGCTGCTTTAAACAGCTGAATTCAAACTTTATTTGCATGTTTATTACACACGTTGGGAACAGTTTAACTCTAGCATGCTCAATTGACCTCTAACGGCGTACTTCTTTGTGTAGCTGCTAAGGAACGGGGTCTGCGGGGGAAAACACACTGCCCTCATTAAGTTTTGTTTTATCCACATTTTGTTCTTTCCATATACATACACAACGGTGGAGTCAAATATTGGGGCACGGCATCTCCTTGCTAAAGTCCATCAGCCCGACTCAGCTGAATTTCAGACGCCAAAAAACATCAAAACATTTGTTGAGATTAGTCTCCAATAAAGTCTCCTGTGATCACTCCTGAATGAGCCACTAAATCATCGCCATTTCAACAGCCTTGCAGAGGTAAAAGAGGTCAAATGAAATGACCACGGGTTTGAAATGTTAAGTCTTTACAACCAAAAGAATCAATCTTTTTATCGGAAATGTTTCTTGTCAATTCCTAATATCCGACAGCAAAAATGATCATGCATGGTACAGAATACAGCCTGAAGGTAATTATTAAAAAAACAACGTTAATGAATTCAACACGCAGGCTTCAAGAGGAAGTTGTCTTTTTTGTGACCAGAAGACTTATAATAACATCTGCCTGTTGAGAGCAGCATGGTCGGACGGGGTCAGGTGAAAAGGGTCAGCACACCTGTTTAGATGGATCGTGGGACGTCATCTCCTCCCGAGGAGGGATGGCTATTACAAGGCTGGGCGGCTTCTTGCTTTTCAGACGGCTATCTGATCGACCTCCGTTTAGAGGAGGCTCCTCCCCCTCCTGTGATGCCATCCTGCCTGCTGGACAAATCACAATGGATGCAATTTAAAAATACAACTGAAACATATATGTACATTGAATATGACATTGTCATTGCCACAAAAAAATGTGTATGGAAACCACAGCACAAACATGGTCAAAGATTTAGTCTAGATTTAGATTTAGATTATATATATATATATATATATATATATATTGTAAATGCATTATACTGTATATATATTACATATATTGTTATATATATTATTATGTACTTAGTTTCGATTAAGTTTATTTACGTTGAAAGTGTAAATATTTCTTTGTCAATAAACCATTAAATGACAAAATAACCAGACGCATATGTATTCCTCATTTCTTTTTAGTTTATATAATTATAATGGAAAAAGTACTTCTCATTAATTTGCCTTCAGATAGCATCCTCGCCATTAGACAAACAGCACAATCTCTCCACTGAGTGATTATCGCAGTTGGGTCTCAGCACAATAAAAATACTTAATAAAGAGACGGAAATGACAAAAATGAATTCAAGGGAACTGCTTGACCAACTAAATTAGTACAAGCCCCCCTTGGAGCCCCTACCATGCGTACTAGCAACCGATACACCAGCTGTTAAGCAGTCGGGAGTTACACCCAATGACATCACATGTGATCAATAGTGCTCTCAAATCACGACGCAGGTGGTTGGTAATCAATATCCTTCTTCTCAGATTGAACCGAAGAACCGCCATCGAAATCATTTTCTCTGACTGCATATGATGATGGTGATCTCTCTGTATTCATTATAAGTAGCTCTGAATGCGATCGCCGGTTAACGTCTGACATGTCACACAACAGTCAACTTGACAACAACACTGCTGGTTGTAAATAAGTGTTTACATTATTGTGACATGGACACATAATTAACTCACTCTATCACGTGTGTGTCAAATACGCAAACACATGAATCCCATCTGCAGAGTGGTCCGTTGAGGTGAACGTGATACGATTTACAACCAGTCGCTCGGTCTGCTCAGGGACTAAATATTGATATCAAACTTACTGATCTCAGTCTTCCCGTCTTTACCAATCACGGTCAACGGCGGAACAGCCAGCCAGTCTATTCCTGGTGCTCAGAATGCCTCGTAGCATTACACTGAATATTTACCGAGAGCAAAAGGCGTTGCGGACAAACAAACCTACAGCATCACAGGCCTCGGCCGACACATCCATTATGTCATCACACCGCTGAGAGCCTTGGAGATGTCCTGGAGTCGCGGTTTAGAAAATCAATGCAAGGCCCTCGGTGTCTGCGGCGGGACAGGCAGCAGCAGAGAAATCCGACACCAGCGCAGCCAATAGGAGAGTTTCCCATCCGGACCAGACTGGGCTTACCATACTGCCCCCCCGCCCCCAAAAAACTACATTTCCTAAAATGCTTCATTCTAACTAGTTGTCTATTTCAATTCTTCAATTAGGTGAGATAAATATTTCGAATTTGGACAGAAAGCACAATTCATCCCTCCTGAAAGCGAGAGGAGGTCTGTGGTTTGGTGGAGTAGTGGGTACAGGGAAGAGCCCCCCCTCCACTTAGATAATGAAATAGCTAGGAATTAGGCTAATGGACAGAGTGCTCAAATGAAGGGGAGACTGCTGCTGAACATAAGCTATACATGTAGACAGGCAGTGGACAACAACAGGCATCTCCACAGGGGAGATAACAGCGACGGAAACCTACAGGACACGAGGCAGCAAACGGGGACGGAGAGTGTTATCATGCTATTTTCTATTAAGATTTGACAGATAAACATATATAATACTCTATCGTTTTAATAGAGGTGGATAATCATTTATTCTTCATCGAGATGAAACAGCCTGTGTCAGGTCTTATCTGCAAGGACAAAGCTGCCGTGCTTTAGGAATACGATCTCAAGTGGCACAGCCCTACTAAAAATAGTAGAGTTAAAGGTGTGAGAGGGGGATCTACTGCTGTATGCACCATCATTCCACTGAAAGACTGTGCTGTGAATTGTTGAAGCTTTAGGATACTTTTATATTCAGATTTACTTAATGAACAAACACTGTTCCACAGGAAACGGAAACTTAACAATGAGTTCAGTTATTTTTACTGAATCCATGACATTAAGCAGAACCATGGAGCCTTTTGGCTGAATAAACATTGTTTCTTACTAATCATTAACCCCCCCGTGAACTCGCTCTCTCTCTCATCTGCTCAGGAGAAGGATTAAAAACAGTTACACTGAACCATATAAAAGAAGAAAAGAGAGGAGAACCTCCCCCCAATCCTCCGTTATGACTCGCTCGCTGCCGTCTCAGACCCTAAGAGCAGGGATGAGGTATGTCAATAATGACATCACCCCCAGCTTTTCATCGAATGTCACCGTCTCATCCCAGCGCTTCAGGGCGTGACCTTTGATACTCAGTGGGGACTGTGGGCTGTCACTGTGTGTTCGGTGAAATCACGTGTTCATCGCCATGGTTCAGTCCCCCCACCCCCTCTTTTTATCACTGTTTCTTTGTTGGGTAGTATTCCGGTTTGACTCATGCCTCGGGCGGCGTTCTCCCCTTTGAACCTGGACAGCAGCGCGGCTCTGGATGTCCGTGTCTTCTTCCCCCGGCGTACAGGCCTGCACACGTGACCTGAACGCAGGGCTGTGGGGCAGATATCTTGTTACATTTTGTGCCTCGCTCGCTCCACACGGCAGCTGAGCGTCTTCAGAGGGGCCAAACACGCTCACAGCGACTTATGTGAAGTGTAGCCATCCCTTGGCGAGGGCACGAGGACGCTCGGCTTCATCAGCCTACTAACATGAGCTTAAATGCGGCTGGAATGTTTAACAATTAGCCAAGTATGATCTCGCAGAAACACGTGCTGACTATAAAACACTGTGACTAGATATTTTATATCAGATTCTTAACTATCGCTATTATTTATTATTTATTTACTATTATTATTATGGACCCTTACGGTTGAGTTCCAGCTTCATCGCTTCTGTTCATCGTCTAAAAACAGGATCAACTTTTTCTCCTTTGGAAGCAACCAAACTCTTTCACTAGCTGCACATTTTTGGCATTCTTCTCCAATCTGAGCCACGGCAATTATTGAGAAGCGGCACTACGTCCCTCCCCAGGAATAGAAAGCGTGTAGAAGCTGCTTTCTGTGTGTGGTAAAAAGTTTCACTGAACTGAAGCAGTGTGTGCCAGGTTCAGCTCCCCCCCCCTTGCTTTTCCATTCAGGCATTTCCACGACTTGCCAGAGCCACTAGACCGATATCCGACAACAATCGTTCATCGCTGAACGTAGTAAATGGAATAATAACTTTGAGTTGGGCAGTGACAGCAGTGGCCCTTTTCTGACATTGGTGGTATTGTGCGATAGTGAAGACAACATTACATACTTCCTTTTTTCCTTTCCTTGCTTATTCACACATTCTTAAACTGCAGTTACTTGACTTTTATGAAACTCGTGAGAGGCTAAATGAGGAAATGACCATCAGAAAGCTGCCTTATTATTTACTCATAATGCCACACGCGTTTGCTCTAAAGTTCACGAGAACAACAGCTTGTTCATCTGTAGTGTTAATTCAATATTCTACCTTAATCTCTAAAATACAGTACGTAGTTCAACGCTTTTAAATGCTTTGAGTGCTCTTGGGCTTGATCTATAAATACCTCTTGAAAAAACAAAACAGCACATTTCAACATCCAGAAATCCATTAAAGATAACTTCACACGAACAATTACTCAGAGGCCGACAGAACAAGTGTGATTGAAATCATGAAGCATCGGTGCACCGAGGATTAATAAGGCAGCTAGAGTACGGGTGATGATTATGTTCAGACAATTTTCACCTCCTCCCACAGATTGTATGTCTGACTGACACAGTGAGTAAGTGTGTCAATTTGTGTGTGGGACTGCACTGCACTGTGAGATAGAGTAGTAGCACGAGAAGATACTGCCTGAGAATGTTTTGCACATGTCTCTGGACATAGATACTCATCATCTCTAAGAGTAAGGAGTCAACATTATTCTCTATACCTGCACTTCACCTAAATGAGGATGAATTATAACATCCTGTTGATTCTCTGGTCCATATGCAGCCGCCATTACAGTCCAACACGGTTCCCATGTTGTGGTTTTCATTCCAGTCCGATTTGGCCCAGTCCAGGTCATAGAGTAGTTATTTTTGCATCACCCCAATTTACTATTTAATTTTTTGGAATGGCAAGGAAAGGCAACACGGTAACAGTAACCGCGACGTCTCCTGTATGCCTCATCTCATACACTTCCAATGAAGTATTACCAACAGTCATTACTCTCTTAATTCCCCACAAAGATACAACATTAAGTGGTCACAACTATTTGACTAGCAATGTATACACAACCGCCTCCCTTTACGCAAATAGGGCGTTACGGTAGATAATAATGAGCTTTACTGGCCATACGGCTTTCTCTCATTTGGGTACCCAAATTTTAAAATATGAATCCATGCAAAGAGTTTTCTTACTGGTCGTCTCAACAAACTGACCGGCCGTAAGCTGTAAATGGCAGACCGGAAAGGCCCGAATGTGAAAGAGCCTCTACGCGTGAGTGAGCCCGGCAATCAGCTGGCAGAATGATGTGAAAACCAAGGAGTGCTCCGCTTTAACAAGACCCTTTAAAGACAATCAAAACCCTTTGATGACACGTCCTCCTCCTGAGTTAACTTCATTCGTGCAGCACGCTTGGTTTCCTCCGTTGCTATGTGTGTGGGGTACTCATCATGACGGGGCAAACTGTAATCAGTCGAATGTCAAGGCGTAGGAGAGTGTGTGTGCATGCATGTGTGTGGGTTTGTGTGCATGTGTGTGTGCAGCCAAACAGACTGCCCCCTCATTCCTCACTTCCAGCCACAGTATCTCATGATGATGTCTTCGTAAACAAAACCTTGGTTCTTCACGTATCCCATTATACCCATCTCTAGCTGACGATATAACACCTCGGTGCCTCACACAAATCGATAGTTCCACTTCAAAGCTATTTTCAGTTCACTATCGAGGCGTTGAGCAGCCGTGGCTTTAACCCAACTGCTCCAGATACAGTTTCGAACGTTGCACCATTTTCCAAGATCCTGCGTGCCTGAACCTGAATACTAAGGCATGTAGTTCCTCACAATCCTCAACACGCAGCCCAAATAACTAGACTAGTGTCCAAACGGCAGGTGTACACATAAACAAAAGGTACTGCTACCCTGTTGTGTTATTCGCTCTGTCGTCGCCACACAAGAGTGCGCACATACATGGGTATGTGGCCATGTGTTGCCCAAAACAGCTCACTTTTGTGAGAGAAACGCCTGTCAACTGGCCCAGCCTGGCTGTTAAAAGCGAGAGGGACAAAGTGGTGCGCTCTTCCTCGCTGTCACAAGTTAAATGCAAGTAGAGACATTTAGTCAGCTTGTGGAACTCCCAACAAACATGAAGGGAAATGAGCAGATTAGGTGGAACTGGTTGATTCAGCAAACTTTCTGCACCGCTAAGAGCTTCATGGCAAAGTCAAAGAATCCCAAAAAATCCTTTCAGTCTGTTTCAAAGCATTTCCGGAGGGCCCCTATATTCTGAGATAATGAGTCCAGTTGGCATGGGAGCGCCGCAAATAAATTCCTAGCCTATCCGGCATCTCAACTCTCCTGTTACATTGGTGGGTTGTAATCATAAAAAGGGGAAATAAGGGCACACTGCTTTCTGGGTATTGTGCAGCAGCAGACAACAGATCATGGAATGAAAGCCCACAGAGGGGAGCGATAACAGGATTTGATGGTGGCACTGCGACAGATGGGAAGAAACTGAGTGCTAGTGGACGAGCTCAAAGCAGGGACACAAGTCATTCTTCATAAACAAAACTCTTGCTTAAGAGTTTAAAATGGACTGCGGTTATTGAGGAAGTTAAAATGAAGTAACGGAAACCTAGAGGCTGGTGCACCCTCTGTTAATGCACTCTTTGCTCACAAGAGGCAATAGGCAGACTAGTGAATGTCCCCCACTTCACTTAAGAGGCCTGAAAATCAACATGTCCCATTTGTAAACCAACACAGACATCTGCTACACATGTGCACAACCGAGTTCAACAACAAACCACATCTAATTCCAAGAAGAAAACAGAACAGGTAGTCCTAAACAGCGACTTTACCTTTGTAGTTTGTAGTCTACGGAGCTGACTTCCCGTCTCGATGAAGTGTGACCTGAACGCCTCGTTGCTTGCAGTGTAAACTGCCTTATTCAGACACAGTCAGTTAACTCAGTCACTAACAGGTGTGCAGCTGCAAACGCCGTGCCAGTTAAACCCTGCAGATGCAGCCGTTGCTCGCCGTGAAGCATAAAACACCTGCCTTCTACAAAGGCACAGACCTCACAGCTGCAGAAGGTCACTATGATGTGCTGAAGACGACGGACATAAAAAGAGCAAAACACCATGACACTGTCTACAGGCCCGTCAAGCTGAATATTTATTCTGATATTTGGTTGTTAGTTAAATTAGCAATCCTCATGAATATGCCGGTATAAGTATAACAGCAGAGAGGCCTGCCAGGCCTTTTAACATGCGTCACATAACATTTACTGTAGTGTATTAACTGAGCTGCATACACAATAATGCCTTAGTACACATGCTGTTTCCCATGGTGTAGTTATTGATCAAGACATGGCTCTATTCAAAAGGCAATGCATGATGGAATAATGTACCAACACCAGCACGTCTTCATTAAGCAACTATCTACACATCGGTGGTGGTTTAACAAATAGAAGGATCAAAACCAGGACCTCTGTTTGGCACCAACACACCAATAACACCCCCATGACATACATGTCATGGGGGTGTGTTGGTGCCAATAAGAAATGTAAAAGTAAAGAAACGGAGTGACTCTGACCCACGCTTTACAATAAAGAAATCAGACCAAACATCCAATGTGTGTGTTCCTGATCAGAGCCTGGCACCAAAGGATGTGCCGTCTGCAGGGACGTGTGAGTCCGTCTCTGCACATGTCGAACCTACAGTAAGTTTTGAGCAGCATTTTGATTGCAGACGTATATACCCTCGACTGTGTAAATAAATAACAAATAAACGCTATATACATGTTTTTAAGCTTAGTTAACTTTCAGTTATTAGTAATTGCTCGTTCATTAAACAACGTGTGAACAGTCCAACATTCTTTGGGAAACAAATGGGAGGGTGCAACAACAAACGCCTGTGTCGGCACGTGGAGACTGTAAGGAACTTCACCGGGGGAAACTGGATGCGAGTCTTGGTGTTGGTTCATATTTGTCCCGGCGGGCAGAGCAACAAAGGGCTTGTCAAAGCTTGTCCGAGCGACCGTTGGAAGCCAACGAAAGGAACCGTCACTAATGAGGGTTTGCGTCCTCCAAGTAAAGCTTCGTTCACACCTGATACTGGAACTTGCGTATTCATTTTTACACATTCGATACGTCCCAATTTGAAAAACTCCATAAGGGCTGTTTACTCAAACACTTGAAGTTAACGTTTGAAACGGCTTTAACCCTCCAAAATGAACGTAAATGCCAAAGAGTTTCGTTGTACTCACCTCCAAGAATAAAAAAAGTGGGTCGTTATTCATGAGGGGGAAACGTTAAATGTTCGAAGAACAAGGCTACAGTAGCTAGTAGCTACTGTCCTCCCGTCCGTGTGTCACTAACATTACTTCCCTCTTTCTCCCTCCCAACATCGTAGACCGCGGCTCCACGGAGGAGCAGGAGGCGGAGCCATGACGAACCGTGTCAACGGAGAAGCAGGGGGCGGAGCTACAAGAGAGCGTGTGTACGGAGGAGCAGGGGGTGGGGCTACAAGGGACCGTGTCAACGGTCCGTGACAGGCCGTGTCACGTAATAGCATGGGGCGGAGCTACGAAGTAAAAATAATTCAGTCAACTTTAGAAAACTTCCATAATGTGAAATGCAACCACTATAGAATCACTCCTTGAAGCAGATCTAGTGAGTCTACTGCTTTGTTTGACAAGATCACTAAGGGGAGGCGGGGCTATACCATGTAAAATTAGAAAAAACACACACATCAGTGAATAATGAAGTTACATTACATTACATGTCATTTAGCAGACGCTTTTATCCAAAGCGACTTACATTACACTTTAAAACCATGGCTTTTTTCACATTTTTGCCCGGGGAGCAAATAGGGGTTAGGTGTCTTGCTCAGGGACACTACGACATGGAACAAGGGGCAGCCTGGAATCGAACCACCAATCTTGTGCTTCCCAGCACACCTTCTCTAACCCCTGCGCCACGAGTTCTCCTAACTCAGGATATGGTTTTTAGTGAGAATATTGCAGTGAAGGTGACTTTTTGTTTTTTCGGGCTTGTTTATGAAGAATGTGAATAGATTTTAATGTGGTGCTGTTGGCTTGTGCCCAGCTGGTTTCAGCAGTAGGTCATTGCATTAAAATACCATTTTCAGCCCGCATGGTTAAAGTTACTTATGTATCTAAAATTCACAAGATTAATTTCAAGACATTTGTCACAATAATAATGCTTAAATAACTAAAATCTGACACTGCATGTCACTCTCACCAGCAACATAAACATCTGGTTCAGATGACACTTTGCAAGCACTCTTTGTGAATAACATTGTCTTTTTAACATTCAAATGAAGGCAAGCAATTTAGTTACATTTGATAATTTGACATGACTTGTTCTTTGCGTTAACATAAATCTGTGTGCTGTATATTTTAATATACCCTAAGTGTACTTCATGTTTTAAGATGGTTAACAGAAGGCGCAAGAGAGATTTTAAAACACTAAACACACTCAGTTTAGTTTTTTATTAATTAACTTCCCAAGTTAATGACAATGCTTGTCAAAATCATTTACCCTTAGAATCATATTGTTTAAAATCATCAATATTCAATAAACCATGATCACACAAATATGGTTAATAAAGAGCTTAGTTACATATTGATAATCATGCCATGGCTATCGCTATGGCTGATATTGACAGATCATACAAATGCAGACATGAAACAATAATTGCCTTGTATTAAACACTCAATCAACTAAATTAATGACATTAACAAAAAAAATTCTACAGGCACAATTACCTCACAAATCATCTTTACAGTTCACATTGAGCATTTAGATTGAAGTTTTCCTCCTCATCATAATTGGGTCATTGGAGTAATAATGAAAAAATGTAAAAACATCCATCAATTTTACTGGAGTCTTTTTGTTGTTTTATCCACCAGATGGTTGAATTTAGTTACAATGTGATAAAAAATAAACTCCTTCCCACTGAGATTAACCAAGGGCACACATGTTTTTATCCTTTATTACAGGCTTTTTGTGAAAGTTTATAATCAATGAATGAATCATACAAATTAAAATAAAGATTAAGTTGGCAGATTGCTTTGTATATGAAGCAGAATTACAGCAGGATTTAAACACTGAAGCATATTAACAACTGATTTACTTAGAGTGTGTGTGGTTTGAAATGGGGTTTTGCTCTTCATGAACCATATGAAGGGAGATCACTAACTCACATTAGTAAAAAAAAAAAAGTAACACCTTACAAGTCATACATTTATATAACTTGTCCCCAGAGGTGCTCTTACACATTTGACATATATTTTCTCTCAGAAAATATGTCAAATGTGTCTCAGAAATTGAGGCATTTAGAACTAATTATCAATTAGTGATTGATTTCATCTCTAGTAAATCAGGTAAATAATCCCACTTTCTCACGTTCGTAGTGTCTTGATGGTCCCTCTTCCCTCTATTGAGCTCCAGTTCAGTCAAAGTACAGTTAAGTATACAACATACACGCTGGTATCGGTTAGGTGGATCATTAGAGAATGATGTTATCATTATACAGAACAAGGTGTGATTGGGCTCAGCGCAAAAGGCAAATTGTTTTACCACAGATGACTTTAAATGTAACGCTGCTGTGACTGAATTCAAGTTGACCCCAGGAGCCGTTCTCTACAAAAGGAAGCCTAAAAGGGAGAGTATTTGATTCTTAAAAGTGTACACTTTAACGGATGTATCGACTTAATGTGGGACAGTGAAGCTTAAGGCATTTTACATTCTTACTGCTCAAGAGAACAGCAAGTTTAAATTAGGAGGTTTTACCTAATGATGCTTTTAAAATATTTTGGTCAGTGTTTTAGATGGGACATTTTATATCTTCACTTGGTGTTTCGTAGGTTAGATGTTAGATTTGGTGGTTGGCCAAAGACAAAAGGATAAACGACTGCCTCTTTGATGATGACGAGTGGCAGTGTCCAATCCGATAAAATGTCAGCCGTCTCGTTGTCAGGGGAAACAGTTCTGGGATGTTGCTGCGAGTTTGTTCCTAATATAAAGCACTGATATGTGTAACGTTGTGTTGTTGTTAGTAAAACAAGACGGCTTGCTCACAATGAAGATCTATCAGGAACGCAGAAGAAGCCAAAAGAAAAGTTGGGGATAAGTGAAAAAAAAAAATTAATCAATCTACAGGAATAATGAAATGTGCAAATACTTGATTGTTTTTTTCAGTAAGCTTGAAGCTACTTTTTACACAAAATAATGGTTTCACTAGAGACTTTCCATTCCCCTTTTGCTTCTATTCTCCTCAATCGTGAGACTGTCTTTAGATTATTTGTGTCCACCCTGTTTAGAGCCCACTGTGAAGTGTATTGTGAATAGTGAATCAGTGCCGACGGCTCCAACGCGTTACAGATTGCCTTTAGAGTGGCTGAGAATAGTGATCAACTCATTAGGTGTTGTTGTGGTAAGGTTGTGCTCGTGTATGCTGTGTTGGTGGGTTTCAGCCAGGAATCGAGGAATCGGGGCTCAGCTCACAGTTTGGCCCGCAGGGGCTTCAGGTACTTGTGGAAGGATTCATGGACCTGGGGAAAGAAGGAGGAACAGGATGTTTAGCTTAAATAATGATCACCCTCACTTCTTCCTCCTCTGATGCCAAATGATTATCGTTGGCCATACGGGTCACTAATGCAATAGTGCAATTAAATAGACAGAAGGACATTTAAGGTCACTTATCTTCCATTTCTGTAAAATCAGACCTAACACATTACATTCCTATCAGTACCTTCTGTGCCTCAACACTACTTGTAATTCTTTCAGGACCCGACTTACCTCTGTGGAGTTTAGCGGGGATCGGCGCGCCCACTCAAACAAGTTCTCATAGACGTTGCCATCATATCGTCCGAGGACCGACTTCAGCCTGTTGTCGTGGAAATCGAAGGCATCGACCAGAGCCACAGCGTTGGGCCTCAGCTGAGACAGTAGCTGTTTGATTCTATTAGAAATCTGCAGCACCTGGGGCACATTCAGCAGTCCAGCCTGAAATGAAACGGAGAGAGACAGCGGTAAATGCTAAATAACAGCGCAAACGGTGCAGCTTCGCTACATCAAGATTAACAGTTCATATGGACCATGTTGTTTCTGTATGTTAGGATTTTTCTGACCTGTAGGAAGTCTCCAGAGTTCTTTGTGATGCCATGCAGGGCGTACAGCAGAGCAAGTGTGGACATCACAGAGTGTATCGCGGTGTCACTGACCTCCCCGAGCTTGTCGGTAAAAAGCTTCACTACAACGTAGTGACAGTGGGCCTGAGACAAAATAAAACAAACATTTAGCATATTGGCTTGAGAGCTGGCCATCAATCTCTACAATTACCCACAAGTCCAGAACACAGAGAGCTCAACTTACATCAGAGGCTCTGACCAGGTCAATAGCACTGTTGTTCCAGGCATCCTCCTGGCTCTTGCTGTGATGCAACTCCTGCTGGATGCTCTTAGCTGCCAGCTCAACTAGACTACAAATACACAGATTATCTAAATTACCTAAAGATGTCATGAATGTCCATTAATTACAAACAATACACTTTTTATCTTCTCAGTTTCAACAGCATTGCAACTTATTCATTTTTGGGTTTGAGGTTTTAACCCGTCTCTTTAAATTTGAAATAACAACAGAGAATATAATGTAATGAAAAAAAAAGTCTAAATCAACATGTGGAAAACCATGTGAAATGGTATAAGGCATTAAATAACTAATAACTAATCACTTACATAGCAGCTCGCTGTTTGTACACCTCCACCAGGCTGGCGAGGTCATTTATGTCTACCACAGTGGGTCTGCCAGCAACCGGCTGCGGCTGGACCCTCTGATGTTTTAGGTCATTCAGATATGACACAATGCCGCTCAGCTGCTGTCCTGCTTGAGCCTGCCGGTAGCTCTTCACCAGGTATCTGCGAAGACAAAAATTGAAGCGGCGCACAGGTGAGTGTTAAACAACTGAAACCATGGATACACAAGCTGACTCCTCAATTGTGCCCATTCACAAATCCTTTGTGTGTGTGTGTGTGTGTGTGTGTGTGTGTGTGTGTGTGTGTACTTTAAGCTCAGTTAAGAGCTCATTGTGTTATTGAACAATTCAATAACGTTTTTAAGGGAAACATCACATAACAGCATTTGCACACTGACCTTTAGAGCGGGTAGCACCTAACAACAACAACAGCTACTGTTGGGGATATAAAATGTCACTGCTCTGTGTTTTGGATGCGGGAGGAGTCAGTGTGTGTACCCTGCATTTGTGATGGGATAGGGCTGCTGAATGGGGGTATGTTTATGCTTTTGTGTAACCACCAAGGGTTCTCCAGCAGGTGTTTGAGTCAGAGTGGGGTGGAGAACCTGGTCCTGGTAAGATGTCCAGTATGTTTGATTCCTTTTGAGCAGTTACCTCGCGGTCTGCAGCATCATGACGGTGTTCTCTCCTTCGTAGGTGCACGTAGGGGTGAACTCGACGTAAATATCCGGCAAGCCGCTGCTGCGCGAGTAGCCGTGGCCGCCACAGGACATGCGGCACACCTCGATGGCAGAGTTTGTCGCCCAAGTAGTGAAGGCCTTCAGACCCGCAGACAGGGCATGGAGCTGGAGATTTGAAGGCAAAGAGGGGAAAAGAACTTCAAGGAGGCCTAAGCACTATTTGACAACTACATTTCAAATCCATTGTTTGTACTAGATTTTGCCACGGGTGGTCTATTGTCCAAAACAACATATGAGAAGAAGTAAGTCAAGGCGCATCATCCTCTGTCCTTATCAAACCCAGAGCACATCCTTCATGTCCGGCCAGTACCTCGGGCAGCTCACTGAAGTCCCCCTCGTTGATGTCTCCACTGATGCGGTGGTAGGTCTGTCTCATGTACTGGCCAACAAACGTGAAGGCATAGGCCATGGCCAGCAAAGGCAGCAACTTGTACTGCTGTGTCTGGTAATCAAGGATCTGAGGCTCTGGGTGTCTGTGGGACACAAACGCACAGGTTGGAGTGTTTGATTTCCTTCAGTATGTTGTAGGAGAAAAACAGTGCTACTTCAATGTCCTGTTAGACCCTGATCAGCTAGACGATCGTACAATTCTGGTGAAAACTGAAGCAAAACCTAATTTTGATCACAACCGTAAGCAGGTGTTTCCCTAAAACTTAAAGTGAGAAATGAAATGTTTGAGCAGCAGTTTCCTGAAGTGCACTAATTGGTGTTGACTGACCCCGGCCGGATTTCAGACTGATGTCGAACAGAACTGTAGCGGATGGCGATGGTGCAGGATTTGGAGAGGGCCCGCGCCGACTCCGCTACCAACAAGGAGCGGATGAACACCATGGTGCCGTAGGTCAGCTTGGTGCTCGGTGGCTTCAGATAGGTTCCATCTGCCTCCACCTAGTGGGGGGAAATCATTATTTCGTTCCTTTCAATTATGCAAAATGCAAGCGCAAACACTACTTTGCCCTCATCAGATATCTACTGTTTTGGCCAGCCCATTTCCAGAAATGAGTGTTCGAATACATTTAAAAAAACTTCTCTCTGTATACTTCACTAAATCCCCAGAATGACGATGACTGTGTGACACGTCAGTGTAAAGAACCATCCCTTATAGCAGTGCCGGTCATTCCAAAGTGCTTGCGTACTCCGCGATACCAATCAGAAAGGAGGGTGGTCTGGAGACCCGGGGTTACGCAAGCAATCTAAAGTTCACTCACATGGCTTTCACTCCGTGCCACAGATTGGGAAACTACAGACACCCGGATGGCTGTGCAGATATCACTGGGCTGCCCGTACAGTCTCCTTGTGCGTGTATCTACACAGATACTACAGGCCTCGCAATCCTTATTATCAATCCCACCCGTTACGCACATAGCCTGGTCTCTCACAGTGCATTTGACACAGTGAACCACCAGATCCTCATTTACTCCCTTGGAGGAACTGGGTGTGGCAGGCTCTGGCTCACCCTTATCTCATCCTACCTCAACAACCACACTCACTATGTAACTTGGAGAGGACCTGTGTCTGAACCTGGTCCTCTCACCACTGGGGTCCCCAAACCCTCCGTCCTGGGTCCCCTCCTCCTCCCCCCTCTTTACACCAACTCTAATGGCCTTCCACTCACACGGATTTTCCTACCACAGCTATTCTGTCTACACCCAACTACTGCTGTCTTTCCCCAATTTCGATACAAAGTTCAGGGTTTCCCCTAGGTTTACAACTTTGGAGGGCTGACGGCAGGGTCCTGACCCCATCCCTGACTGCTAGGAACCTCTGTGTGACACTGGACAGTTTCACATTCCCTCGCTGCCACAATTTCCTGTAGATTCACTGTCCTGAACTGTATTTCTGTCCTCGGGACACTATCAACTGAAACAATGTCACGTCACCTTGGCGAATTTCATCAGCATGTTCTCTCGTGGGATTCGCACGTTCTCCAATTTCAGGAAGCCGTTGTCAACTTCACTGAAGCCAAACTTGGGGCCGATATCTCCAACCACAATACCTGCAATAGAAGGAGAGAAAAGACAGGAAGGTAAAAAAGGATTGACATCACCACAAATCCAGAGATGTATATAGATGGAGGTTACCTGGCAGGGGAACGTGTGTATCCAAGTCACGGATGGGTACGATAAAAGCATGCAGGCCGTGGCAATTTCCCTGTGTATAAAGCTGGGCTAGAACTATTGCATGGTTGGAGGTCTTTCCAACTAGAAAGAGAGAGAGTGAGAAGGTTGAAATGTGTCTGTTCTGAAGGGCAAGGAGGTTTTCTCAGCCTTAAAAAAAAACTTCTACATAAAACGTACTCCTCACAAGACTTCTGGTATTAATCCTATGACAATTGCTAGAGAGTTCTTGGTAGAGTCCTGCAGAGTCAATGATGGTGTAAGTGTACTTACGTCCTCCTGGCCACCATTTGATGGAGCTGACTGTGGGACTGTTCAAGACAAACTCCTGCGTGGCTGGGTCGTACGTGGCCGTCGTCTCAAGCCCCCTGAGGTGTGTGCCTGGAGAGACATTGCATCAAAGCCCACACACACAACAGAAAAGCCTAAATGAAATGATGGGACATTAACAGACTGATAATTAATCAATGATGCATTTACTACTTCAGCATCAATCATCAAGATATTCAAAACATCAAATCAAATAATGGGTAAAGACAAGTTTAGTCCAATTTGAATCTGCAACTTTAGGTATTTGAACTCTTAATAAAAAAGGAGCAAAACAGTGCACGTTGTAGATGTTTGACAGATCTAACCACATACGCAACAATCATATTTTAAGATGATTCATCAATGTCATGACATATGCTTGAGGTCCTCGGAGTTTGATTCCAGAAGAAACCAACCAGGTATGGTTGGTGTAATCAAATTGCAATATGTGTCGCTATATTAGTCTGGAACGAAAACCAAAGCGTAAAAACAAAAACGTATACAAACTATCGAAGATTGTTAGTAAAAGAAACCCATTTGTCATAAACGCATGAAAAGGGTAAGAAAGGTAGTGCGTCAGGGAGCCAAATACCTTTTGACAGACTATTTTTGTGGCATGCAGGTCAAACCCAAAAATTTATATATATATATATATTCATTTTTTTACAAACTTGATACTTTTGTACTTCTCGAGCTGACACAAGCGGTCAGTGTATATATATGTTTAACCATATCCAATATTTGACCGTCTTTTGGTTGCATTTATCATCAATCAGCAAAAGATTGTTTAGGACGTTTCTTCCCACTCGGCTGAATTAATTTGTATCCTAAACAAAAGCAACATTTGGGAGAACCTGCAAGTCAAACAAAACTACAGAATGTCAACACCAATTACCAGAAAAGAAGCATATACAAATAATCCCCGTTTGCTGACCGGTCTAAACAGGGCTGTGTTTTGGACTGCTCTGTTCTTTTTACCGTGGCCCATCTCAGTCTGAGCGTAGGTGCCGATGATCTCGAGGTTCCAGGCGGGCATGAAGAAACGGTCCATCTGCTCTGGGGTGGCCTGGTTGAGCAGCGTGGGCAGGAACATCCCCAGATGGAGATCAAAGGGTTCTGGCCGGTCTGGGTGCACACAGCTAGGGCCACGCAGGACAGGGGGCAGCAGAAAAGAGAAGCAGGTGGCAATGTGGAGAGGGCGAGGAGGGAGATGGTGAGGTGAGTAATATGGGAAGATTGAACGGAGGACGTGGGAGACCACAGATTGTGGTGGTTTTTTTTTAATGCACAGGAGGGATTTGGGATAAGAAGTGATATGGTTCAGGTGAAGACAAAGCAATGGAATAAATAAAAGACAGAGGTTGTGCAGGAAGGAAGTGAAGAAAGCAGTGATAGACAAATTAAATCAGCGTTGGTTCACATCATGTATATTGATTTGATAACAAATTGGCTTGAAAATCCACTCAAAAGTTTCCCGTCTACCAGATGTCAGTTGAGGCTCTGCTCGTCAGTTTCTGAGCGCAAATCAAAGCATAGAGGTTCAGAGAACACTACTAATTTAGCTGCCTTTTATATTTCTTTAGTGGTCACATGGGAACTTCCTCTTCATCACTACCTGGATGTTCAACCAGTCGGGAAAAATGTTTTTGGGAAAATGGAGAACACGAGGTGGATACAAAAAAAAAATCTTTTTGTAGCTTTAAAAAAGGTAATCTCAAGGGAATTATGTCAGGAATCTTAGGGCCTAAACTTTCAGCGCAGGTTTCCACAGCTAAACAAACTATTCTTAATAAATATTAAACTCTATTCCAGCAAGGCAACAAACAATAGCTGGCACAGCAAACATTCTCTCTCCGGTTATAAAGGGACAATGAGAAGCTAAAGCTCAGCCTCATCATGGAATACCTCCGCATACTCTAGATATCCAACCAGTTTTAGTTTCCTATCTACTACTAATTTACACAAAGCAATACATTCCAGTTATGAGCCAAATACAAGACAGACTGGATGGTTAGGAATAAATTACTGATTCAAATCAATGGAGTTCATCATTTTCAAAAGGGCTGGAAAATAATCAAGACAAAGTAATCCGAAGGCACAGCAGCTTCCCCATTAGTGCATTTTCATGACATAAATATGTGAGTGTTGTGAGTAGAAAGGAAGTAAAACTACGCAATGAAGAAGGGAGTACATTTTTGAAAAGACGGGAGAAAACTAACTCATCTTCTTTTAAGCTACTACGAAACATGAAGGAGTACTAAACCACTAGAGGAGCGCTGTTAGTAGCGAAGCTACAGCACATGAACTCAACTAGCCACAGTGAATCACATCTTGTTAGAACTAAATTTGACACATGAAGGCGATTTTATGGACACGCATGCAGCTGCTTTTGAATTTTCTACATGATTTGGATCTGTCAAACACGTACAAGAAATCACCGGAACTGCTCCGAAAACTCAACCGTCTCCCGGACCTGTGGCCAAAGGCCTTTTTGAAAAACACTGTTTTATAAACCCGCACGAGGGAAGTTGTGTCTGAGGGACTTCAACATCAAACGAGCAGGTGAATAAATTAAGGGCTAAATTAAGGGCTAAATCCAGGACTAACCGTGACCCATTTCTGTTTGGGCATATGTGCCCACGGCCTGGAGGGACTCTGCCAGAGGTAACCACTTCCTGGCCTGCTGAGGGTCACACTGGCTGTACAGGGTCGGGAGGAACATGACAAAGTGCAGCCCCATGGCCTCGTGGTGGTGGCCAAGAACCATACTGGGTGAAGGGAAGGTATAGCACACACAGCTTAAGTTCAGATCAGCTGTTATTACAACATCGTGTCATTTATGTACTTGCTCACTCACTTGTTCCGTGGAAGCACCTCGATCTTTACGGCTTCGGCCAAGTTTATCTCACACTCCACAATTAAGTAACAAGTTCGGTCTCTGCCGTCTTGCAGACAAAATAAATGTACAGTATAAATGATATAAGCTGACATAAAACCTGAGAATCTGATAAAAACCTCCACTGCACTACATTGGGCAGAGCGTGGAAGCTGGATCTTTTCGTGCTGTGCCCTCTGACACCGTTTTAATCTTATCTTGATCGTCGCGTCGACTGCATTCATTGGAATTGAGATCTCAAAAAGCCACAAAGACTGCCGGGCGGGCTCTGATGAACGATACAAACTTTCCTCAGGAAATTTCTAAACCATTCTGCGGTTTAGTTGTTGGATACAGGATAGACAGAGTTACGAAACTGGTGGCAAAAACAACTTCAAATGATCGACCACGGTCGTCATATCGCGGCACCGCGTCTGCATCATGACAACCTTTGCTTTGTGAAAGAACCTTTGAAACCAATAGTCCCTGAACAAGGTCAGAAGTTTGCTTGACATCAAACACATGCTGTCAGTATACATATATTACCACATTGTGTTTGACAAAAAAAGCATTTAGAGTACGTTTCTCAGCTGATTATTAATTTGAATTGCAAAGACTAGAAGCACACAGTCGAACTGACGTTGCCTTACTTGTGCGAGTCATTGCAACACTGTTGCATCAATGTTCACGAGGTAAACATGATAATAATTGTGATGTGTTATATGCTTTAAATGTTTTCAGTGCATATAGAGCAGGTTGAAACACATACACCCCTTTATGGGCCTTTTGTGTCGACCGCTCCCGGCAGCAGATTCACAGCTGCTCTTACACATCATTCCCCTAAAAAGACCTTCTGGATCTACAGGATGTATGTACACCAGAGAAGACTCGTTTACCACATACTTCTTGTAGCAGTAGATTTCCTCCGGGTCTGCGATGCCATACTCTCTGAGCTTCAGGATCATTTGGGCACTTTTTTTAACAGCCTGGTCATATCGCTCACTGCGGGACAGGAAGTTTGGGTCCTCTTCCTTAAAGTCTGGGTCGCTGAAAACCATCGCCTCTGTAGTGGATGGTGGGAAACGAAATCAGCAAAGTATCTTTTAGCTATACAGCTGTACAAGTCTACACAATGCGCATATTGAAGGTCAAGTTGACATTTCTAAAAGTCTGTGAAACGTGAAGGGTCATGTTCAGTGCTGAGGTTACATAATAGGACACTAAACACATTTGATCACCCAACAAAAAACATTTGTAATTTTAGCCAAGGGATCAACCAAATCACCCTTACATATGTAACATTAACTAAATTTACTCGTATATCCCAATAAGTTGGTGTTCCGTTGAGAAAGTTAGGTGGTGTTCCGGACTATTAGAGCGTTGCCTAGCGGCTGGAGACAGAAAGGCCGTCAGCGTACATCCAATGCGAGCCTTTGCTAACAGCTAGCGCGCTTGTGCTCCACGTTGTGCTTTTCTGCTAATACCCTCACTGTCATCATTGAACGAAGATGCCTACGCCGGAAGAATAACTTCCGGCACCACCGGGCTAACGAGACCTCTCAAACTCACCGATTTCTCGCCTTCTTTTGGTCTTTTCATACCCCCCGTCCAAAATGTGGGTCAGTTTCTCGACGTCGAAGGTGGCGTTTTGCCGCTCTCTCGTGATATCAGGATTCATGGTTGCGTTTCGAACTGCGAACGATATTTGCGCTGGGGGAGAGAAAAGTATAATAACAAGTGTGTTTTATAACCTCAACCTGACTAGTCCCCCTCGATTCCCCGGCCTCCCCCCGGCGCAGGCGCAGAGACGAGTCACGTGACACGCACCCGGAAGCAGCTACGGACTGTCTAACGTTTACAGCTCCGACTATACTCACGTCATTCGACTTTAGGCTTATTTGAGATAAGACAGTCCGGTGCAGAGTGCTTATTAGATCACGTCCGACTGATCTATGACGTCATGAACACCGTGGTAACGATAGCCTCACGATAGAGAGGCGGTCGTTTGCTGAGCCATGACACGCACTTGCTCTGCATCGACGTCATGACCTCAGGGCCATTCTGTGTCAGGAGCTTCTTCATATAGCTGTGATGTTTGGACTGTTGGATCACTATGTAAATTTCTTCAACTTACGGGAATTTAGAAGTGACAGTATCTTTGTGTGTATTTATTTATATAAAAGTTTAAATGAAAAATGTGTGACCTCAACATATTGAATAAATGTTAGATATCACAAACCTTCTTGGGAAGCATCTTTTAGTTTGACGATTGATGATCACTTCATATTCCCACCGATTTATAGTTCAATTACCATGACTTCTTCCTCCTAAACAACATTGCCAGTCAGACTCCCAATGATCAACACGCTACGTGCAGGTTAAGTCAAAATAGCAAAATATTAAAACAAAATTAAGACGACAACCCTTTGACATTTTCAGAAAAGTTTGCATAATCATTTTTTGATCTGAAACCCATTAGTTCTCCTTATTCCCTTTTCTATTCAAGTTTTTGCTTGAGCTTTTCCAGATTTCTGATCTTGAACAAACTGATGTCGCAAGGCACAATGACCATAATGCAAACATGACAACCATTCTTAAATAGACGACAATGGAAGAGATCGATCCTGCAAATTCTAATATAACGTGTTATTCTAATCTCAGATTTTGAGATTAAATACATCAATAATGGTCAATGAGGGAGGTCTTGTTATCCAATTCTGTTAGTTCTGTTAGTTCACTGGAGCGTTCTGGTTAACTCATTAAGAAAAAGTCAAAGGACTGAAAATTAATAAGAAACATAATGATTCATTCATTTTTTAAAGTAATTTGAGAAAATAGTAAAACTTTCGCTGGTTACAGCTTCTACATTGTGATCATTTGTCGATTTTCTTGCCTTTGGAAAATCATGAGCTAACATGTTTGGGGCTCGGACAGTTGGAATACACTTTTCCAACTGTCCGAGCCCCAAACATATTAGCTCATGATTTTCCAAGGGCACTCTGGGAAACTGCGATAGACATTTTTCACATGTTTCACATTTTTTGGACATTTTACCGACACAAATAATTGAGAAAATACTCAATGAATCAATAATGGCATTTCATTACAAATCCCTGCATCTTTTGGTCATTTATTGACCTTAAACGGATTGGGACTCTTTGTTCCCTTTTCTGTGTTTTGCTTGAAACTTTTCCAGACTCCTGTGACCTCGATAAAAATGTTGTTCAGTGAAACGATCTGACTAAGTGAATAACGAATAAGCCAATAGACAGAAAAACAGGATTAAAAAAGCTTGAAACTTGAGTAGTAAAATTAAATAAAATCATTGAAAATGATTCATATGAAATAGGCTTAAGAAAAAAATGAGCACATACCAAATCATGTGTTATTTACGTCAACCTGTCCCGATGTCCTCCTCCTCCTCTTCCTCCTCCTCTTCTTCTTCCTCCTCCTCCCGTCCCAGCAGCTGAGGGGCGTGGAGAGGCGGAGACAAGTCACGTGACACACAACCCGGTAGTAGCGGCAGATCAGCGGCAGTAAACGTGCTTTCAAAAGTCCTTTTTCACTACTTGCTGCAGTTGAATTATTTTGGATTTCTCTCCCCTCTGACGTCATGCTTCCCGCACCTGCAGTGTTTCATTTCCCCTGGGAAGTAAACTCCGGAGAGGTGCAGGAAGGAGAATCAGTGAGGGTGTTTGGCAGGTTGGTTATTTTATCAGTTTCTGATGCTCTGGAGGGGAAACAAACCCTATGTATGTTTCCATGTAGCAACGAGTTGGTTTGGTACAAGCACATGTTGCATTATGATATAATAAATGGGGGCTGAAGTAGCTATCCGGGTTTGACAAGTCTGTCATCAATGAAATGTAGTTTCTCAACAGTTTATGAACTGCCTCCAGTGTCAACTTGTGAATGTAGTCCAGGTTTAATGGAACTTGGGTTAATGTGGTTTGGATGGACAATTAACAATGCAATTGTCCTATTTTTCTATTTTTCAAAATATAGAATGAATGTGTCACAGATTTGAGATTATATTAAAAAGGCCACTTCTTAGACAAGTTCAGGGTCGACAAATCGAATTACTTTGAACTACAGCTGCATCTTATGTTGTTTTAAATGGGGAAAAAAGTGAATCATTTTCAGAATATCTTGTCCTGTCTTCAAAATCTGCTGAAGTGAAGTTAGTTTAAGGACATCAAAAGTCAATGTAATGTGTATGCAGCTCAACGGCCTCCCACATAATTAAAAGTAATATTATTGTGTCATCAATATGATTGCAGCATTTTAATGTGGTAGCTTGTGAAACCTGATTGTTAGTGACTTTGGGAGGTGTAATCTGTATAATTGCATCGTCTGACTGGTACATTAAACCCTCCTGTTTAATTTTCCAGACTTGTCTGCTATCAGCCTGAGGAGTCCAGGGCGACGCTGTCAGCTCAGCATGCTTCAAAAGAGCACCGCGTGGCAGTCCACACTCTGTTTGTGGAGCCTTTTAACCCAATCATTGGGGCCCAGTATTTAGTTCTGGGTGAGATTGAAAAGGCAGAGGGTAAGGAAGGATCTTTGGTGGCGTGGGATTGCAGAATCATATTTTACTGCTCGTTTTACTTTGGTCCACATAATGATCAAAACAGACATTGACTGGAAATCGGAAAGTATAATACATACAGTACTAGTCAACTGATAACTGTATTACATTCATTCATATATTTAAAGTACAATATATATTATACAAGTATAATTATACATTCATTGATTTGATACAATTGAGCCAAATAGGCATTTTTGTCATGTAAATAAAAAATATCAATGGGACACAACTAACTGAACCTTATGTGATTCAGTGTAAAGCTACAAGCAGCTTAACTTTAAATAGCAATAAGGACAACAATAACATTAAGACAACAAACCATTTGACTTTAAAAAAAAGTTTGCATATAATCAATTTTTGATCTGAATCATATTTGTTCTCCTTATTCCCTTTTCTATATAGGTTTTTGTTAGAACTCCTGGGTGCTTTAGCAAACTGATGTCTCCAAGCACTAAAAAACCTTAATGTAAACCATTCTTTAACAGCTGTGTCACAATGGAGGAGATGGATCTTGTGGGTCCATATTTTCAGATCAAATGCATAGATAATGGTCAATAAGGGAAGCCTGATTTGTCATAATTTGGAGGAAACAGCAAGTTTACGTTTTGCCTCCCCTCGTCTTTAGTTATCAATATGTCTGTTAGTCTTTAGTTTGGTGGAATGTTCACATTAATGAATAAATTGATGGGCAGAAATGAATGAGAAACTTAATTCATTAATCTTTTAAGCAGGGGTGTCAAACTTATTTTCGGTAATTTTCAAGCTAGGTTTGGGATTTGTGCAGTTGAAAGACATCTTTACATGTTGTTGTAGGTTTCATTACAGATCTCTGAATCTTTACGTCCTTTATTGATCAGAAAAGGATAGCGACTCCTTGTTCCCGTTTCTATTTAAGTTTTGTACAGACTCCAGTAACCTCGATTTAAAAAAAAAAAAGTTAATGCTTGAGATTTGAAAAGTTAAGACAGTTACTCTCCTCTTCTTCTTCTACTGTTTGTATGCCTCTCTTTAACTTCCCCACCACCTCATGTAAATACACCGAGAACTCCCAGGCTTCTATTGCCACCCATTCGATCTGCGCCTTCACTTCTCACAGGGGTTGGTGCAGTGATCCGTGCTCGTGTGCTGAACTGCGTTGACGGAGTCAACGTTGCCCTTCTACAGAACGCCATCAACGAGCAAAGGAGCTTCTTCATTGAGAGGGAGCAAACCAGCGACGATGCACATGCAACCTGAACAGGCGGCCCGATGAGCATCGAGCCTGCAGCCGTGTCTCTGCGGCTGTTTGCAATGGAGGGATGTGTGAACTCAAGTGAACTTGAAGAGCGTTTGGTTGACTACGTTGTGTATCTCTGATTTGAAAGTTATAGCTGAGTATGACCAGTTCTAACATTGTCAATGTCATTTTTGGTCCCATATCATTCAAAAACGCTTTAAAAGGGAACAAAAGTACTGTATGGGCCACTTGCTTTTTATGAACACTACACTATGGGAATATGGATTGAAATGCAACCCTTTTGAGTTATTTGTACGTTGTAGATCTATTACATCCCCTATTGGATACGGCATGCATACTGCATACTGGTTCTAACCATATTAATTAAAATGAAATATTCTATGCCTGTATCCAATACAAGTAACGGCCACAAAATGAATAAACACCAATGCGTGTTTTGTCCATATTCTGTGTTTAATGCTCTGAACACATTGAATTCAGTAAGGACTGCACAATCTAATCAGTGATCTTTGAAGGTCTATACTGGCCTGATGACAGGTGCACACATATTGAAGCTGTTGTAAAAGTCCCAAAGATTTCTTGTTTTTACTGGGTTCTTAAAATAGGATTGAATCTGACATTACGTGCTGGAAAGTAAATGTTGAGAGGTATTTGTTTTATTGAAAAAAAGACTTCACAGCCGTGAAAGTGAGAATCGAGATTGAGTTTAAAGTCAACAGTGTCAAGGATAGCCCATGAGTAATACAGAATAAATCAATCTTTGTAAATAGCATTGCACCCTTTCCCAGTGTCCCTAATAAAACAATAACATCAAAGATTAACTGCATTTATATTGAGTTTTTAAATTAAAAGCAAGAAAAAAAACATCTGCCCACTCAGACATGTTTGGTAAACAAGGGCAACACAGCAACGATCTTTTTGGGGACAGAAAGCACTGCAGTAGAAGACTTTTCCTGAGGCAAAATATACATTTACATTTATGTTTCCATTGTGGATTTTTACCACGAGTCAGCAGACCAGATAACTTACTATGTTGTAAACATGTCTAGAATTTTGCATATCTATTAGAGATGTAACCAGACTCTTTGGAGGAGGCAGGCAGCATTGGTAAGCCTGACACTGGGTCTATCTTACAGCGATCCAGAGCTTGTTTGTAGCTGATCTTCTCCTTTGTGATGGGGTCTACGATGTCCTTGGGGTAGGTCGACTCGGACTGCAGCTCCCTCATCATCGTGCTGTCGATCATTTTGGACCCGATGGCGTTGAAGATGCTCACCCTTTGGCCGGTTTTGGGATTGATCAGCCCTCCTGTCAGGTGCTGTGCCTCCATGTAGTGAATGGCGGTGTCCTTCGGCATCCAGCCCTTCTGGACAGCTTCTCCCACAGACAAGCGCTCTTTGGTCATGGGGTCTTCAACGCCAGTAAAGGCCTTTTGTGCATTAAGCAGCCTCTGGAGGTGACTGTCCTCGACGAGGCCTCTGACTGCTGCCTTGTTAACTGTGTAACGCTGACTGTTGCTGATGTCAATGATTCCGCCCGTGGATGCCTGAGCCTCCAGGAGTTTTTGGGCGGTGGTCGGGTCGATCAGTTTATTCATGGTGGCGTTGCGTATTGTGTAGCAGGTTTCAGTGGTCGTATCCATTATTCCAGCAATTGGGAGGATTTTCTTTGGAGTGGAGAGGTCGGACGGGGTTGAGTTCAATGTGTTTGTGGTGGACATACGGGTTGAGTTCATCTGGGGTTGCTTCTTGTTGTCCCCCGCGACCAGCAAGGCAAACTCTGAGATGGGAATCTTGCCTGTTTTGTATTGTTGCAGCTCTTGTTCTGTCAGCCGGCCATCCCTCAAGGCATTTTTGATGGAGTACTGCTTTCCGCTCTTGCGATCCTGCAGTACAGACGTCTCCCCATCGGGTCCCAGGGAAGTAATCTCTTCCCAGTCGCACTCAAGCTCCTGCAGATTCACGTACTGTTGACGGTCAATCAGGCCTTGCATGTAGGCATCGTACGGGGACATGTCTTTGCCGGTTTCTGGGTCCAGAATGGTGATTTTGGTGGAGACGTTGGTCTCTTTGGTCCTTGTCTCTGCATGCTCCTCTTTCTGCACATTCTGCAGAAGCTCCCGGATGAGGCTGTCTCGCTGGTGGATCTTGTCTTTCTCGTCCAGGATCTCCCTCTCCAGGCGCTGAGTGTCAGAGCCCATCATCATGCTTCTCTTCCTGCTCATCTGGGTTCTCTCGCTCATCAGCCTGCTCTGCTGCTGGAAAGACAGGCCGATGTCGTGTTTTGAGGCCTCGAGTGTCCTGAGCTCCCGGGTAAGGTTGTCCCTCTCCCGCTTTGATTCATCTCTTTGCATAATCAGGGTGGTCTCCTCTCTGGAAGAGCTGGATTTGTTGCTCATCAAAAAGTTGATTTTGTCAGTGAGACGTTTGATTTGAACGTCTGTGTCCTGTCTGGCAAATCTTTGCTGAGACACCTCTACCCTCAGGCGGTCCCTCTCGGCTTCGACGACCTGGTCTTTCTCCACGCGTACAATCTCTTTGTATACGGTCTTCTCGCCTGACTTCTCCCTCTGCAGGATCTCGAGCCTCAGGGTAATGTTACGGATCTCTCTCTGGCAACGCAGAATTTCGCTGGTTTCCTTGTCCATGTCTGACCGAACGCCCGATGTCAACCTTTCCAATTTTGGGTCTCTTTCAACCTTCAGTACCTCCTCGACAATGATACTTTCCTCAACAGGAGGTGGGGCATTTTCTAGCTGCGTGATGCGTAGACGGATCTCCCTGAGCTCAGACTCGGCTTGAAGCCTCTTTTGGTGCTCAGTGCTCTCCCTGAGGATCCTTTCTGTGTCTTCCACTTTTGTTCTTAGATGCTGCAACTCCAGATCCAGTTGACGGCGGGCCTTTACTTCTTCATCCAGGTTCCTGCCAAGCTTCTCGTGCTCAATCTGCTGCCTGGGATCCTTCTGTAAACGCAAAACCTCCTGCACCACCACTTTCTCCTCAGGCTTCTGCCTCTCCAGCAGGATGTATTTGTTTTGCAGGTCAAACACCATCTCTTCAGTGTTGCGCCGCAGCTGCGCCTCCTCCCGCACAACTCGTCTCAAGCGGTCAGCTTCTTTCTCCAACAGAGGGTCGGGTTCATACTTGATGACCTCTCTGGTGAGGACCTTTGTCTCGATCTTGGACTTTTCAGCCTTCCATTGATCTCTATCTTGTCTGAGAAGTCTCACCTGGTCCAGGAGGGAGGTGTAGGTGGTGTGCAAATGGGTCACCTGATCATTCAGCTTCTGAATCTCTCTCTCATTTTCCGGGCTCCTTTCCTCCTTAACCACCTCTTGTAGAACTTCCTTCGTCTCTATCTTGGGCTTCTCAGAGCGGAGCATAGTCACGTTGGTGGTGATCTGAGTGATCTCCCTCTCCAGATCAGAGCGCTGCTTGCTTAAGTCCTGTAGGTCTTTCCTGAGCCGCATTATCTCCACCTCCGTGCTGGGGTCTATGCGGTAGATCTCATTGACAATTTCCTTCATCTCAACTTTTGTCTTCCAGCCTTGAACTTCTCGGTAGCGATTGTGGAGCTCCGTCACCTCTTTGAATAAGGAGTTGCTTTCAACCCTCTCTTCCTCCAAGCTTGTTTCAAGACGCTTAGATTCAATGATGAGCTCCGGGTCTTGCTCAATTGTTTTCAGTTCCTTAGTGATGACCTTTGGTTTGATATTAGGAATCAGTCTCTCCAGTGCATTAATCTGGCTCCTCGTCTGGAAGATTTCATCGTTAATGAGCTTCATCTTGTTGTTTTCCTCAGCAATGTCCACCTCAAATGTCCGCACCGCTTTCAACATCTGCGGGTCCTGTTCCACTTTCAGCACTTCCTTCTTAACCACCTTCTCTTTGATGGTTGGTTTCTTCTGCTGAAGAATCGTGACTTCTGTCTTCATCTGAATGTGTTCCCCGGCCGTCACTCGAACTTCATCTCTCATCCTCGCTATCTCGTCTCTCAGCTTAGCCGCATCTACGTCCAGCTGAGGATCTCTCTCAAACTCGGTCACCTCTCTGGTCAACAGTTTGGATGGCGTGTTTTTCAGGGTATCCTCCACGATAATAATTTTCTTGTTGAACACCTCGACTTCAGAATGGATGGTGCTACGTCTGGAGGACTCTTCACGCAGTGTTTTCTGAAGATCAGACAAGTCCTTTTCAAGTTTTGGGTCACGGTAGTACTGCAGCACTTCTTTTTCCTCAACACGCTCAACTCCTCTGCGGCTCTTCAGCGAAGTCAGCCTGTCTTTGAAGGTTCTCAGGTCCGCCTCGGCGTGAGCTTTCCTCTCCTTCTCTTCGTCCAGCTCTTTAGACACAGTGCCCAGCTCAAAAGCACTCTTTTGCTGGCTTTCAAGCTGCACTTGTTGATGTGCCACTAGTTGGACTTTCTCTTCATTCTGCAGCAGGAAAACCCGATTAATTGGATGCCAATAACTTGCCAACTGATTTAATGTAGCTTTAAATAGTTTTACAGGAAAGGTTTTTAGGTACTGAAAAGGCGACCTGCTTTCTTACTTGTAAAATGAGATTCTTTGCCAACCCCATCTGTTTTTGGCGTTGGGTGTTTTCTGCTGTTGCCTCAGCATATTGTTTGACCAGATCCCTTTCCTGCAATGACCGAGAGACACAGTAAACCATCAACCATCTCAATCCTTTAATGAATGTAACAAATATACATTATATTGTTCCCTCCAGGAAAACATGTTATGTAAACGTAGTTCCTATTTAGTGCAAATTAAACAAAAAATGTAAATTCCCGAGAACAGGCTGCACAATAAGCCAAAAGTGCATCAAAAAATGACATAAAATGACAAATATTTATTCATTTAATGAGTTCAAATGTTACCTGTCTTTCAACAGAATCAGCCAGTGTCATCGAAACAGGTCTCTTGGTAACTTTGGCTCCGGCGTCCTCTAGTGTGCCGTTGTATTTGTCGACGTTGACCTCGTAATTCTGCATAGACCAGAAGAATCAGTTTCACATTGTTTCAGTCCCTTGTTATTATTTTAAAGCACTGTGTTGCACTTTATTTAGAGTATTACATTAAGGAGACTCTGCAGGTCTTGAGACAGGTCAGTCACTCTGTCGATGTCATCTCCCTTTCTCTTCAGGTCATCCATCACCCTCTGTGGTAAAGGGTTTGACAGGAGTGTATCACTGTGAGTTATTCATTTCATCTATCATTTACTTACAGCTCATTTAACTGATTTTTTTTTTAAATGAAGAGAAGCATAGGTGTAAATAAAGCAGCCTTTACCTTTTGGGAGTTCTCCTTGGCAGTGACCTGAGACAGACTGTCATTGGGGTTTATTGTGTTCTGCGGCAGGTTTTGCAGGAAAGACGTCACGGATTGAGATGTACTTTGAAACTCCTGGTTCTTGGGTCCAGCTTCTTGTAAGAT